CAGCTTTCGACAGCTTGATCACTCTGCCCTCCATCATATGCGCCAGATCCTGAAAGAGGACCAGTCTCAGTGGAGTGTATGGTGTCGACTCCTCTGTGGCCTGTGTCCTCTGCTTCATCTGGTTGTGTCACTCAGTCGCTTTCGTCATCAAGTGTGGTAGGAGGGCAGGAGCGGCTGTTTGAAGAAAGAAGAATAAAAAAGTGTTTCTTTCTCAGCAGCTGGTTGTCGTTGTCCAGGCGCAGTAAGATGGTGCCCATGAGCCTCACCAGTTTGGCCACGTCTGTGTTGCCGATCTGGTTCTCCTGTGGGTGTTCCCGTTTGGGTTTTTTCGGATCTTTTTCTTCTTTTGTGTCCCGCAGGTACTTGTCCGGCATCAGGAGTGGGCCCATCGCTTTGAAGGCCTCCAGAATCTCTGCGTCGCCCATGTGTGTGTCCACCGGCTCTGCTTGGTAGTCCATGTATCAGGAGTAGGCCAATCTGATAAAGAACCGGACAGTGATGCTGTGCATGGATTTGAACCAGTGGCTGTCTCTGCTGCAATTGGGCATCTGTGCAATCCGATTGCAGGGGCAGATTGTACACAAGTTCGCATGATTTGCATTGAAAATCACATGTCTGGTGTTTGAGAAACTCTGGCAGTAGTTGTGGCAAGAGATCTGGGATCCATGTGCACGAGTGGAAGTGTATGGCCTTCAGGTGTTCACAAAGGACTGCTGGATGGTAGGTACCTCCACAGATCAGGCATGTTGTACTGAGCATCTTGCACACACTAATATTGTGCCAAAGATCAGTAAAGTATCGGAGTTCAAGTTGTGTCAGGATGGTGTCAATGACAGCATGGCTCTGTACGCATGACAAAAATTTTCTGGCTCCTTCCAGGTCAAAGGTCCAGGTTAAGAAGAGCTCTTGGTCCACCTTCTGCGCAATTATCGAGAGCTGCCTAAACGCAGGGCATACATGGGAAACGCCCCTGGCTGTAGTCTGAGGATTGCAGACCCATGATGTATCCAATGTTCCAACCTGCATCAACAATGGAAGAGTAGTCTGAGCCCGCGTCCATCGTTCCACATGTACCATCTGGAGATTTTGTGAAAGATCTTGTTGGCGTTCAAACCTAACTCCGCAAAGTTGGCAATACAAGGTCATGGAAAGGCGCAACATTGGTGATTTCTGCAAAAGGCCCAGATGTCCATACAAGATAATCTGATGCAGGCTGGGTGGCACAGAAAGCTCCTCCATCGGCGTGGCCGCATTGAAGCTTGGGCAGAGGCCTCTGGTGATATGCTGCCTGACGGCAGATTTTTCTGCGAAACAAGCCAAACAGTGCGAGCAGACTGGATCTGCTCCTAATAGGTCCCTGTTGGGCAGCCAATCATAAACTTCCAACTTGTGATCTGTGAAGAGATGAAATGGCCTCGAATTGTTGTCTGCAAATTTCGCAACGTAGAACAACGTCAGCATCCCCATCATCACCTGGAGGTAAATTTACCAAAAGGAGTGCTATCTGAGCCCAGAATGGACATTGATGTTGTCGGAGAAACTGTTTGTTGCAGTAAAAGCAGGGCGTGATGGATGCCTGTGATCTGCCAAGCTGTGCTGCTTTCGCAAAAAAGTTGGCCACATACTGTGCATGTTGTGTACGAATATACATATTCAGTTCTTGTGGCCTGCCATGGTACACCCCGCAAAGTATGCAGTAATTGCGCAAGTTTTCATGTGCCTGTGCAAGTGCCCTCAGGGGAGTCTATGTGCCCGATTTCACAGCTTGTAGCAGTGTCGGCCCATATGGTTTGCTCAGCAGCAAGGAGAGATCACTGCTGGTCAGCCCTCGTGGTGGAGCATCTGGCATCCTGCGTATCGTTGGGAGGCCTGTCAATTCCGTGTTGGCCTGGCAGCAATTGCGCTCTAGGTGTATGCGGAATCTGCGCCAAGTGCTGAAGGTCTTGTGACAGTTAGAACAAATGGGGAGTCCCTGCAATGCATATGAGGCTGGAATGACATGTTGTGTACGCAGTGGAGTGTATCCATGAACATGTGTATGATATCTACGCAAGTTGGGTAGGGTGTCAAACTATTGGCGACACCATTCACACTCCAAGAATCTGTAATGTACCTCTTCATGCGGATTGGGCATCTGTTAATCCATGTTGTGTTCCTGAGTACGCCAAGCAGAAAGAATAAGTTGTTCAAGGCAATGAAGGTTCGACCAGTCAACAATGTGTAGAATGTCTTGTGGCCCCAAATGCATGAGTTTCTGACATTGCAATTCTCTCAACTGGTCAATGGAGTGCAGCAGCATGGCAAACGGGTGTTGGAGATTGTATTGCAACAAAAATTGAAAGTGAGTAAGGCCGGTCTGGAAGCTGTAGTTGCCCGTGATCTGTCGAAACTGATGTAGAATGAAAGTGTACAGGTAAAAAAAACCAGGGAAAACAATGTTTGTGGCAAATAAATCATAGATTAATGTAGTATAAATGCAAGAATGCCAGAGATGTATTTTGGTCTTGATCCGAAGTTGTCGTGTTCTAAGCCATCGTCTCAAGCGAAAATAGGCTTGTTTGGCCGCTTGCATGCGATGTTGTAGGGTGATTTTCTTTGTTTGGGTCTAGGACATCTGAACTCCCAGATAATAGGCTGTTTTTTTCACTGGCATCTTGGAGATCCGTCCATCAGCGCGGGGAATGTTGACAAAAAAGCCCTTGTCTCCTTTGTGGATCACTCTGGCCTGGAGCTTTCTGTAGTTGGTGCCCCCGAAGGAAATCAGCAGCATGGATTTGCTGAGTGAGATGGTCAATCCATGTCTTTCAATCACGTCCAGGATTATTCCAAATTTTAGCATGGTTTGTGTAAATTCCCATTCGGAATGAAAAATAGCGTCTCCATGGATGTCGTCCGCATAGATCGTGATTGCCTTTCTGATCCAGGCTACATCAATCTCTTTAACCAGGGTTTCAAAAATGAGATTTATGAATCCCGTCCAGAGGACGGGGGCAGGCCGACACCCCTGTCTGATGCCACATCCGGTTGGTGTTTCAACAAAAATTTGATCATGGTGAGTGATGTACGCAGTACTGGAGTGCCAGGTACCTAGTATGGTGACTAAGTCCTGATTGATGTCAAGGGTGTTTAAGTGATCAAAAAGTGGTTGTCTAAGAATTACATCAAAGGTACGACTGACGTCTAAAAACATCTGTCCCCCGCCACAAATGGCAAATGACGGGATGTTGGCTCCACGCTGATGTACATTCCTCTGTTGGTTGCGCAACAGTTGCCTGGTTTCATTGCAATGTTCAGTAACCCTTCGAATGGCATCTCCCGCAGATCGATGTGATATATATATGCAAATTGGGGCCAAACTGAAACAATGGGAAATAATGAGTTTTTGAATTTGGAGGTGATCAGACCCAGTACACTTTTGCCAAGTGGCTCCATCAAAGCTATCGCTCTCAGGTAATCCAATTAATATGGCATTTTATTAGGTTTGGGAAGGAATGTCACCCAGGCGTATCGCCATTGTGCAGGTACAAAAATGCCCTGGATAGTCCACCAATGAATTAATTGTTTGTACAAAATCGAGGCAAGCTGGTCGGATGTATGTTTCCAAATGATGCCAGGGAAGAATTTGGGTGCAACTGATTTGACAGTACGAATCTTTGCAAGTTCTCGTTCTAACTCAGCTTCATTAAAAGGAATATGTTGTATGGAATCCTGTGGAAGGTGAATGTATAACGATCCAGCCCATTTGGTCCTGATAAACTCAGTGGTGAGTTGCTGTACATCTGTCGTTGATGCAGGCGCTCCATCAGACCTACGGAGTCTGATCTTTTTCCTTGGCTGTTTGGGTGTATACCAATTGATGATATGAAAGATCTGAAAATTGTCAAATCTGGCTGCCGCGTTGTCAACTTCAATGAGCAAATCATGTATCTGTTGTTTCTTGATATGTTTGATATATTCACGATATTGATGTTTCAATAAAAAAAACTTAGTTTGGTGATACCATGCTTTATACAGGTTTTCAAGCGTCGGTTGCAGCCACGAGAGCATCTGGCGGCGATGTACCCACTTGGACTCAATGAGGTCCGTTGCAGGAATGGTAGAAACCAATTTAGGAGTCTTGGTGAAAAATTGTTGAAAAATCGGCATGACACAGCTGTGTAAATCATCAACGTAAGTACAATCCTCATGAAAGTTTTGAGAAAAGTGTGAAGTTGAGTTCCAATCTGGTCCATCATCTGAGTCCACAGGGGTGATTGGTATTTGAAATAATTCTGCATTGTAGTCGTTGCCTGTAGGTGCATGTTGTTATACCCGCCTGCTTGGTGAAAACATATGGGATTTTCCGGGTCATGCACAAAATTGGGATATGCATAGCCCCACTCAGTGGAAGGTACTCAGCTTCAGGTAATATGAGACATGTTTGGAAAACTGGTCGCTATCAGCATGTCTAGTGAGAAAAAAATCAATCCTAGAGGCAAGTGGCCCATTGCAGAAGGTCGGTGGTGCAGAAGCATTCCAGCTATTCAGAGCCGTGAGGTCAAAACGATGTAAAATCTCATGAAAATGCTTCGCATCAGTATGTCTGCGTCCAGTTTGCTTTACATTACCCCATCTGAAGTGGGTTGTGCCTACATAATGACCATCCTGTTGTAATGAGCAGTTACAGTCGCCTGCAAGGAGTAGTGAATTCCGATTTGGAACATTTTCAAGACTCTTTTGAAGAGTATGCCAAAAAAAAAGCCGTTGGTTCTTCTTAGTAATATTACGGTTATCAACATATTGGTAACAACAAAAGAGGTCAAATAATCGAGCCCGAAAGTGAAGTCTGATTTGGATGAGGCGTCCAGCAATGTGTTCAGTGATACCAATGCAGGCAGATGGGCATATGTGGCTGCGGAGCATAATAAGTATGCCATCACTCTTGTCTTCACAAGTGCCACTATGTACAAAATTCCACTTGCTATTGGCCCGCTCCGAGGAGAAATTCCAGCGGGTTTCGGTCAGAACAACTGCATCAACGTCACGTAGTTGTGCCCAGGCCTGTATCTCAGCCATCCGATCAGTGGACAGTCCTCCCACTTTCAGGTACAGGATATTCATGCGATTTTGTGGTGTAACCCGAGGATGTTCAGCACCAGGGGATCTCTGTTTGGTCTGATTCGCAGTCTCGGAGCGGCTTCTGAGTATTGTGGGAAAAGCTTCATATGGGATATATTGTTCCTTATACCATGCAAAACCATTCAAAGCTGCCCGATTGCATGCCCTTCGAAAGCTTCGTTTCTCAGTGCATCGCATATCAGTGGTCTTCTCAGGACAGCGCAGGGGGCCGAAGCCCAATGGTGGCACTCTGTCTTGTTGTTTCACCGGATATAAACATTGCAAGTCTGCAGCCGTAAAGTCAGTGATGGATCCGGCTTCCGTCTCTCCCCAAGACAAAGAGAGACAACCCTCACCCCCATACCCTTGGGTATGATGTCCAGATTGCGCCGTCTGATCCTCAATCTTGGTCTGGAGCATGTGGGCAATCCTGTCTGTGGTTGTATGCCCGGACTTGGGACCAGGTCTGCAATTGAATGCTAGGTCCTCAGTCTGCGTGTGCAGGGAGTGCAAGTAGACAACTGTAGCTGTTTCTTGGTCCAGGGCACTGTGCAAAGGATCAGCAGGACAACACCAATTACCATCAATGTCGTTGGAAAGAGGTGCAGGCGATCTCAGGCCAGTGAATGTATACAATCGGGAGCCAACCCCGCAGTGTGAGATCTGTGCCTGTCTGACCAGCAAACCAGAGTAGGAAATAAGAAAAAGTTGCAGTCTCCTGTAGTCCATCAAATGCAGCGCCGCGAACGAAATGGCTGGATGACAGCGTGGCGTGTCTACCCTATCTGAGGTTTCCTCAACCTTTGAAACACTGCTTTGAGTGCAGAGGGGCTTGTGTGGTTGTGTGTTGTTGTGTGTTGTTGTTGTGTTGTTGTGTGTTGTTGTGTGTGTGTGTGCGTGTGTGTTGGTGTGTTGTTGTGTGTTGTTGTTGTGTGTGTATGTTGTTGTTGTGTGTGTGTGTTGGTGCGTTGTGGTGTGTTGTTGTGTGTTGTTGTGTGTGTGTGTGTTGTTGTGTGTTGTTGTGTGTGTGTGAGTGTGTGTGTTGGTGTGTTGTTGTGTGTTGTTTTGTGTGTGTGTGTATGTTGTATGTTGTGACGGAGGCGGCGGGAGGAGGAGGAGGAGGAGAAGGAGAAGCCCGGGATACAGAATCAAAAACAAGAACCCCACACAAAGATGTGGGGAAAAAGTAGCTCCAAAAACTGAGCTGCAAAAAAAGCAATCCCATTTACATTACGGGAACCATCCTATAGTTGCAAAGGACAATGAAATTCCATCGGCAATTCATCCACCAGCACCACTTGCAATCCCATTTACATTGCGGGAACGATCCTACAGTTGCAAATCACAATGGAATTCTGTCGACCGCGCATGCACGAAAAATACGTGAAACCCCATTTACAATGCGACGCTAGGTCTATGTTATTTCCATATAAATTTCGGTTATACAAGCTCGTACAAAATATATGCGCGATCTTAAGATCGATCCTTTTCCTTAATATATTCTTCCTTTCCTTGAGGTCAATATCCTCAATCTCATTTTCCTCATCCTCCTCCGCCTCCTCATCTTCCCCAACATAATCATCCTCCAACTGATATTCTGCAACATTCATCACCCTCCACCTTATCATTTTCCTGTACCTCATCATTCTCAGCATTATTATCTTCAGCATCATCGTCCGCATCCTCATCCTCCCCCTCTCCTCCTCCTCCTCATCATAATCATCCGCCACTTTATCATACATTGTCTTTCCACTTTCCCCCACTATTTGCGCTTTCTTGCCGGGATAATTTCACAATTTTGTTTTTCTTTTTGAACACGAACCTTTGCAATATTTGCAGAGGCCGCTTCTAGGCTATTCTGGCCTGCAAAGGAAAGCCTCTCCTCCATGGGCAATATTCACTTCATTCCAAAGGGTCCATAGAAAAGCACATACGAAGGGTTCATGTAAAAGGCTACAGTATATATATATATGTATATTTTTCAAAACCATAGGTCTGGGTGAGACCCGTTGGTACCGCTACAGCAGCTGTTCGTCCCAAGGGTGAATTAAAAAGATTGTCAAAAAGGATGATCTCGGTTGAGAGGCAATGTTTTTATTTGTTCACGGTGTTCCCTGTTCTGTATTTGAAATGGTATATTGTGAAATTTTCTGCACCAGCAATCTTTCATTGTTTCATATGTTCACGCTGCTCTAGGGCGACCCACCCTTCTTTGTTCTACTTGTTGTGGCAAAAAGATTTCCTGTAGCGAAAGTGGCTTGATGTTATGGGTAATCTCTTGGTCTTCTGATTATATGCTCCGATACTTTTTTCGCTTTTCCTGTAGAACATCACTTAGTGGACGGATGATTTCCTCTGCGCCTCGGCCCATTTGCAAATTAGCACGTCTGTAGACTTCATGGTTGGTATTTGTTCGGTTGCTGTAGGTTGTGGACATTTTCAAGATTTTTCTGAAACCTTTTAATTGGAAAGTATCCAATTTACTTGCCGCGGCTTCTGTTGGTTGCAGTGCTTCCAGGCTGTACAAGAGTTTAGAAATACAAACTGCGTTAAATATTTGAATTTTCCATTTGGTTGGTACCCGCGCTTGTTTCCAGAACAAGTAAAATCTTTTCAATATCGGCATTGTGTTCGAGATGCGTCGATTAATTTCAATCTTAGGGTTCACCCTGTTACCGATCTGTATTCCCAAATAGATAGTTTCGTCCACGCTTTTCAATTTTTGCCCATCTGCAAACGTGATTTAATTGTTTCTGTTGTAGGTGATGCATAGGCATTTGTCTCTGTTTACTTTTATGGTCTAGTATTCTGATTCTTCTTCGATATATCTCAGGTAATTTTTTGCAGTTTGGGTATTTTTGGCAATAATTAGAGTGTCGTCTGCGTATAAAAGTTCTTGAAATATTATGTTATTGAAAATTTTCTGGGAAAACGCATCATTGTTCTTGTGCCTCATATCGAAAAATAGTATGATTATCATTAAAATAAATAGATAAGGCGATAGCGGACATCCCTGTCGTATGCCAGAGTGCTGTTTTTTTCCATTCGCTTTCTTCAGTATTATGAATTATTTTAAAGAATGGATGCTCATACAAAGCCTTAATGTTATTGATCATTTTGGCGTCAATCTTCATTCGTTCCAGAGCTTCAAGCAACCTGTGGTGTGATATTCTGTCAAAGGCCTTTTCCCAGTCTAAGAAAATTAATATTATGTTTTGGTGTCCGGCTTCTGTCAGGTCTTGTAATCGGCGCATGCAGAATAGAGGTTCTGAAGTACTTTTGCCCCTTCTGAATCCAAATTGTGTGTTACTTACAAACTGATCAGTGGCGTCTGCAATTCTTTTCTGCAATATTTTGGTCATAATTTTGTATGATAAGTTCAGCAAAGAAATAGGACGGTAGTGTTCAGGAAGCTCTGGGTTGCCTTTTTTATAAATAGAAACCACTTCTGCGTAGGCAAAATCATCAGGGTACGACTCTTCAGTCCACATTTGGTTCAGGATTCTCGCCAGCAACCTCAGGTTGTCTTCGTCTAGATATTTATATAATTCGATTGTGAAGCCGTCTGGGCCTGGGGCTTTGTTTGTTTTTGATGAGCGTAAAGCATCATGTATCTCCTCGATCGTGATGGATCCTATATTGATAGGTGGTTGCGTGTCCACTACTTCTCTCTTGTCTACCTTGTCTGGTGGAAGGTGTTGGATACACGCCCAATGTCGTTGTTCTAAAATATTCCGCTAGCGCGTCGGCCTTTTTGTCTAGTGGAACTGATTGGCCATGAATATTTTTTAACTTATAAAAAGAAGGTTTAAATGTAGACTTTTCAAGCTTAATGCCTTTCCGTTTTGTCCTGGCGGATGAAACATCTTCGAGCATCCTCAGTTTCCACTTTTTCTTGTCGCATCTTGCTGATCTCTTGATGGCTGCATTTAGTTGTTGTTCAAGGTCTGAGTTGCTCTGTGCCCAGCCACTTGTCTATTTTCAATCAAACCCCAAGTTGCTTCAGGTAAGTACGCTTGTTTTTGTTCGGTTGGTATTTTCGTTAGAAACTTTTGTGCGGCCTGCTTGATTGCTTGTGAGAAATTCTTGTTGTTCACTTGTACACCGTCCCGGGATGAACAAAAGTCGAAATTTGCTCGTATGTCATCGTTGAATCTCATCTTTGCCTGCTCGCTTGGGTTTTTGAATCTCGCAGTCTTTCGTCGTTTCGAGCAGTCTTTCTTTCCAAGTTTGATTCGTATGTTTGTGGTTAAAACTGCATGGTCTGTATCAAAAGCAATATCAGGTCTACTTTCAGTATCAACTATTGCATTTTTCCAGCGTTTTGGACACAAAATGTGGTCAAGTTGGACAAATCTATCCGATGTCCATGGCGCCGCAAAACCCTCCGTCTCAGAAAACTTGAACGTGCACTGCTTTTGCGGCGGTTTTGAGAAATAGGTACTTGTGATGATGTAATTGTTATATCTACAGAAATCAATAAGATACTGTCTGTTCTCTAGTTGATCGCCTGGCATCTCTTGTACATATCCAGCGCCTCGCCCGAAAGTGTGGTGCCCCATGATGTCAAATTCAGAAACCTATCTGCCATGAATTCTTGCGTTCATATCCCCGACGATGAAGCATGGGGTGCTCCCAGCATGCGCTTCACATTGGTGGGCAAGGGATCCATCAGAACAGTAAATCAAGAACCCCACACAATGATGTGAGGCTGGAATGAAACATGCAGCAGAACTTCAGGAATAGTGGCAACTATAAAAAATGGTAATGTTGTGTCCGCACAATCTTTGTTGGAACCTGAACTCGTGCCACCTTTGCCTGCATTGAAATACACCAAAGTTCAACAGAGTTCACCAAAGCCATCTGGCCACTGGTTCAGTTGGGACGCTGAGGACACCTCACTTTTAACCACACTGGCGTTGAATGTGCATGTGTTGCGTGTCGCATTTGTCTTTCGGCCCTCGTCAGAGGACATGGCTAGGGACTCAGGGACTCCTTCCACCAACATTTGCTGGGGAAGCTCTCGAATTCCACTGGTGTGCGTGCTTGGCTTGACAACATGTGACATTTGACAACCTGAATTTGTGAACTTCTAAAAAAGGTTGTTTGAAACTTGGTTCCGCCTTGCCAAGCACAAAAAAAGGATGTCTTAAAAAGAGTTGTCCTGCGATCCTTTGGATCTTTGACCACTTAGCTCTTCCATTAAGACTTGGAGTCTCACACATGTTTGACGCATCACTTTCTGACTTGGAGAAATCACATACACCAAACTTAATAAGACCGAAAAACATGGGATGAGTTCAATGAATGTCTATCTCATGAATCAATCTCCGAGCATAGTACGTACTTCATGGAGTGTACACATACCATTGCAACAAAATACCACTGCATGCATGCATATTTCTGCATATTTCTGCATATTCCTGTTCTCAGACTCCGCTCCTCGGCGCACAGATCTGTGCTGCACGGAACATGAAAGAGGACTCTGCACGGGATGTTAAGGGACGTTGTCATCTCACGTTCACCACGTGAGCTTCACGACCTTCAAGGGCAAACTGTGAAGCACTGTGAAGCATCGATGGAAGCCAGTGGCGCCACAACTTTGTCAGCTGAGAAAGGATGAGATGAACTGAGAATGGAAATGAACTGATGGGAAACATGGGAAACATGGGCAGTCACTGATGAATTTCATCTGTCATGAATTTTGGGTATGGTATGCTGCGGTGTATGTTTCTCAACAAAGTGGTGACTTGCTCCAAAGTATTCGCCTCCGCTCCTTGTAGAGCTGGCCGCAGGGCTGTGCCTGTTCCGAGCAGCGCCAAAGCCAACCGTCTCGTGCTCAATGGGATATGATTGATATATATAGGTATATAAATATACATATGTATATAGTCAGCTATTTTTCAGCTTGAGATTCATTGATGTTTCCTGAAGTTTACTGATACGAGATTTATGGAATTCTGAGTGCGTCATGAAAAACTATTCATGACGATCTCCCAAAACAAGTACTGAGCCGAAGAAACGAATCCTCGGGAGCTGATGTTTTTTTCCCCCTGCCTGAACTTTCGGTGAGGCTCCTGAATGGTGACCAGCATCAATATCAAACTGCCAAACATATCAAACACATCAAACAGCCTCAAGATTTCCATGGCATTGAGATTGAGATCCTATCAACTTATCCGACTTATCCCTTGGAACCTCTCTTTGGTCACCATTGACAAACTGGAACATCAAGCTGGAACATTTGGCAAAAACAAGGCGAAGAAATGAAATAGATATGGATAACTTAGCAATCCCCATCTAAAGCTTCACCCCAGAAGCCATCAGCGTCTTTGGACTCCAAACGTAAAAATCTCCATTCTTGTTGAATCTCCCATCCCCATGGCAGGCAAAGCCTCTGTTTTTCTTCTCCCTTCACTGTCCCTTCACTGTCCAGGGTTCTGGATGTCATGTACCAAGTCTTTTGGTTCATCTTCCCACCATCTCTACGTATCAACATGCTAGCTGGACAAGTCTGGTCAAATCCCTTTACTGGAGTCATCCCATTTGTCATCGCATTTAAAAGCGGTTATAACTAAGTTATAACCGCAATAAAAATAATAAAACAAGCAAGTACTGGTTGTGATGATCCTCCAAGTACATCTGTCCAACCTCGCATTTTGACAGTGAACCCGCCTGATTTACGGATGGATGAACTAGACTTCACAATCATTTTTCATGGTTTTACCAGTTTTACCGCATTTCACATCATTTCACCACCACATTTTTCCATCCCACGTTGTTCCCACGTTGTTCGCGGGTCCTCCATGCTTTCCACGGAGTGGAGTTCCGCCTTCGCGGTCTCCCGAAGATCGGGGAGCAGCGCACGGCCGCTCGGTGTCCTCACAAAGACAAGAACCTTTTTTGGTCTTTTTTTTGCGGCACACATATATATATATATGGCATATATGGCATATATGGAATGGACATTTTGAAATGCGCTGCAAAAGCCATTTGTTCGATGGGGAAGGACTTCTTTTTGTGAGATCTTGCAAACTGGTGAATATCGAGATAGATGGGACTGGAATCTGCAAGGGACAAACATGTGGACTGGTCTGGAGAAAAGTTGAATTTTGAGTTTGGTTTTCTAGACCACACCAACAATTTCTGGATGAATCTGCTGCTGCACCTTGGCACAAAGAGAGCTGGATTGGACTCTGCACTCCTCAGCAGGGACTCTGCAAAGTTGGGGTATCTTGCCCAGCAGGGGGATTGAATTAGACACATGATATAAGGGGGGTTTAACATGAACCGACAACACATTGGGACAGCGCGAAGAGGTCGTTTCATTTTCGTACCCCGGGTTTCATGCCACAGCTGGTCGAGATGTTCATCATCCCAAGTGTCGCACAGGTGACCCATACCCAGGGATATTTAGGGGACATTTTGTGTCGCTGAGTCGTGGGTGAATGCTCATCCGCAAGCATTGTAGGGAATGTCTGCACCCAAATCATGTGACAGCTTCAACTTTTTGAACAACCCGCAAACGGAATAAAGAGTTGCGTTTACGAAACCGAAAACTGCTCCCCAACAACTGAACTCTCCAGGAAAGCGTCGTCAAAGCTTGATTTGAATTGGCCACCTTCGAAAGCTTCCCTTGTGGACTGTTTGGTGGCCTTGCGCTATAAATTGCATAAATTGCACCTGGCAGATGGCGACAGGGTGAGTTGATGTTTGTGAACCGCATTTTCGTGACTTTCATGATTTTTTCATTATTTTCATAGTGATGGGACATGACGGCATTGACATTCGAATGGCTTGACGCTGCACCGCTGCACATGGTGCAGGCACTCGTGGCCTCCAACTAATAGACCCATGCAGGCGCAAACAATGGCGATTGCCAGCGGGATGATCCTGGGCTGAAGCGAAGCCGGTCACAGGAATCTGGACCTTCACCATCGACTAGATGTATTTGGATTGACTAGGTTGGTTGGATGTTGGTTGGATTTTAAGGGTTATAGTTATATACTATGTTGTACTCCCGTTTTGACCGCTTCACAAAAATCTTGAAACCCAGCCACTTCATCGAACAGCATAGCATCCCCCAGCCGCATTTTGGCCCAGTTTCAGCCCGAAGTTGCTGTCAGGTTCCTCAATGGCTCCAATGGGGCCAACAACAGCTCCAGCCATAGATGTAGTTGTCGCGCCAGCTGGTGACCTCACATGGAACAGACTTTGACCACAATTTATGTCCTTTAAGGGTGGACTTTGACACAATTGGGACTTCAACAACACATATGGTGAAACATATGGGAATATCATTAGTAATGGGGATATCACTATATCACATGTAAAACATGGGACCTCAGAGGGCCTGAACGTAAACTGTGGATTTTTGGACTGCAACCTCTAAACTTATTTCTCTTTTTCTTGAAAATAGTGTGAAGGTTTAATCACACCGTCACACCGTCATCAAAATCCTTGGAAATGCAAGGTTATACTTTTTTGGGACCCTTAGATCTCAAACAATGGCCATATGCCTAGCAACAATGGCCACAGAGAGTTCCAGCAAGAATGACACCATCAAATCCAATCTTTTACAACATCATAGAACTTCAAAAATCGGTTTAGATTGCTGTATCCCCATCTCCAATCCTTAAAAATCCATTAAAAACTCATCATTCCCGGTTTTTCCCCATGATTCATGAGATTTTGATGGTTACTACAGCATACAACAGCTATATCGGCTATATCCATCCCCTATGTCCAAGACATGTCCAGGCACGGCGGCGCGGGCACGGGAGACCACTGAGCACCATCTTGCAGTGGGGTGGAGCCTACGAAGCCCACCTCTGCGGATGCACCTGGCGTGTGAGGACATCAAACCATTAGAACAAAGTTGAACAAACAAACATTTGCTTTTGATGGTTTTCAATCATTTCATCATTTTTGATGGTTTTTGATTTCTGGTGTTTGAATCGGTTGGGTTCAAAGGACTGGTAGATTTCTGCCTTTTTTTCTGGGTTGATTCTTCTCCCGGCAAAATATCCACAGTGTCTCTACACCAGCGGCCTCTCTGAGCGAGCTGGGTCGAAAGCTCCTCCTGAGTGCAAGGAGGGGAAAAAGCGATTCACTATGATCTTTACCTTTTTTTCTTGGCAGAGTCCTACTAGAATCCTATTGATCGGTTTAATAGGTCCTATTACAATCCTGCATTCGCTTCATTCAAAGCTGGTCGAGCGCTGTGCTGGTCTGTCCTGAAAACTACTACTAACCGTGCTGTCGGACAAGCCCAATTCTCCAACTCGCTGCACGAGAGCTTTGTTCTGCACCTGAACAAACAAATCAGCAAGGAATCAGCAAAAAGAGTTTCTTAAGTTCAGGACCATCTGAAAAAGAGATGGCATATAAGGATGATAGAAAGGATAAAACTGAGGCGCGAAACACACGGAAGCAAATATTTCTCTGAAGTGTACTAAAAACATCTGATGTTTTACATCGCCAGGACTTGTTGCTCCTGTCACTGAGAATTGTTTTGACGGTCCATGGCCAAGCTGCCGCGTTGTAGGCTTCGACCGTGAACTTGACTCTAACCAGCCAGCGCACGGAGAGCCGTCGGCCGCTGGTGCCTGCATCCAACTGCCAGTTGACATATCACAAATTCTTCAGAAATTCTTCAGAAATTCTTCACATATCTGGAAAATGCTTTATCTTCACCTTTTTCCGGTACAGTCTCGCGAATCGATGTGTGCCTTCGCTGTAGATCTCCACACCCTGAATGGTCAACTCATCCAATGGTCCAAGCCTTGTCGCGCTCAAGGGCTTGGACCACTTGGACGGAAATTGCCACTTACAGTATCCAAATAGTCAGAATGTTTACATCGTTTTGGCTGCTGGTAACTGCTGGTATCCTGGATTATCCTCATTGTTCTTGGTGATCCCCATTTTCGCTGGTTAAATGTGGTGACATGAAAATCTCCAGCTTTGCCCCACAAATAGCAGCCCAGATTCTGCAAAGATGTTCGCAGTGCAGATCTGAGCGCGCTAATTGCTGATGGCATTTGCATTGCCTCGGAACAAAGCAACAAGCGATGGACAGTGTCAAAAATCAATGGGAACTGATGCCTGTAACATATTGAGATTCCTGATATCCCTATGATGTTGATATCATTTGGATCTTGCAACCCCTTATATCCATAATGGACGTTCATCTCTTGTAACAATTTGATGAACCATGGCTCAAGGGCCTGCCATTTCCATTTTATCCTCCAAACATGCTGGCGAATAACAAGCCACAAAATACACTCACATCCGGCAGGATGTGAGTCTTTTCGACAGTTTTTAAACCAAGCATCTTCTGCATCTTCTCTTGAAGAAGTGCTGAGTGTCATTTCTGTTCTCATAGGTCCAGTTGGTGTATACGTTTCCAACCACGGTGGCAATGTGGCTTGTGGCACCGTAGCTTGCACAGTGGTGGTGGTTTGCTCCGTGCTACGCTGTGCCCAGCTGCGGCTGGTGCTGCTGGAGCCGCCGCCGCCGTGGCCAGGCCACGTGGTGGAGGCCCAACCGGTGGTGCGTACCGTGGGGGCACGGGTGTAATACCTGGAGCTGTGGCAGGCTGTGGCAGGCTGTGGCTGTTCGGCAGAACTGAAGCTGATGCATCGTGATGCATGGTGATGCATCGTGATGCTTCAAAGATCTTCAAAGTATCCTATGTCTCATAGCATTTCTAGATGATAGGACAAAAGATGATGGACCTCTTTCGATTGCTGAGGGGTTTGACTACTGGAGGATATCCAGAACAAACGCATATCCTCCCTATGATCTGTCTAAACAACCAATTTGGATTCTACTGTACCTATTACAAAAAGTGTACCTGTCTTGATCTATGAGTGATACAAGCAGTGAGGTGTTCAAAAGCAAAATGAGACCGGTGCGCCAAGAAAATCAAGAATGACTCAGGGGTCTACATACTTGCTTGTGGTGGTCTCACTTTATTAAAGCTAATATGTTTTATTCCATCACATTCTGTCAACTTCTCCAGATAATTTTGCAACTTTTAATCAGATGATATTTCCTGGATGATTTCTGAATCATTTCCTGTTAATCTTCCAGAATTCCGCAGCCAACTGCGCCAAGAAACTCTGGTGCTTGCGTTGTTCGAGGTGCTGTACTTGGTGGTTGTGTCACGGGTGGTGGCCTAAGAACGGCTGAAAACCACTTGGAAACTGGGATGATGTCAATGATATCCCATAAACAAGCATACAAGACCCTACTCAAACCCAACAAAAAACAAAGGTTTCTGTTATTGGTTAATGATAGTAAATGATCAATAAATATTGAACATATGCATATGTCATATTTATATCATGAAGTTCATGGGATATTTGAATATTTGATGAATATTTGATATTTGAATATATTTGATATAATGATATTTGTGAATCCATGTGAATCCCATCTCGTTCCAGCGAGTTCCACAGGTTCCACAGCGTTGCCACGGGACGTCAGCGGTCCCCGGGTACTCCTCGGCTCGGTGCTCTGTGGGGCCTGGGTCGTCTTCGCCGGGATCGACAGGGTGAATTCCTGCGTGGCCTGGGCGGCTTCATGGGCTTCATGGGCTTCATGTGCTCCCAATAAATTATCACAATATTATCACAATATATAACAATCAGAAATCATCAAATATCATGAATCTAGATTGGGGATGATTGGGGATGATTGGGGATGATTGGGGATGGTTTATGGCAGTATATGGCAGTAATCACATCTGGGAAGTTCATGGAGTGAATCAGCTTGAAAACTCACCTGGATTCCTAGAAAATGTGGCGTTAAACTTTTGGATGGTTTTTGGAAGATAATTTTACGAGAACTGATTAACTTGCATGTTTCGGATTGAATTCCTGGCCAATTGGTGAATTCATGCTGAAAATTGCCAGAAATCGGTGGCCCACCGGGTTTACAATGGTTACCTAAGTCACTGACGCTTTTCTGGTTGATGTTTGATCCGCCTCTCTCAAAAGTATACACATAATACTTCTATCCCCAAATCCACACTCGGGTTGTGCAGTACGTAATAATTCTACCTTTCATGATATCTTCGAAGGCTTCATCTCCGTGTGCCGGGCGCCTGGTTGGCCCAGGGGTCGGTGATGTAACACACCACGGTGTAGTCCTGACCGGGTTGCAACATCCCGAAGCCTCAGCGACTCGCATGGCAACCCGCCTGGATGAAGTTTTTTCTTAAGAAATGGAGACGGCTGAGTTCTGGGAGTTCTGGTGAAGTGACCAGATATCACCAGGTTCTGGGATATAGGATGATACGCTCGATATAGGGATATACACTGGTATTCTATAATATATATCACCCACCAACTGATGTGCAAACCATCCAACTTCCAGGAGTGGGGGGGATAACGCAACGCAACATGTGGAGAATAAATGAGAACCGAAGAATGAGAAAAAACGATGCTCCAAACTTGGCCAAGATGCTGAGGTACACCGGATACTCGTTGGACCACGCCTTCTCGTCGCAGCGCGGATACAGGCAGCTGGAACCACCAGACCAGCTGGGCGCCGTGAGCCAACTCAAGTCCTGTGCAGCTGGGATTCAACATGATTCAACCATTTTTGTGGGGGATATTTCGGATATCTCACTTAAACTGACTTAAACCAACAATGATCAACAATCTTCATGAACATATACTGGGATATATATATATATATCGAAATCCACAATTTTAAGGAGAGATAATGGGATAAATATCTCTAGATATCTAACTACATGATTCAATGTGGGAATCCTGTCCAGAAGTGGGGGGCTTTACCATCAATTTATGGCAACTTTGACATGGGGAAAATGAAGTTTTGAGGCGCTGGAGTTTCGGGTATCCTGTTTTGGACAACATCGTATGGAAAATCTATGGGAAAATCACTGGCAAAATGATCAGGATACATGGAGAGATTGCCATTGTCAGCATATGTGGTTCCCGAAGAAAGGGGGGAAGGTGCTTTTTTTTGGTCTATTTGGATGACATCAACCATGAAAAGGTTGGTCAAATTTCATGGAAACCATGTGACATGGGGGTCAAAAATCTTGAATCGAATCACAATTTTTAATTTTGGTTTCAAGCATTAACGAGCGGATTTTTTTGTGATTTCTTTGTACCGTTTCCATATCTCCATTTGTTTCTTGAGCCAAAATCTGTCGATGAAAATCCTCATGATTGGGTATGTCCTAGCGCCATTCCTGGTGTTTAAACCGAAATAAAACAGGAAACCAACAAATATGTAGAGATGCTTAATTAGGATGAATTCTTACAAAAATATTATTTTTGATACCTCCCAAGTTGTTTTGGCTGTTTGGATTCACAGCTCAACTTCGACCCAGGCCCAGCGCTACAGCTCCTGTTCTAAGACTCTGCAAATGACATGGCACTCGGTGCCGCTGCCCTCCAGCCGATTGTTGCAGCTGCCATCACGCAACTCCAAGCGGAAGGAGGCCCTCTCGGTGTTTCCAGTGAAGAAACCTGGAAAACCGTTTCGGTTGGTTCAAGATTCAGCATTTTCTGCAGTTTATGACAATTTTATAATTGATGATAAATCAATGGAATCTAGATGATTTTGATCAAAAGATATCAAGAGAACATAAGAATTCATAAGATCCAAACAACTGCTGGTTGGTTTTTTGAACCACCTCAAAAGATGCTGATTGTTTGCGGACTAAATATGCCCAACAAAGACTGAAAACAACCAACACCAAGTGTGAAGCGCCAATTGGTAAAGTGCACGGCTTGTCCAAGCAAAATTTATTGTCAGAGGGGTTTGACATCATAAATTGCCCAGCAACCTTCAGTGGTGGACTGCACTTCTACCAGGAGTGCCTGAACCACACCTGAGACGCACAGACCTTCCGTGGCTTTCCAGCTTGGAATCGCTGTTTTGACTTAGCAACTATTAGACTTATTAGACACGAAAAATGACACCAGATGAATCCTGGAGAGGTCCAAAAAGAAAGTGGATTCTGCTCCTCACATGTGAAAAGTGACCTTGTTGGGCCAAGTGACGAGGAATCACGCGATCTGACGTTGCTACTTCCTCCTGCGATCAGTTGCAAAGAGCGCAGCTGCAGAATGGAAAGCACCACATAATTCTTGTTGCATCTTGCAACACTTTCCGTCATGCGACTGACACCACGGTACTTCCAGGACTTTGTTGAGGTGTTTATCAGGATCAGGATTTGTTTCTGCATGTGCAATCACATGACTGAAGCTGGGATCATTGCAACTGGTTTGCATATCGTCGTGTCCAACAAACAAAAAGTGTTTTTTCATAGAACAAACACGGACAAAATCAGCAGCAAAACCACCCACATTGGACATGACACGAGCCTCACAAACCATCAGCTCCCGAATCCAACTTTCGCACTTCCACGTCTCGTTGTCTTCCTGGCGCTGTGGATGGCCATGGACCTTTCCTGGGATGCCTGAAGTGGGGTTTATCCCCGTACAACATGGGCTCTTTCTAAATACATTTTTCTTGTATTTTCTTGTCTTGTTTGACTACATTTAACATCATTTAACTCGTAAATTGCAGTGTACAACCCTAGGGGTATTTGTGATTGGGGCACTGCATCCCAGAGATCGAAGAAAGTGAACCTCGACCATCCAGATGCACGGACAGCTGTCCTGGCTGTCCTGGTCCTGCAAACGACGAACGCCCGGGTAGTCGACCAGTGCGGTCATCACATTCTTTCCTGAGACCACTCTGCACAGAGCCAAGTCACAAGATGTCACAAGGTTCCAACAGTAATCCATTCTGTGCCCCTTTCATCCCCTTTCCACAAATTCCTTGCCATGACCTCTATAATCCTCTATATCTATAGCTGATAAGGGGTTTCAACTTGAAAGTCTTTGAAAGTCATAAGTCACAAATCATAACTTAACTTGAAGCATTTGAAGCTGGTCTCTGGTATCTGCCCACGGCAAGGGCAACATCACCATGCTCTGCATGATGTCGTTGCCAATGGCATCTGTCGCCCAACACAGCACGTCGTAGCTGCTGTTCTCCCGAAGACTGGGCGGAGCGGATGGCCCGGAGCTTTCAAGGACTGAAGAAGGCACGCGAAAAAACGATGTGATGTGGAAAGAGTTACCACACTTCCTCACCATTCACCATTCACCATTCAGCATTCATCACTCAGAATCCAACTGTTGCTACAATTTCCCCATCTTCTGGTGCCTGGGGATGGTCACATTCCGCGATTCGGCTTGGCTGAAATTGGTGTGGAAAGGCAAGGCGAAGAGCCGCTGCCACCAACTCCTGCACTCCAAAAACTTCATGTGCAACAAATACTTGAAAAAACTCAAAACTCGTTCAGACTGATTCAGACTGGACCTTAAGCCTTATGGGATCCAGAGTTTGGTCCTCACCTTGACATCCTCATGTATGGTCAAATCCATCATCTTTGGATACCCAATGATACCCAGTGACATGTCGCGACATGTCGTGACAGCTTCCATAACATTCCCACAGCTCCAGCGTGCGAACTGCACATGCTGGAAGACGGATCCATCAGCGAAGGCATCCCATGCCTTCATCCATGACACGTTGTCCTTGGAAAAAGGGAAACTTTGGTGATAGGTGGCTCCAAAAAAGGATGCAGAAAAGTGATGTCCATTTATTTCCCATGATTTTGATGATCATTGACTTTTTCAGTTTTTTGGGATCAGTACTTATGGCAACCATGACACCTTTGCTCTGGCGTTTCTGTAGCCAAGCAACGTCTGAGAATTCAATGGAGATGTTGTTGGCACCGCAGACAGCACCGACAGACCCGTTGCCAGAAGCACCGTAGTCGAAGGAGACCTGCAGATTCAAAAAGCAAATGTCAAAACATGTCAAGACACATCCCAAAACAGTCTAAGAACATGGGCGGGCTAAGGTTCCTCTTTCGCAGGCAACAGTTTGCCTCGGGAATGCCACATCCAGAAATTATGGTTGATGATATTGCACCTGCACTAAGTTTTTGATGTATCACAACCACTATTAAATGCTTCATGTTCCCATATGTTCCCACTCTTGCTGCTTAACCACCCATCCTCAAAGGGTTTTGAAGCTATTTCGGTCTCTCAACTCCCAATATCTTCTCAACCCTCCTGGTGACTGTTGACCCACCTGGGTCACCGTGGGCAAGGGCTCTGTGAAGAGCTCTACTTCGCAGAGTCGCAGGCGGCCGTACTTGGCCACCACCCAGACCTCGAAACTACGAAGGTCGGATGGAAGACAAGCAACGAACGGGATGTTGACCATCCAGGTAGTTGATTAGAATAGGGAATACAATCTGAACATATCTGAACATATCTGAATGTGGAAAAGGTGGAAAAGCCTTGATCTTGCAGAAACAGAGAAAATCTGCTAGCTGGCGAGTCACTGTGCTACCGCGACTCTCCTGAACACGGTGGGGGTGACTGGAATGTGGCCTGGAATGTCCAAAAAAGATCCAGTTGGGTTGGGTCTGGAAATGATGATTTTAAGTAGTTGGAACTTAGCTGTAGATCATATTGTTTTGTTTTTGTTTATTTGTGGGTTACATCTTCGATGGGAGGAATTGATGCTTTTTTCTAATTTTTCAATTTGAATACTCTGAGCTCCTGGAAGCAAGCGCGAGTAGCTGGAACTTGGAAGGGATCCTGCATGATGCTCGGGTTTGAGACAAACATGCAGTCCATGCAGTCGGTCAGAATGTGTTCTTCCAAAAGATTCAATAGCTTGATTCTTCATTATTCTTCCATACTTTTTCCGTGTCAGCTTGAGCCACATCCTGAAGCACTCCAATGGGCACATCTTCAGCACACAAGGTGCCATGCTGCAAGATGTCGCTCAAGGGAACATGCAAGATCGCTTCGTAAGAGCAGGGACGAACCTCAGGGTGACCAGTGAGAAACTTTGTTCTGGCTGATGGTTGGGCCCATCGTCTGGTTTTACATGTCGTCTGCCACACAAATGCACTCTTTGCACTTTGTACTGCCAAGATTCGTTCAGAATCGGTTTCTTTCCCAGTTCCAACCAATCTTTCTGGACGTATCGCCGTTTGAGAAATTGGATGGTTGACTTGACCGACATTAAGCGACGGGTGGTCATCCATTTTGAGCCTCACCCCAAAACGCCAATAGTTGAAGGTTTATAACATAATTTCAAGGGATTAAACTAGAAAAAACATGGTTCGTGGTTTGGGGTTACAACATTACACGTGGCTTGCAATCGACAATCCCGTCTTGGTGATTTTTTCCAAAATACAATATCATCTCGCCAACATGATTGTGAATTCTCTCCAATTCTCAAACTTATGCTAAACCACCCATTGGCACCAACTATTCTACTTTTCATATCATTGGGCCGTAAGAACAAATGATTTGATTGCTACGTAAGCGATGAAAACCGATCGCTTACTTTCCCAATCTTTCCCATTGTGACCCATTCCACACATTTCCATCATTTCTTTCCATTTCTCCATCCCGGCTTCGCCTCGCGGATGGTGACCTCTAAGGCGCCGTCCGTGCGGATGGCCGTGCTCAGCCGGGCGTGGCGCTGCCCGGCGACGCGGTCGCAGGTCACGCCGTTCTCCTGAAATCGTGTGGAAAAGCTGGGAAAACCAGGGGAAAATGGGGATTTGCTGCTTGAAGCTCTACCAAATCTTGGAGATTTCAACGGATCCGCGAAAATCGGATGGAACAATTAGGATATCAAACATACAAAAAAACCATTAGGAAGGTGATTTTGGAGGCACTCTCCAATGAAACAAAGTTGGAAAATCTTGCAAATCGTCTTGATCAGGCAAATCTTATACACATTGGGGATTTCAATTGCCTTGTTGTACTATCAAAGGGTCTCAAGGGGTACCTAACTTGCAAGGAAGAAACTTATGGAACGTTTAAGAAAAACATATCTTAGGCATGTATTTCTGAAATTTTCTGAATTCATGCACACTGAAGCTATTTTGGATACCCGGCAAGCCCAGTCAATTAACTATTGTACACCAAATAGGGGTACCCATAGACCCAAAAATGGCTGGCCATTCTTCAGATCCAGAATCCCTAGAACCACTTTTTGACCCACAGATTTGAACCATTCTTAGTAGCCATCCAATTTTGTTGAGTGACTCGTGAGCTACTGCCAATTGGCGAATATATGCTTACAGTGAATCGTTAATGATCCGCATTTTGCAAAGCGAATGGAGAATGACTGAATATGGCCCGTAGGGTAAATTGAATTTCCTGAAAACAGTGCCAAAGTCTGCCGTGCCATATCTTGAACTATTCCAAGAAAATCAACTCACTAAACACCCAACCACTTTCCCGCATTTAGTCCATCCTCTGTTGTGCCAAGTAGCAAAGCTCTGCTCGTTGTTCGTGGTCGAAGTATAACCTCAGGTGTTGGAACACTGGAAAAACAGATCAAAACAGATCCAAGGGTTGCAACTAGCTTGAGATAGCTGCTTTGAGGATTCCATCCCCACCAATGTCAGTTGGACTCAGTTCACCTGATATCTGGTTAGTCTTTTGAAGCGACAGCGGGAGACAAAATCTGCCAAGCAGCTGCCAATGAGGTAGTAATACGAGGTCCCGGTGCTGGTGAAGCCCAAAGCATCGCAGGCTGAAGCCGATGACTGTCGGTCTTCCTGCCAAGGAAATCACCGGCCAGTTATATCCAGTTATCATGTGGTAAACCTGCCATAAATTGCCATGAATCTCTAAGTGGAGATGGTTTATACCAGGTTTTTAGCGTTTGGTAATCGCAACTGGTGACTAAGACTGGTGAGAAGTTCCCATTTAAAACCCGAGAGAAGGTACCATGGCATCGACATGCAATGGCCAGAAGCTGAACTTGACAAGACTCCAGGTGTGTTCTATGGATACTGCTGTGGAGTTACCCAGACTTCTACACAGCCAATCAAAAAGTTCCATACATTCGGCATATCATGCTTTTTCTTAGCCTAGTGACTAGGACCGTTTGGTTGTCCATTGGCAAAGAGCCAAGGTTTCCTTTCATAGCAACTTTGCACCTAACTCAATCTCCAGGGAAAGAGTGACTTTAGCTGACTTGTGTTGCCAAAAAAAATGATCTCTTTCAAAAAGAACAAGTTTGTTGGGCATACCAGCAACAACCAACCAATCGGATATGATCCAATTCTCATCTTTCAAAGGCCATTTGTGGTTTCCTCTGAACCTCCAGTCAAACCTGGCAACCTGAAATTCAACAGTTTCAGAGGAACGTTTGCAACTCATGGTGCTTTTTCTGCATTTCTGGTACTTTTTCCAGTAGATTACCAGAAATCTCAGACAGGTCCTCAATGAGCTGCCCAATGGTGACCCGATAGCAGTACTGCGTTGAGGCGTTATAGATATAGAAGATCCTCAGCAACGACAAAGAGGGCCACCAGAAATGGAGATTTTTTCATAACCATGGACCAAGAATCGCTTTTGATCAAGAGAAATACGCATTGAACATTGAACCACCTGAAAGGATCCGAAAGGTTTGACAAGTGGGGTACATGGAACATTGTACGTAACCACCGCAGCTGTTGGGTGACACCTGGATGGGTCGAATGGTGACAGGCGACTGCCCATTGTACGAATCCAGGTCTACCACCGCACTGACATCCTGGCGGGATCAGGAGAAATCCTGAACATTCATGTAATTTATGCTAGCAACCATCACAACCCGACATTTCCTAGTTCGGTCGTTGGCTTTTGCTCAATCTCCTCAATATCTGCGTTGCTTACCACTACCACATCTGGGAGTTATCTCCGCTCTTTTCCCAGTTTTGCAACTTCAAGCTTATCAACAATTTCCCAGGTGTTCCATTCTTACATTTTTGGGTTCAAAAAACCAAAAAACCTCCCCAGGTCTCCCGTTGTCTCCCGTTGGGCCTGCTGTATGCTAGGCGAAGTGAAGACGTCCGCGTGGGTGGCTATACCTGGACCTCCCTGGCCCGCGAGCCAAATGCCTTGCCTCAGAGTGCTGTAAAATCCCAATGACTTTAGCATCAACCATGTATCAACCATGGGTAATCAGGTATGAACCATGTCAACCATGGATAACTTCATCAGAAATGCTGGGGAAAGGGATTAACTGGAGATATTTGGGATTTTATCGAAAAACTCGGGATTTCATGATTTCATCAAGAAAAACCCTGGGGGATTTGATGAACCAATAATGGGTTTAAGCATCAAACTTGTTTCATTGGGACGATCCATGGACCATCGTCCAAGCTGATCAATCCAACATGGGAATGGAGCAACTGAGTCAGAGGTGGTGGGGTTGGAGAACATCTCAAAACCCATGGAATGATCGGATCACCATTGAAATCCCATAAACACAATTGATCATCATTGATCATCATTGATCCAGATTCGACAGGGCAGCGTTCCATTGAAATCACTGAATCCAAGCACAGCCAGTCTCCCCAGCGGAAATAACACATGGGCGATGTCTCGGTCAGAACCATTTGAAGGTAATGTTTAGTGATGTTCAATATCACCAACACGGGACATGTACCAATCCCTGAGTCGACCATCGAAGTATGAGGTTCGACGCCTTCAGTAGTGGACAGGTAGCTGAAAACGCTTCAGCCATTTTTGTTTAGTGATCAAAATAAGACAATCGCGTTGCAACCCGACTTTCATATGGTTATCGAGGGTAGCTACGCAGCTTCGAGTTGCCACAAGTAGTTCCAGCAGGATGCGGAAACAAAGGTTCAATGTCGTTCTCATCAATTGCCATCAACAGCCCAGGCATGTGTCCAAAGGCAGGTATTTCGTAACCAATTGATCCTTGAAAATGAAAGGTTTACCACAACTTGTGGGTCTCAAACAGTCCAAACTTGTTGGGGTGGTTTCAATCCCATGCTCACCATTTCGATATATTTCGACACACCTAACCGTTATAACCGTTCAACGCTTGGTTTACAGGGCTCGGGATGTTAGTCTGATCCATTATGATCCATTATTCAAAGAATTGGATGATGGGAAAATTTACAGGAAACCCCATTTGATGGTAAAAGCCATGGTTTCCTGTAGATTTTCTCTTAAACCAATCCATTGAACTATGATCCCCATGGTAGGCCGGCACCACGCCTGACCCGTCAGGTGATCACGCCAGGCTGCAGCAGCTGGGTGCGTTCCAGGCTGACGCGCCACCAGGGTTTGGCATCGGGCGTGTCGCTGCCGATGCCACCCGTCTCCATGCAGCTGTTCCTGGCAGTTGAAGGTCAAGGTCAGACTTTGGCCACAAGAAAATCAGGAAACAAAGCACCAAAAAATACGAAAAACACGATGTATCAAGAAATATCATGAAACTGTACTGCATGAATTAAATTCATGAAACATGACTTAAATGGAAAGATAATTGGAAAAAATCTCAAACATTCATGTCATGTATTGATTCAAATTCTGTATAGAATTATTGAGTTTTTGAGTTGAAATGTGTTTCGGAATCATCCTGGTAGTCGGAAAAATGCGCTGACGGCATGAAAGGTGTCGACCCAGGCTGTTGGAACTCTTTCCAAACAACACAGATGAGAGAGATTCTCTTGAAGGCGCATGCTGGGTGATGTTAGATATTTGACAAGTAATGACAAGTCATCGACATTTCAATCGATTCGCGGTTATCGAATCATGCTCATACTTCTCATACATCAACCAACGTCTTCAATGATTCGTTGAACGTGACTTTTTGCAAAGGATTCAGATCGTGTTTGTAGATCCCGATTCTAACATTACATTCATCCCATTTGATGCCGAGGATCGGATCATCATCTGCCAAATACCTGGTGAGACAAAGGGCGACTTCCAAGTGGTAAAGCCACTGGGCCCATATTCAGCTGAAAACCTGGGATTTGGACCTTTAGTTTCGATATGTTTCGATTTTGAAATGGATCCAGTGAAATAAGCACCCAAGGGATCCCAAGGGTAGAATTGGTGTATTGTGTGTTTTTCACACGGTCGCACGAATGGTCGTATCAAAAGCACATCCAATCGGGTGAATCATTATAATCATTTCATGCAAATAAGTGCAAGTAAAACATAGGTTTTTTCACTGGATCTTAGGACTTAGGAGATACAGGATACCATTCAACCATCATTCAACCATCATTCAACCATCATTCAACCATCATTCAACCATCATTCAACCATCATTCAACCATCATTCAACCATCATTCAACCATGGCAGCAAACTCGCCAGGTGGCCACATGCGATTCTCGGATGCACCGCCACCCGCCACGGTGGATTGCCAGACCCGCAGGTTTGCCACTGCAGCTTGAGGCTTGCGATGACATCCTTGAAAAGCCACACCTCGGCGATTCGAGAAATTCGATCATTGATATCATTGATGACGAAAAATAGGGAATAGGTGAGACCCCAAAAATAAACACATACCACTACCAAGTAACTCCTGGTTTCTGGGGCGATGTGCGTTGTTGCCTAACTCTGAAAAACTGGGCAATTGGATAGCAGTATAATACCCTGAGCCCATCCCAAACAAAGTTGTGCAACTAGGCGGAATCATCACAAACAGGGGATAGCAAAACCGGATTCCAACCACCAAGCGAAGCATGTTTTTGTGAAAGTTTTGTCTCACTCCGTTTGTCTGCTGCCATCGACCATCCGACAGGTTGCACAACTTCACCAAGCGACGAACACCTGAACGAATGGTTTCGTTCTGTTCATCTGCTGACAGCACCACAGGATACGACTGTTCCTGACGGAAAGGGGTCAGCTGGTCGATCGTTTGGATCGTTCACATCCACAACACAATGGAAAGAAATCAGTGCCCAATGAGAACTCAATTGTGGAGAGAAAAGCATTTCTGGCGGTTTGCCCAAAAATTATCAGTCAAGTAGGATCACCTTTGAACAAGGGCCGCTTTGTGAAGCGGCTGATCGTTGACCCCATCAACCACCCATAATTCTTGGTTCTAGTCATTGTTTTTCATTGTTCTTGATTATATGTATTGTCCAGAATGTTTTTTTGGCATACATATTTTTAAGCCAATCATCAAAACCGCAGCGTTTGATGTCGAGCTGGATGGTCATCTCACTCCAAGGAGGTTCTGTGCGACGGTAGACCTCAACGGATAAGACATGTGGATTTTTCACATGTCAATAACTGCCAATAAGCTCTTGAAACATACATGAACATAGTGTATCAACTCATACAGCTCATGGCTTTTTCTTCAACCAACATGGAGGCAACACCCATGGAGGCATCAAGTCGAGCTATGGATCGCAGCAGACTTCGCACCAAGTGGCCGTGATGTCATAATCTCCAGCAAGCGCCAAAACGAAAAGAGTGCTGCGGATCGGGGTGGTGCACCCATCTCCTCTTGCGGTGGATGTTTGGTTTACATGTGAAACCGTGAAACCAATCTGATATCGTAACATATGTAAACCACAAACATATTAAAACACAAAACCAAACCCACTTAGTAAGATAACATCTAAAACCATCTAAAACCATCTAAAACCTTTGAAGTCCAATTTATGCACCATCATTGGATTTCAGGAATCCTGTCCTGGGTTGCAAGGCACGGCATAGGTTCCACCATCGCTGACACGATAAAAGTCGCCCTCGGTGAGATTGAACTCCAAATACTCGGTACCTCCGGGGAAATGAATTGGACATGGCTTGATCAAAAGGGATGTAGCCAAGAACACCTGCCAACCACATATAGGGATATACTATGATATACTGGGAGACCAACAAAATACCTAGATTATCCTAGATTATCCTAGATTTCAAACATGGAAGATTTCTCCCAATTTGCGGCTCGACATGACTTCCCCACCTGGTCCAAGGACAGAGAGGTCCAGTTCCTCCACATTTCCTGACGCCATCGACTGAAACCAGTGAGATCTTGCCGAAACCGCCCTGAACTTGGTCGCTTGATCCCAGCGAACCTTCCCAGCGGATGGCGACAGTCAAGTCGCCTTCCAGCAAGAAGCCACGAGACCTTCAAAGCGAGGGCAAATCACTTCCCAAAGCCAATTCTTTGGCAAATTTGTTTGGAATGAGTAACACTATCATAGTATGAAAATAAAATAGATCATCATTCATAATAAGGCCGCAGTATCATACAGACCAATTCTGGTGGGATTTTAAATATGCTAAACTCCAAACATTTCAAAAAATAAATCCTGTCATTTGCTCAAATGCTGCAAACTGGGTGTAAATTAGAATGACTCCACCAAAGAATGGTCCGTATGCTCTGCATATTTGGCATCGAAGTAGTGTTGATGCGTATTGCTATATTGTTGACACTTGGATTTGATTACATCACACTGGATTCGGTTGAATCCAAGCAAATTATGACAATTCACGAACCTGAAAAGTAACCATCTATTTTGAATGATGAGTCCCTCTACAGGACAAAAACATAATTTCTAGTATTCTAGTGAGATCGTTGCAAAGTTTAAAATGAAATCCAAATCTTCCGGTTGACTATCCGTGGCTCCTCAAACATAGCCAGCCATAAACCATCCCCAAAAACCAATGCAACTTATACCCTATTGTGTCAGTAAGATACGCATGAACTTGCCCTTCACCTAGCTTTACCCAAGTAGATGTAAACATCTTAAACTAGACATTATATTCAAATATACATGGACATGGATTCCATATACATACATACATACATGCATGCATGCATACATACATTACATACATACCATACCATACCATACCATACCATACCATACCATACCATACCATACCATACCATACATATATATATACACACATGTGTTGCATCCTCCATATCTGATGGTGGAATCCGAAATCCCCACATTTTTTCATTTTTCTGCTGAATTCACCGACCTCACTCGTGCCGCTGTCTCCGGCATATGCTGGAGATCGATGCCAACCCAGGCATCCTGACAGATTTTCCACGGTACATGGGATAACATGGGGATATGAACTATGATGGAGACATAAATGCAATTTGGAGAAACTGGGATTAACTATGATAGATGAAGATATATGATTTGTATATAATTATAATTGATGGGATGGAGATATCACCAAGGAAAAACATGAGAAACTGGTGGTAAACTGTTAAACCCAACAACTACCAAAACGTGTATGCAGATCCCATTTCTGGGCAATACATCCATTGCTTTGAGCGCTGAAGTCAAACTTTACTAAATTCCATGATATTGACACAATTTTGGGAACAACCACTAATCTTCACTGAATGATGAGAGTTCAAGTTCCCCAAGCTGAATTGTTCTCCTGTATTCCTTTGTTGTGGTTCCTCTTTCTTAGCATTGCTCATTGATGGCGGCATCCTTTGATGTCATTAGTATTCACCCTGAAACAATTGGCAGAATAAAGCTGGCTTGGGCGACCGAAAGGTGGGAATATAAACCAGCATCAGTTGAGAATACCAGGTATATCGGAGCATAGCTGCAATTTGTCTGGATAGCTTTCCAGTTGCAATCCATGTGCCAAACCAAATAATGACTCACCTGAAATAAGACCATTTTGGGGTGGTTACCTTTACATATTCTTACCACATCAATCCATATCAATCCCCATATCATACCATCATGGCAATGCCGTTGAGGTCATACAGAAAAATCTTGCCACGGAACCTGCACAGGCACTGACCATGCAGCGATCTCGAAGGAATCAATGAGATTGTTGTCATCCGTGTCCAAACCAATCCTCCGCGCCAGGTCGGGTGCTGAATCTCAGTTGGCTTTGGAATTTCAGTTGGGTCATCGATTTTCTGTGAATCTCTGTCCAAATATTCTTACTTTCCCGCTCCAGGTCTGATGATAGATTTCCATGGGCTTTACAAAGGTATTATATGCCTTGATGATCCTTGACGATCCTTGATGCCAGACTTGGAAAACCTTGTGCTCTTGCAGCTTCCTTTTCTTTAACGACTTTTGCGTGCAGAGCTCTACATAGTCAGTGCCGGCAGTCTGTACAAGCACCATGCAAGTTCTGCACATTCAAAGCGAAGAAACCACCAAATTAGTGGATCCTAGAAGGTATCCATAGGTATCCTAAACTCTAACAAAATTCATGACCAAGTTCGATGACAATCTCCTGGGCGCTATATTGCTTGACTGTGGCGGTTGCAAAGACCTCCCGCGCATTGATCTCCCGCGCTTTGGGTGATCGCAACAATTCTCGTTCCACCTCCGGAGGAAAGCTCCGACTGCACAAAGTGATCACCTCCGCTGCTGTCGTCGGCTCCTCCGAGACATATCGTGTCACCGTTGACCCTGTCGAATTGGGGACTAAAATCACTGGCGTTTTGGCTGGAATCACTGGCAAATGCGGACTGATGGTGCAGAAGCCAGGAGCAAAAGCTGGTGGAGCTTCAAGAACATCGAAAGGCCAATCCACTTTGTAGATACCTGACATCGAAACAATCAAAGACTGCCAAAATCATAGAATATGTCGAATATGTATCATCTGTTGGGCAGTTCCAATGTGTTGCACCATCATAGTTCATAGTGCTCCTGATTAGTTGACAAAATCTCTATTTGAATGATTTCGCTGGTGAACTCCCCCATTTTTCCGTATATCATCCCACCACCCCCATTAAAACAGATTTTCAATGGCAAAATCCATCGAACATCATTCAACAATCATTCAACAATCATTCAACAATCCTTCCACATCCCTCATCAAAGCTCAATTTTCAAGCTACGTCGATCTGCCGCGCGCTGCAGCAGCGAACACGCCGCTTTCAACATCTTCTCCCCCACCATCAGCGCCATGCGCCGCAGCGCTGCTCGCGGCGCGCCGTGGAGTGTTCCGTCCACGTCTTGGAGATCCAACATCTGCAGCAACGGGTCCTGGAGATCCAGAAATGGCAGGTAGCACTATGGTACAACGAAAAATGATGAAAAATGGAGTATAACTACCCATGTTGATATTGGAGATATGGAGATCATATGGAGATCATATGGAGATCATATGGAGATCATATGGAGATCATAATATGGAGATTATTGATAGATTGATATATTGATCGTATCCATCATCATATCCATTATATCGTCATATCATCTTCCGGTCACGCCTCAGTGGAGACCACGGCTGTGAGCCGCTGGCGGCTCTCGTCGCTCTTGGCTTCCAGCAGCTGCGCATCGTCAAAGGCGTCGCCGGAGGAAGTGATCAACTGACAGGACGCCACGTCCAAATATTTGGCCACCTGACCGATCTGAAGAGACTGGAGATTGAATCTGGAGAATGTACACACACACAGATATATATATATTTATATGAGGTATATATAATATACACATCCATATGTATGATAGATCCCAAATTGATGATGATTTATGGACAATAATAATAACTCCCGAAAAGAAGATGTTGGTTGGATCTGTTGGATCATGAAATGCGCATCTTAGTGACTAGCTGTTTTTCTTGTTGTGTTTTTTTGATTTTGTTTTGAATCTTCTGTTGAGTCTATGCTTTCCAGTTGTTTAGTTTAGTTTTGTTTTACTGATTTGTTTTTTCTGTTGTTTTTTCGTATCTCTTTTTTTGGAATCCTTCTGTGGGCATTCCAAATTACACCGGGAGATGATTGGGCGCTTGGCCATGAGGCCACCATCATTTTGCCAATACAGGGCCTCCATCAGGACAAACTGCTCGCGCACTACTAACTTCGGTACTTCAGTTGACATCCCCAATTTTTTTCGGCCAGAATCACTCAATCACTCTGCTTTTTCCTTCGGAAAGCCTGGTTCAATCCCTAGAGTTCCAGATGAAATCCCAATGTTTGTTGGTTAGCCTCCTTTGTTGAAGCAGCAACCAAGTGTTTCTCGATTAAATCTCCACACCTTTCCGCTTGACTGTCTTGACTCCCCCAAATTCCAAGAGAAAGTCAACTTAGTCAACCATCACTTTTTTCCCCTTTTTTCCCTTTTTTTCCCTTGCCGGTTATTTTCCCATCTTTCCCCCCTTTGACACATCGCCATTTCGGCCGAAACCTCCATCTTCAGCTGCTCCGCCACGTCAAAGTCCTTCAGCTCCAGCGTCAGCAGTTCCTCTCCCGCCATCGACACGATGGACACCATGGCGAGCGGCGGGATGTTGGGACGTTGGGACGTTGCGGCGTGGCGATGTTGAGCTGATGCTGAGAATTGTGGAGTGGGAACAACCTGGGAACAACCTGGGAACTGGGAACAAGCTAAGAACAGCTATAGCATGCAGCGGAGCAGAGGTGTGGCAAAAGTTGCTGACTTGGCAGGCCTCTTACAGATACCTAAAATACCCTAAGATACCTATGTTGTGGAATTGGTCAACCACCTTGTAATCCAAGGCACTGACCGTGGAGTCAACTTGATGCACTAGGCAAAGCATGTCAGCCAGTCATAGGCATAGTGCAATGTGTTTTTGGGGCATATGCTATGGCTACGAGTCAAATCACCCGGGTTTCTCCTTTTCTACTTTGACCACACAGCAAATTACAGTGAAAAGTGGGGCTGTAATCTGTTTCTGACCTGGTTGGGTTGCAAACCCACAGCAGTAAGGATCACCTTCTGCCGGTAGCAATCTCCATTTCCAACCTTAGATACTCCCTGAACAAAAAAATCTTTGGGATATCCAAAACATCCGCCACCACAATGGGTAAACGTTATATAACTCAATCAAACCAATGATTTGCCAAAAGTGATCCAGTTATACCCCAGTTATCACGGCCATAGCCCCTGCCATAGCCCCAACAAACCATCTGGCCGAAGCTCGTGTCTTGCGGCCTCGCTGGATCAGAGCTGAACATTTCCCTGCGGCGCGGTTGAAACACCCAAAAGCCGGTTCCATATTTCTCCACACAAATCACTAACAGATACAGTATTCCTGAGGAAATCAGAACCTTTTCGACCAACTTTGCGAAATCTAAGTTTTGGATAGTTTTTTGGATAGTTTTTTGGACAGTTTTTTGGTCACCGGATTGGAATCCGTTTTGCAGACCCTGCCTACGGAAGGTTTCACCACCCCAACTCTGCAGATCAAGACTTCGTAGAAGCACACGACCATCACAGCTTGGATCCACGTTGGTGTACCTCAGGGAAGATCACACGGAGCCTAGCCTTGTTAGCCTTATTAGCCTTGGTAATGTGAAATGTTCATGAATGTTCATGAATGTTCATGAATGTTCATGAATGTTCATGAATGTTCATCTTTCCCACTTTTGAGTGTTTCAATTTGATTCAATTTGCCTCCAAAAAATATATCCGAATCCTATCTTGGAACCCCTGCCAGAAAGTTGGTTTTCAGCTGGGTATGAACTGTTCCCCATGTCTTATACAGGCCACTTTAATAAACCTAGTACCCTTTATTTACCCCTTGGTAATCTAATCTGCCAATCTGGCAACAAAAACAAACAATGTTTATAGATACTTAGATATTTATAGCAACTTGTTGCAGATGTTCCCATGAAAGATTTCCCCGCCAGTGTATCTCCACCAGGCCACGTGGTGATGAATCGGATACGCCAGAAACGGTGCTCGAAATAGGCGTCGTGTTCTTGCGGCGCTCGCCCCTCCTGGGAGAGAAACATTCGGAGATTGGATTCTGACCAACCTGACCAACCTGACCAACCTGGCCCGCCAATGCTTGATTCATCGTATTCATCATATTCATCATCACGAAAACGACGAATTTGTGATCTTTCCAACCATGTGAATGCACAGATGGCATTTAGATGTATTTATTTGGCTCTGCCTCGTGACACTAACAGTGACCACAATTCATACCACAAAAAAAAGCACAAAAAAATCAGGTTGTAGTCCCCAATATGACTTTCATTTCCCCTTATTAAGGCTAGATGACCAGGCATATTCCCTGCAAGTTGGCTCCACGTTCGGCACATTTTCTTGCCATGCCCAGAAGTCCTTGCTGTCAAAATTCGACATTGGCATTTCCAATGGGATGCCTCATGCATCCAGCTTGTCAGCACCTTGTGGGTAGTGATGCTGCTGATTGCAAAGCAATATTGTTTAGGGTTTTGGATGCTGCCCATTGCAGCGATGATGGCAAAGCAATACTGTTTAGGGTTTCGGATGCTGCCCATTGCAGCGCTGATGGCACAGCAACACTGGTTAGGGTTTAGGATGCTGCCCACCAATATGCCGATGGAAAAGTAATTCTGTTAGGGTTTAGAATGTTGCCCATCGCAGCGCCGATGGCAAAACAATAGAATGTGTGTGTACAATACATATAAAGGCCGGGGCTGCTGGACTGACCCTGGGCAAGGGTTGGGGGCTGAGCCTGGGGGCTGGAGCCTGGGAGCTGGGGAATGCTGGGGGACTAGAGGCCTGGCGGGCTGGCTGGCTGAGGTGGGGGCTGGAGCTGGGCCGGGCTGGCCAATTGAAAATGCTTTAAAAGCAGCGACTTTCCAAAAGCAGAAAAAAAGCAGAAAAAAGCAGAAAAAAGCACAAAACAAGCACAAAAAAAAGCAGAAACTGGCGCAGGAAAAAAAGGAAAATGACTTTGTTTTTTTTGTGCTTTTTTTTGTGGTATGAATTGTGCTTTTTTTTGTGGTGGTATGAATTGTGCTTTTTTTTGTGCTTTTTTTTGTGGTATGAATTGTGCTTTTTTTTGTGCTTTTTTTTGTGGTATGAATTGTGCTTTTTTTGTGCTTTTTTTTGTGGTATGAATTGTGCTTTTTTTTGTGCTTTTTTTTGTGGTATGAATTGTGCTTTTTTTTGTGCTTTTTTTGTGGTATGAATTGTGCTTTTTTTTGTGGTTTTTTTTGTGGTATGAATTGTGCTTTTTTTTGTGCTTTTTTTTGTGCTTTTTTTTGTGGTATGAATTGTGCTTTTTTTTGTGCTTTTTTTTGTGGGTATGAATTGTGCTTTTTTTTGCTTTTTTTTGTGGTATGAATTGTGCTTTTTTTTGTGGTGTATGACTTGATGATTGTGGTTTTTTTTGTGCTTTTTTTTTTGTGGTATGAATTGTGCTTTTTTTTGTGCTTTTTTTTGTGGTATGAATTGTGCTTTTTTTTGTGCTTTTTTTTGTGGTATGAATTGTGCTTTTTTTTGTGGTTATGAATTGTGCTTTTTTTTGTGCTTTTTTTGTGGTATGAATTGTGCTTTTTTTTGTGGTATGAATTGTGCTTTTTTTGTGCTTTTTTTTGTGGTATGAATTGTGCTTTTTTTTGTGCTTTTTTTGTATGAATTGTGTTTTTTTTTGTGCTTTTTTTTGTGGTATGAATTGTGCTTTTTTTTGTGCTTTTTTTTGTGGTATGAATTGTGCTTTTTTTTGTGCTTTTTTTTGTGGTATGAATTGTGCTTTTTTTTGTGCTTTTTTTTGTGGTATGAATTGTGCTTTTTTTTGTGCTTTTTTTAGTGGTATGAATTGTGCTTTTTTTGTGCTTTTTTTTGTGGTATGAATTGTGCTTTTTTTTGTGCTCGGGAGCGCCGGAAAAGCACAAAAAAAAGCACAAAAAAAGCACGAACAAAGCACGAAAAAAGCACGAAAAAACACAATTTCTCTGGAAAAAATGAATCTCAGGCCACCTGGCCTCGACAGCCTTCGGACCAGCGGCCCGGCAAATGTCTCATACCATTTCCTTTTTTCCAACCTCCTTTCCAAAAAAAACTCTCAAGAGTGAGCCCATGCCAGGAGCGGGAATGTGAAAAAATGTAATTATCATATGATGTTTATTAAGAACCTCAACAACTATTGTTGGAGGCACGCCTTTGTAACGCTTTTCACTTATAACTTACAATGATTGGATCGTTTGATTGCAGTATCTCGGTATCTCAGGTATGCTGCATTCAATATTGTAAAGAATGTCATGAGCCATAGTATCGTATCATCATATCGATGCAACACCTTGCATCATCATACCATATTATTGCCATTGCTATTTGACACACAAATATTCAGATAAACAAAATCATGTCAGCTGTCAGACTTCCCAGAACCATTCCAACGTTCCAACCATCAAAGGATATCAACAGCAACATCGATACTTTGATTTTTTGGCTAGTTGATGACAAGTTCAGCAAACATGTCCTGATGGCTCCAACAATATGGCGCAATACAAAAGGATGTTCGTTAAAATGATTTAAATGGTTTAACCACAAACAATGCCACCTGAAAGGTAGTGATGTTGTTGCATTCACTACTCCACCTTTTGTTACTTGTACGGCCCACCTAGATCACATCTTCTCCTAAGCAGACCCTAAGGATCCCCTAAAATGGCCTGAGTTACCACCAATATGATTGTGCTTTTTTGGTATGTGGTTTATGAAAGGGGGGCAGTTTTGAACTGTTAGTGGGCGGGGGCAGCCCCAAATGTATTTACGTAAATCTATCATCAAAGTGATGTGACAAAAAGATGGCACTGGCAACTTGCATTCGATGTCACGATTCAGGCGAGGCTCCGACTGAATCTGTGCGCTATGACCAACTGAGCAGTCTGGTACTATGATCCCACAACTTAACGGTAAAATGGGTGAAATCCCTATAGATCGGCACTTTTCATCCATTTTGGCGAAACAAATCCAGCATGTTTTGCTAACCATCCAATCAGCTCCACCAAATGCAAGTCAAAACCCTCAGCCTGGCCCTTGAGAATGCACCATCTGTAGATAATGTCCCTCTTGGAAATGGAGAATTTCTATGGCCATGTTAGATTCCCAGAGGGTAAGTCCTATTGAATCACTCAGAATCCTCAAAAATATGCTCATAATCGATTAAATTTTTATGGATAAGCACTATTGTCTCCATTTTACCAATAGTTAACCATTAAACCACTATATTGATAAACATGATTCCCATGATACTAACTTTCAATGGTGGTTGTTCACCATTGTTCACCATTGTTCACCTATATATTTTACCAATGCTTCACGTTGTCCAGCCTTGGTGGTCGCCATACATCGCGCCAAGGCTGGATAGGCATCACCCGGATCTTCCAGGCCTGGGGGGCAACATATCATGGACAAATATGGACAAATATGGACAAATATGGACAACATGATGTGACAACATGACGTGACAACATGGTAAATATCATGGTAAATGTCATGGTAAATATCATGGTAAACTTTCATGCACATCGAACATATGAATATGGGCAAATGGGGCCCTTTCACCACCAAGTGGAAATTTTGTTGAGTTCCAGGCCGACTTCAACGGTGATGGAGAGGTCGTTGGGATAGATGTGGTTGATACGCAACTTGGGCGCAGTGGTATCCTGATGAAACAGCGAAAGCTGGGCTTATCTCAGGTCTTTCGGTGGATTCCTTGCCACCAACCTGAAATATGTCAATTATCATGTTTGGATGAGAAAATCATCCCGTTGAAAAGTCAGAAGCACTTGAGATCACCAACCGGCCCCAAAATTAGGAGTTTTTTGCTTCCGTGAATTCTGCATCTGCAAGTAGTTGGCTGGATTCTGAGCCCGAAGGTATCCTCTTTGCGAGGGTTTGTCAAACCATAAATGCCTGGATTGCCAAGTCCCGATGTCATGATGACTCATATTCTTTCACCTACCTGCATTTCTGTCAATGGGATCATAACCATATCATCAATTTCCTCCTTCTGTTTCGGCCGCTCACACGACATGTGAAATCCTTGAAGCCAAGAATCCGTCGTGTGGACGGTCAAAGGTGAGGTCAGACTGTACTGCAGGTTGCCATAGAGGTCCTCACTATAGCAGAAGACCTGGCCAAAACGTTGCCGCTTGAGAACATATTTGGGAACAGGATGCATTTTATGCACATGACATGAACCATAGAATTTTTTGATTCAGAATCACACAAAACATGATGGACATGGAGACATGGAGGCGTGGCAACACAACAGGATTGGACAAACTGTTGCGGAACATGAACTTGTGTCATGTACAGTATACGTCACCGGCACGATGCTGCGTCACATAACCTAGGCTGGAACATAGCCCAAGAATCCGAATTCAGACGAACAGCTAGGCACAGTATCGTATAGCAGGACACAATCCAGAGTGGATTGCGCCGTATATTTTGATATTTGAGATACCACGAATTAGTCTAGCAAATGATGGTTGATTCAAACGAAACATGGAATTTCAACTACCAAAATTCTGGATTTCCAGCAACAAATGATGAGGATTTACTGATTTACTGCCAACACTTCTTAAATCCAATTGGTGCCATTGTCCCTCGCCTCATAGTCTCGGTTTGGCTGCAGCCCGTAGATGTCGATGGGCTGGGGCCCTCCATCTGGGATTAAAGGCGTTGGCAAACCATTGTTGAGGTTGAACTGATCGGTAATGTCCTGGCCATGCGCTCCACTGATTTATGGTGGATATATTGAGCTAGATGGGAAAATAAACCAATGATCGGGGAGGGCTTCCGGTTGTGAACCCAAAAAAGGCTGATGTTCAATATTTGACCATCACATTTTTTGCAGCTGGACATTTCTGTAGGAATGGACAATTTGGTTGTGGGTCAAGTCATTTAGTACACCAAACATGGGATGGTGTAGTTTAGATCCTAAACATAACAACATGACTGGCATATATATATATATATATGTATATATATTATTTATTCTATATTTATTCTATATTTATCATATAATAATCATATATTTATTATATATTTATTTACATATACTAAAGAAAAAACATATAGGTGCCTTGAGTATTAAATTTGGACCCGTGACAATTGAGGAATCCACCAGTCATACATACTCTTTTGTTCGGTAACACAGAGAGGGTATACCCCACTTTGCATAGGAGAACCATCTCAAAATAGTGGGTTTTCGACTTTCGGGTTTGATCAGAGTGTAGCCGTATGGGATTGAGGATTCCAAGGCTTCTACAAGCAGAAAATGATGCCCGTCGCGCAAGCACCTCTCTTGTGAACAGACTTGTGGTATCATTCCACTGGCCTTTGAGGGTAGAATCATGCAGTGGACAGAGTCTTCTCAAAGTAACATATTAAAATTCATGAAACTTCACCGTCATATCAGGATACGAAATTCCCCTCCTCCAGGCGGTTGTTATTCTGCAGATCAGCATAGGCTTCGATCTCACAGATGCGGATGCCGAACTCCTCAGGAAGAACCTGGCGACATTCCGAGCGATGTTCCATGGGGGAATTCGCAGATAGGGAAAATGGCGGTGAAACTTTTTTTAAATACTTAGCAAAAGAAAGATAAACATAGATACTTGTGATATTGAGTTGGAGATCAAGCTCCAAATGAAGCCGTTGACCTCCAGTTGAACATCATTGTTTACCTTCAAGGCATGTTGCAAGGTTCAAAGGCTGGATTTCTTCAAATCAAACCAAACAACACCGGGATTGTGAGCCTTTTGCAACGTGAGACAGGACACTTCAGATTTTTGGATTGCCAAAAAAGGGTATCCCCGACATCCCCTGCCAGATCAGATCCATCAACACTGGATTTTAAGCAACTGTGGGAGATTTGACAAATAACTGAAAATCATCTAACCGTATCTAATGTTGTGATGATTTGCCGTTACCAACAATTACGTACCAAAGTGATGATACTCTGATGTTGGCTCTTGACCTTTAGGGTATGTCCGGGTATGTCGTTGTTGCAGACTACCAGTAGAAATGAACATCAAAATCAAACGGGTTTGCCCAAAAATGGGAGGTACCCTAATCGCCATGAAAAAACAGGAGGAATGGCCATGAACGCATGAACCATGGGCTTTCCGGTTACATCTGTACCCGATTTTCAGAGAACATCACCTTGTTTCAATTGTTTCAATTCATGCCGCGGCTTGGGCGGGAGTGCCTTCAGTTGGTTCACGTTGCCCCAAACGCTCAGCCAATTGCCTTGGGCCTGAGATCCAGAGCAGCCAAGGTTTGACGACAAAAACAGTGTACAGTGGTAATGGCGATAAAACTTTAAACATGTTAAAACATGTATAATATTAAAGTTAATTAGTATCTTCATCTTAAAACCTTGATTTTAAAGGGATTGTCTTGGCTTGGAGGACTTACTATGGTTGGGTTGGCGCATGCAGGAGTTTTTTTGAGGAAGATTGAAACGATCACGAAGTGGGGCCACTCAGATAGAGCATGCGTATAAAATGTTAAAACAAGGGAACATGTTCATAATGTTCTGTGAAAAAATGAAGAGAATCTACTATATTGGTTGGTTCTTTCTTCAAAAGGGGGACCCTTTTCAAGTGGATGGCTTAATCAATCTTGGTATAAAAAACCATTATCCGGGATGACTTTGTACCCCTGTTTTAAGAAAGACCAACTTGCCAAGACATCTGTTTTTCCCTGATGTTGAATCTACTTTCAAAGTAGTTGCAAAGAAGGCAATGCCAAAGAAAAACCCTCAATTCGCGTGACCACTTTGAATACCCCCCAAACCCACCACTGAAAACCATTTGAACATGAAACTATCCAAAACCATCAACCAGACAGGGGTTTCCAAAAATCCAACAAGTTGAAGGGATCTCCCCAAGTCGAAGATCAAGAAACACCACTTTCAGTGTCTTCCAGTTGTCCTAGCGCGTCCTAGCGGCTGGATTGCACGGCCAAATGTTGTCGCCGCGTGCATCGGGGATGGTGGTGCACAAGCCATCTGAGCGAAAACCAGTGTTTCCCACCTTGGTGCAGGTGGCACTTGGTGGCACTTGCTGGCACTTCGACCAAACTTTTGGCTCCGAATCTGTCAACTCGTCTTCACTAAGTCCAGATCCTTGCAGCCATATAGTATCTAGTAATTTCTAGTGTCATAATGTCCGCCGACCCCCGCCTTCACCAAGGCAGGGGCGGCGCCTGGGACCACTGCAGGTGTGGAACTAGGCATTTGTTGTTAGAGCGTTCAAGCCTGCCGTTTGCCAGCCTTAAAATTCCTACAACCCTTAAAACCCTTAAAAATCCCTCGCGGCAGCTTTGACCAGGCACTCTGGTCATAGGCATTTGTTGTTAGAGCGTTCAAGCCTGCCGTTTGCCTCCATAGCCCTCTGTTGTTAGGGCGTTCAAGCCTGCCGTTTGCCAGCCTTAAAATTCTAAAACCCTTAAAATCCCTCGCGGCAGCTTTGACCAGGCACTCTGGTCATAGGCATTTGTTGTTAGAGCGTTCAAGCCTGCCGTTTGCCTCCATAGCCCTCTGTTGTTAGGGCGTTCAAGCCTGCCGTTTGCCAGCCTTAAAATTCTAAAACCCTTAAAATCCCTCGCGGCAGCTTTGACCAGGCACTCTGGTCACAGGCATTTGTTGTTAGAGCGTTCAAGCCTGCTGTTTGCCTCAATAGCCCTCTGTTGTTAGGGCGTTCAAGCCGTTTGCCAGCTTTCAAACCCCTAAAATGCTTCGCGGCAGCTTCCACCAGGCACTCTTCAAACCCCTCAAATCCCTCGCGGCAGCTTCCACCAGGCACTCTGGCCACAGGCATTTGTTGTTAGAGCGTTCAAGCCTGCCGTTTGCCTCCATAGCCCTCTGCTGTTACGGCGTTCAAGCCTGCCGTTTGCCAGCCTTATAACCCCTAAAACCCCTAAAACACCTAAAACGCCTAAAATCCCTCGCGGCAGCTTCCACCAGGCACTCTGGCCACAGACATTTAGGAGCTCAGCAGGTGCACACACAGTGGACGCAATGATTTTCATTTGTTTCATGTTATGAATATTAAACGTATGAACCATAGATTTCTTTAAGTGCCTTTAACTGTGTTTGGTTACTTGGCACACTTGCGTGTGGGAGTGCGAAAGCAAGGGTCTGAATGGTCCTTTTCTTTTGGGGTTTACCAGGGCACCTGCAAACCAAAGCGGGTCCCAGACACAGTCCTGGGCAACTTGAGCTGGCAATGCGCACTGACCCTGCCCTGTGAAAAAATAGGGTCGGCGGCACCAGGGCATTAGCCCATACATGCCCATACTATATCATATTAGTAGACCTTCCTCTGTGAATTTGAGTCAGTTTGAGTCACTCAGATCGTTCCAGGCCACGAACACGGACCACTCGGCAGACTGTTCGGGTCGTCCATCGCTGGGCACCACTAAACGCACGGCCTTGATGAGGTACAACCGTTCCCCCAGGGAGATACGGAAGTTGGGAGGGCTGAAGGTGTCCTGCAGAGTTGGTTCTGTATGTTCTGTTTAGTGAGTGAGGCCAATTTTGATTTTGACTGCTGGACTTTGAAAGTTATGGAGTTGTTTCAACCGATCTACATTGCTCGCAAGTACCACTTGTCCCCCAAATGTGGAATGTGGAAATCAAGAGATCATTCCACAGGGACGGAATGAAACAACCAATGACTACAGTAACTCCGCCAAACCAGATTTCTTACAACCATAACCTCTAAAAAACTCTCAACATTTCTCATCTCAAATAGAATCAAATTCAACATCCATCAACCACCATCCACATCCTCAAAATCTCAGATCCCACTCCGCAATCTCCTGTCTCCGTGTAGATGCGCAAACGTGTAGCGGGTCGTTCTGCGCGCAGTACTCGCAGAAGGTGTTGTCGCCCCACTGACCGTCCACGGCCTTCTCTGGGACGCCGTGGAAGGCCACAGAGGAACTGCTGATGCTGCGACCCTGCAGCAGGTTGCCCAGCCTGCCAGGGATGGATGCTATGGATGGGTGGCACATTGGCATGTGAAGTGGCAAATGTGGCGTCAAACCTCAAACCATCTGCTGGAACTGTGAAACTAAAGTATTTGCTGGAAAGAAACGGAGATGTTCCGAACTTAGAAGGGTCAGATTTGCGAAATGATGCTGGCTCTTGAGAATGATACAAGCTTGAGGGAAGTCCATGAACACACCCACGTAAAGATCCATGGCCAGGTCTTTAGAGGAGTTTTGCAAGTAAAAGGGAAGGTTAATCTGGGACCCCGCCCTAAAAGGATCAAAACCCAGGAAACATAGTACGAGTAGTATAATGTCCCCTATATTTCCAAAAATATTGGCGCACAATATTAGTTGGCCCTTTTGAACAGCAAATCAACAGTGGATGTGAATCGAATTTGGTATTTTTGCCCAGTGCATCTTGCAAATGAACCTCGAAATCACCCTGGCCTGGGGCAAATGTACAACTCCGCAGGATTTCCTGAAGGCGGGACGGCAGCTGGGTCTTGAAGGCTGTCAAAAAAATGTCCAAAATCTCACAACCATTGCCACCTTTTTGAATAGGTTATTGGCCAAGATTGGCATATTCAGGACTTTCACACACACACACACACAGGACTCTGCAGATTTAGAGTCCTAGAATCAACAAAATCGACCAGAAACATTCATGCAGCAATGTCCTTCATGAAACAACGTTTTTCTTAAATGATGGTTTTAAAATCAAAGATCAACAAAGACATGTGCCTGGAGCTTGTGTGCCCACCAACAACGAAGTGAGAGGACTGATGGGTGCGGAATCATTGTACCTGGACCCGAGAACGCGGAGAAAAAGATAGAGCTTGTTGCAGAAATGGGGTAAACACAAACCTGTCAATTTTTATTGGTTTTTAAGAGCGAATATGATGATATATGATGATATAGGATGATAAACAAGTTGATTTTGGGGTACCAATTTGTAGGCAAACTCAGATGGCAAGTCACCAACTGGATTGGCAACTGGGATCTTCCTCCAGCCGACACCAAACATTTCTGGTTGCTGCGATTGGCGAAAAGAGTTCTTATGAGTTCTTATCAAACTTCGCATTGAAAACACCTGCCATCATTCACGAGACCTCCCGACACCTCACAATACACCTGAGGTCCTGCCAGCAGGGCACGAGATCAAGGTGTGGTGGCCAAAAATCTCGTCCATTCCAACGCGGATCAAACCAGTCATTGGATCTGCATCCTCAGGACATGTCACCGCAATCGACACAGCTGCCATGTATGAAACAGATTGAAACAGCATCATAACCTGTCACCTGGTGCAAAAACCCTATGCAGTGCTCATCACAAACAAAATCCAAGTGAACTAAAGGTTGACTCTTCACCTTTGAATCATCAAAGAACCAGAGATTTCCAACCTCAGAAAAATTCGAGAGATTTCTTGATTCTTTGTTTTTTTCGGTCAGAAAACATCCCCTTCTCCCCAGATCGAGGATCCACCCAGAAGGTTTTGAATCTTCCAGGATCCAAAATCGGCACGTTGTCGGCGGTGGACCAAGATACTACCACAGTGGGTGGCGCTTGTCCTTCCTTGGTCCGGCAATGGTTGGTGGAGTCTAGGAAAATGGTCGAAATCTGTGTACCAAAGGGCCCTAAAAACTTATCATTCGACATCTTAAAATCATGTGGTAAACCATGGTAAACCCAATGATAAACCATCACCAATAGAGGTTTATCATTGGCTTTGCAACGTTATTGGACGATCATCTATTCTTCGGGGACCAATATCACCAACGTCGATTGAAGGGGGGCTCACGATTGATTGAAAACCAATGGGAACCGATGGGATCTACATCCAAATTACATTCGATACATAATTATATATATATATAATATATAGTATATATATAATATATATAATATATATAATATAATATATATATATATATATATTGCTAAATTTCACAAACCAGGTTCGGTGAAGTACTTAAGTTTCTGCTAGTACTTTATATATTTTATATAAAATAAAAAATAAAAACCTATCGATTCCAATGATGCCATGTGAATGACCTCAAAGCTGAGCCAACTGCCTTGAGTTACTGTACAATTGATATGTGAAAAGTATATAGTTGATTTACTTGTGTGTGTGCGTTACAGTTTTGCTGTTTCACTCCTTCGACTTCTGTCATCAGTGTCGCACAGCCGATTCGTGTAGAAATTTCACACAAAGTTGATCTCAACAAGCAATTGTTTCAAGTCAGCATTATAGATTTGGAAAAGAAAAAAGTTAAAGTACAAGTCCCAAAGTTAAAGTACAAGTCTCAAAATCTTGAGACTTGTACTTTAACTTTGGGACTTGTACTTTAACTTTGTGCATGACATAATTTGGATAAAACAACAGAAAAAATAGCTAAAAATCCTAAATCTGCCCTACAACACCTTTACTTTAGCTATTTTGTATGCAGATTTGAGAAAAAAAAAATATTCTTTTTTTTTTTGTATCTTTTCCCAAATTCTGTCATACAAAAAGTTAAAGTACAAGTCCCAAAGTTAAAGTACAAGTCTCAAAATTTTGAGACTTGTACTTTAACTTTGGGACTTGTACTTCAACTTTTGGCACATGACACCAAGGAATAACTAGGTTTATGGCTGAAAAACAAAGCTACAGTTCTCATGATGGAAATGTACATTTGAATTCATTATCCATTGAAAACTCTCCTCGTGTGATTCAGCGCAACCCTCTTGAATCAGTAACAATTTCACCAGGCTCAAAAATGATAGGATCCACTATCTGCTTCTTATATCCGGGAGATAAAGTACAAGTCTCCAGTTAAAGTACTAGGTTTGTGAAATTTAACAATATATATATATAATATATATAATATATATAATATATATAATATATATAATATATAATATATATATATATAATATATATATATATTCATATATCATAACATATATATATATACACGCATAACTATATATACATATGTATATAATAGTAAAAATAGTTAACACATCTAAGAAACTACCAAGTACACACCCGTATGCCGCTGTGTGTCGTTGCTGATGTTTCGTGAATGGCCACGGCCCAAGGTGACGCGGGTGTTTTGCCATCCGCCCAGCAGGATCTGCGATGGCCATGGTGGCACCATGTGGCACCACCACTGGTTGGTGGTTTGAACCCCTCTGAAAAATATGAAAGTCAAATGGGATTATGACATTCCCAATATATGGAAAAATTGTCCAAATGTCCCAAAGCACCAACCAATGTAGGTTTAGGGATTGGACCATGGCCTAAACCTATTGTCGAAGAAGTTGCTGTTTGGGCTAGTTTCTGGTCAAAATTCTTGCGTATGGTGCCACAAACTTTGAATCGGAGAAACACATTTGAGCGTCGTGGACTTCCGGCTTCCACGAAAGGAGTTGCTTCACCCCATGGCGTGTTGTAGCCCCTGATCATCGGGATATCATGAACTAGACTCCAACACAAACAAGCCTTTAAAGAACATGTTACACCTTGGGTGGCATATGGTTGATCTTTTATCCATCCACTAAAATGGGTTCTAAATTCATCCACCAAAAACATGAGCAGCAATCATGAATCTTTTTTTTTTTACCTCACCTGGGTTTGGCTCGAGAGTGAAGTAATTTTGTGGGCTCACCATACATGGTCCAGTTTAGAAATGTTTAGAGGGTATAGTGTAAATTCATTGAGCCATGGTCATGTCATGTTCTCAGAATCATCATTTTCAGAGCTTCATACTCTCAAAGATGAATATGGTTGATGGTCCGTCATTTCTGATCACTCCAAATATGCAGCAATAAACAATTGTCTTAAACCATGAAATAGCCATATTTGTTGGTTCTGATAAGCTACTTGGGTCTGAAAATACGGTCCTGAAAGATCCCACAGAAATCATGGGTTTCCCGGGTTTCCCCATTCAAGACTGGCCATTTTTCTTGGGATGAATCCCAGCATTTTCTACATCCACATCTGTTTGGTGCTCCCATTCCGCCATAAAATCCACAAAAAGGTTGGTTAATGGGCCCATTTCATCTCCACCGCACCTCATAGCCCTCACCATTCCGTGGGCCAATGAAGAGGTAAAGATCCCGTGGAGACTTCACGGTGACCACGAAACTCACCTGGACGGTGACGGTGACTCTCCAAGACGCGTGTTTTTCACGTGCCTTAAATGGACCAACTTTTGCACAGTTGCAATCCCAACTTCAATTCCCAGTTTTTGTTGTGCGAAGTGTCGAACTCCGATGTTAGAACCTCGAATTTTGATATTTTGGTCGATTGAATCCAGGTTTATGATTGTCAACTCCCGTTTCTTGTTGATATCCCCAACTTGCTACTTCTAGGATTGAACCACTCTCCCCATCGAAAAATCCAGACTCCGGCTCTTTGATGTGCGCCGCGGTTAGCAAGTGGTTTGACACCATGGTCGTAACATATATACATTTTGATTATTACCAGTTATATCCAGATCTTAAAAACATTTCATTATTGCTTGAAGAATCACCCACTTAAAGACTTAGCAACTGATGTGAGAGTGGGGTTAAAAGTCAATTATACTTGAGTTAATTCGAGGGCTCATCAAATAAGGTTCTTAACCAATTGCTTCCTTCCATGATCTTCCCTATGTATACATAAATAAACAAAAAAAAATACATACATATATATATATATATGTAAACATGTATATATATACATACGTATATATATATATACATAATGTCTGTAATGTATATGTAAATATATACACCTGGCACAGTGGTTGTTTTCTCCCCCACCTTCTGCTTGGAATCCCTGGCAGTGCAGCCGCCAGCTTGCGCCATGGGTTGGTGGTTGAAGCCGCAGCTCTGATAGTCTTGGCGATGGCCTCCCCATGCAGACCTGAGAATGGGGGAGTTCACCGAGTTCACCATGAAACTGTTTTTTTTTTGCCACAGAAAGAATCATAAGAACTGCTCAAAATGAGGATCTCGCCAAAACTGCAGGATTTCATCTGGGATCTTGACCCATGAAAATGTGAGCAACATGAGTATTTCACCTACAAATATTGCGATGCTAATCAACAACAATTGAAAACAATTGATTCTTGGCAATTCTCAGGGGGTCAGAAAATAAAGAACTGATGTGAGAGCTGCTGAGTGAATAGGAAAAAACCATTAAACATATCAAGAAAAAGGGATATCGTCACCCCAAGGCAGAGTTGCTCCCGATTCAATTGCCGAAGATCTGTTGGATTAGAAGCTTGCGATCCAACATTCGAGCCGAGAACCTGAGCCGATGCCACAGCTGCTGTAGATCACCAAATCGAATGGCAAGTTGTTTCCCAAGATTTTGGGTGATCCAAATCAGGCAGCAAACATATTTGAATCTCAAAGATTGGCGTAGTCAAATTGGAAAGCCACTGAACAAAGATTCCATGCGGGAGAAATAAAGTCTTTGCATCCAATTTGTGATGGGTCATTCACACATATTAGATGTATTCGGGTATATTGATGCGCCATTAAAAAACAAACCCTACAACTAGGGGACTTGCTGATCAAGAATATCAAGAGTTGATTGAGATTCAAGAATCCACTTCCACCTGGATGGCCCATTGCACATTGCAACATCTAAAGCACCCCCCATCTAAGGGCGCCCTTGGGTCAGACGGTCGAGGCACACGTCGCTCATCATGATGCGGCCATTGGCGTTCTGTCGATCGGTGACCTCCAGGTATTGACACTTCTGGCCCCGCGAGGATAGCTCCTGAATCGCCGGCAAGGCCTCAAACAGCAACAGCGGAGTGTTTTTCCGTGACCTGGTAGGGACACTTACCTATGGACCTATGGAAAAAACGGATGGAGAATTGGAAAATCATATCAGAACATCGGAACGTCCTCCATTTTCATAATGTTCACGACCTCACTTGTTGTATTTATTGGGGCAGGCACCTGCCACATCAAACACCCCCTTAAAAGCCTGGTGGAATGCATTGGATTCATGTTTGGATTCCGGTTATGTCTGAAAATCGGACCCCAAATCCATGTTGTTTTCCTTATTTTCTTGGCAAAAATCAGGGATAGATGGGATAGATCGATAGAATTCGATAGAATTCGATAGATCCACATTTTGGACCCGGCGCCTCCGACTGCCCTGTCAACTCCCGCGCCACGCAGGTGGAGAGCGCTGGATAGGCCTTGCCCGGATCCTGCAGGTCCAGGTGGACCCGCGCCGTGTAGTCCTGATCCAAACAGATTCCAAACAGACTATGGAAATTCTCCAGATTTCAACGTGATTTTTGGAAAAGTGATGAACATTAATGAACACCGGTGGAAATTTCAACCAGTGGATGTTTGTGTTTCTTATTTATGGACCTATATGGTTTCCTCGGTGAAGCCAGTTCAGCTTTCCATTCTCACATCCGTCCCATCCCGGTCCGCAGCAGATGGGTCAGAGACAGTCATGAAGGGGCTCACGAAATCCACCGTGGTAACCTGGGTCGAAGGCGAAGATTGAAAAACAGGTCGCAAGTGGCTGGTAGAGATATCTTTGGGTGATGATTGATGACTTATCATGACTTATCTACAAAAAAACAAGGTACCCTCTGGTAAACTAACATAGCTATTGAAAATGGTCATTTATAGTGGATTTACCAATTAAAAATGGTGATTTTCCATAGCTATGTTGGTTTACCAGAGGGTAATTAGTACTTATCTGCAAAAAAACAAGGTAATTAGTATAACTACAGTATAACCCACTATTGTGAAAAAAACCCGGGAGATCATGGGAGGTTTTCGAATGGCTCAAATGGGTGACCCCTGGGATAAAATGAGAGATACCCCAATTACATCCAATTACCAAGATTTTGCTCTTCATCCAGCTACGGAGGCAGATTTTTTCTTCCATGGCGTTGGGTGGTATAAGTTGGCCGTCGGCAACACATGCCTTGAGCTTTCTCGCCACAGTGAATTTTCAGCGCTTGGAGTCGACACGTGAAGAAACAGGAACACTGACATTGTGAGACTCTCCAAGCTAGAAACTCACTACCTGGATCTACCTGGCAAGATGAAATCCTTCTGTCACTCCAAATGCTGTTGCAATTGAGGTTTCCCTCCCGTGCACCACACAGGTCTATTAATCTAGCTCTAGCATGTGGTGCATGGGATGCTTTACACGAAAATCAGACGAATTAGGGGAATTGGGAGATGTTGGCAAACAAATTGAAAAGTTGCATCTGGCTGGTGCTTTCAACCCGAACCGTCCAATAGTCCAATCTTCAGTAAAACAATCAGCCAATAGAATGCCAATAGAGTGCAATCCATGAGAAACCACCAGCCATCCGCCTGCCAAGCTCTCTGCAATCGCTATGCCAACTGTTCACATTTTTCTGCCACTGGTGAATCGTGCAGATTCTGCCCGTGGCATCGGTGGCCAGCGATGGAAACGCGGTGGCCATCAGCGCCTGGGTCCCATGGCATGGTTCTTCAACGGCTTCGGCGCGGGACGTCGGTTATTGGTGGGTGACCAGCTGCCGGGATGGCGGCCGTGGCCCCATCCGGAACGCAGTTGGGGAGCTACAGGAGCTGCTGAAGCTGCTGAATCCTTGGATTCCTTGGATTCAAAAGCCTCTGCTGGAGCTGGATGGGAATTTTCGGAATCTCCAGCTTTTTCGGAGGCTTCGGATCCTGGAGCTGCCAGGACGGCAACATCTCCGGGTGGTGCATGTGCTACACCCGTGCCCTCGGTGCTGTCACCTTGACAAGTGAACAGGACCGTGAAAATCGTAAAAAGAAAAAGGCTCCGGGTTGTCAGCATGATGCGATCCGCTCAAGCGATCTGAGATCTGCTGAAGCTGCTATGCGCCACAGAAAGTTGAGCACAAAGGCTGCACACATGTCAGATGCAAACATCCCACATGTCAGAGATATCAAGCAGAATTCGTGCACGCATCATCACACATCACTCCAATGTTTTTATCTTTGTCCCTAGGTCCTAGACCTTCATCCTCTCTTGTGAGGTTTGAAACCCTAGCATCTAGCAGCCCAGCAACCGCCAAGGCTTGTTGTTGAGGTCCTTCAGTGTTCGCCGAATCAACCGACCAGCAGTGAATGTGATAAGCCTCGGTTGGAGGCGATGCCGGCCCCGCGGTGACTGTTTCGGGATCACCACTTGATGATCATCCCAGTTACTGACCTTACTAACCCAATGACAGTGAGTCCCCAAAGTTTTGGTATAACTCTGTGATACCCAGCACTGTAGCCCCAGTTATCCCAGATCGGCAAGGTGCTGAACCTGGGGTCACACCCTCAATGTGAACGTTCTTCTCAGATTCTGCTGTGCAGGCGACCTGCTCTGACTAACGGACCATCAACCCGTCTCCAAGTCAAAAATCTCACCAAATTTGGTTGGTAAAACATGGTTTTTACCATTCCCAAGTCATTAAACCCACATTAAACCCACATATTTCGCTGCGTTTCCACTTGGATCCCCCCCATTAGAAAAGGCCCGACCCACCTGATAGAAGGCGCCCGAGGTCCAGTTCACCGCACCGGCGTCCACGTAGACGTCCGTCATGGTCTGCCAACGTGTGGCCGGATGGGCCATCTGCCGGTAAGTCTAATCATGTATATGTATATATATATGATTATGTATGTATGTATATATATATATATGGTATATGACATTAGATCATTAGATAAATATATCATGAGATACATATTATATGATATAATCGAAGATGGAATCCCCAAATCCTGTGGTTTCAACTGTCATTTTCATGATTGTTTAATAGTGGTAATATTTTGGGAGTGATTTCCGTTTTGTTTCTGAGACAACCAACATATCACAAGTATTCTTGGCTTTATTGCATTTTTGTAGCTTATGATACCCAGTATGCACTCATTTAGTGCCATATCCCAATCTTTTTGCGGTGCAATCCCATAAAATCCACAAACAAACCACTACATTTCATTGACATCTACGGGAATATCCCAATCATTACACCGTTTATCCATGTGGGTATGGGTCAAAACCCTGGTACCTAGTGAACCCCAAAATAGCTGGTAAATGGATGTTCATCCCACTAAAAATGCATCTATAGGTATTGACCCATACCCATGTTTGTGGTGTGAGCGCCTCGAGGAGCGCAACGCTTTCCTCATTTTTTCAACATTCCTCTCATCACTGCTGACCCTGGGTGTGGGGTTGGGGTGGGGTGGGGTGGTGTGGGTGTGATAACGTCATGTATGCTGGCGTATTATATGACCTGCTACGCTGTGCTACGTTCATGTACACTTGCGGCACACATGTACTGCCACGCTGGCTGCGTTGCTAATACGTCTGCAAGTGGGGTGGGGTTGGGGTGGGGTGGGGTCGGTGTGATAACGTCATGTACGCTGGCGTAACATATAACCTGCTATCCAAAGGGAAAATCAAAGAAATCGCATTGTGGAAATACCTATGGCGTGGACAGTGGCGTCGCTTCAATGAGGGCCACGTTTTCAAGAGCCTGGGTAAGCTCTGCAAAGACAAACGGCGTGGAAAGTAGAAAAAAAGTTTTGAAATTCAAGCGATTTCCGACGGGGTCTGCAAATACTTGGGAAACACACAATGAATTCTGATGAAAGCACTCATTTTTGAGCGCGCGGTTCCACGTTTTTGCACATGTGCATGTCAACAATTTTTGATGATAAGTGTCCAAAATCATGCGTTTTCTACAATTTCGTGGATAAGATGTGAAGAAATGCATTTTGAAAATCGCAAACAGTACAGCACTCCTGCGGGCGCTCTGACCATGTTTATCCTATTGTAGGGATCCCTGGGTGGATGAACAATCAGCCTGTGAGGTGTCGGGCATGGTGGTCATCCGCTCGGTCCAGGTGATGATGTCGTCGGACCACTCCAGCACCAACTGGGAAGGGAACAGCTGGGATGCCCCTCTCGAACAGGGATATATGCAATGTATAATGTATAATGATAATGCATAATGTATATGATTGTATATGTATATAATGTAATATAACATAATATACTTTAATATCATATCATATAGTACAAAATGTATGTATGTGTGTTATGGATCTATGTATATTATGTATGATTTGGATGAATTTTGTATGCAAGATAGTAATCCAATAATAACCCGCGTTGAAATTGTACCGCACTTCTTGTCCTGATCACTAGGGTCCTTTAATTACTCTATTTAATAAGACTGACCACTGAAGAGTCTGCAAGTTTAAGAACCTGCAGAACCCAAATTCACGATTTTGCCTCTCGGATGGATCGTCCAGAAACAACGGACTGTGTGAACTTCACATGTGAAACTCTCGATGGCTCGTTGTTGCAAAGGATCAGTAACAATTAGGGGCCCCCTCTGTCGAAATCAGGCCCTGAAATCCCAATCTGGTCGTGGTTTACCCATCAGTAGGTCAACTTTTTGCCCTGCCTTGCTGGGCACGCAACCGCTTTCCCAGAAAGCGCGGACGCGCAGCATGGCCTCCTATAGCAGAGCTTCACCCAAAAATTGAGGGACAAAAACCTTTTTTTTTTTTATCCGGATGATCTCAAGTTATGCTACAGGCTACAGATGATCTACAGATGTTTATGAAATTGCTTTTGAGGTATACCTTTGGGAGGCTGTTGATCTCACCAATTCCCATGGCGAATTCCCATGGCGACATCTGCCTGATTGCCAATGCCCACGTCGACTCCAAGCCATGCATCAAACTGGGTGTCCTGACAGGCCACGATAGGTGACTAGAAGACATCGTGCCAATGATGGGCCTACAACTTGTTACATCCAAATCAAAATCCTCAACAAATTCTGCGAATCGCACATGGGCAGTTGATTCAGCCCAGGAAAATTATCTGGGACAGGGCCTAGACCATCTCGCGGGCTGTTTTCTAGCAACTAGTCTTGCCAGCTAAATCCCCTCCGAGGTGCCATGAGATACATCGAGGCTTGGCTGCCATCGAAGGCCGCTGCTTTGTTGGCGCCCGCAATCTCGGGCACCTGGCGATGCTGGGTATATGGGGATATGTGGGGGATGTATAACTGACTACGAGATGTTTATGTTGTTATTTGTGCTATTCTTTTGGCCGATGGTTCAGAATATACCGAACAGGCTTGTGGTGGAGATGAATGCCCATTGTGATGTATGACCTTGTGACTATCCTGAACACAGATCATCAACCCCCATGTGGACATGGTACCCCTGTTTGAATTCCTTTTAAAGTTATAACATGTTTTGTTGACATTCTAGTCATTTCATCTTTTTCATGTCATTTCCCCACCTTCGCCAGGATCGCAGCAGGCGTCACCAGGCGTCCGGTGCGTTCCAATGGGGAGACCTGTGGCGTTGATGGATCGATGGAGCCACAGGTTGGTCCGCTCCAAAATCCACTCAGCTTGGGATCGGTGAGACAATCCAACATTGAACACCTAAATGTTCTGAGTATGGCTCAAAACTAAACCCCCCAAAATGGATGGTTGGATGGTTTGATGGTTTGACACAGCTTAAACGAATTGTAATTCGTCTCCAGCGCCTGGTAGAATTCTGCCTCCAAGATATTGATGGTGGTCTTCCCCAAACACGCTTCGCCCTGTGGGATACCTGCGGCAAATGTCATGGGGATGAAAAGAGAAATGGCTGGAGTCTTGGAAAGACACAACTTTGCAATCTTTCTAATTGCTCAACTGTTGAGTTCCTGAAGTTGTTTTTTGCATCCGAATTGGTTGTTTGGTGGTATAGTCATTGCCAACTTGACAAGTTGTAATCTTGGACTAGAAATTGCCATCGCCATTGACCGACCACCCTACACTTTATCCGCGAGGTCTGCAACTTCACCAAGTTACGCAGGCGCCAGTAGCGGTGTGGCACTGAATCACCATTGCGCAGACAGGTTCGTGGTGGATCCAGCGCTTGCGGGGTGGGGTCCTTGGAATGTGGATTTTCAGCTACCAAGGCAGCTGTGCAGATGGAAACTGAGGGATTTGCGAAGCCATCACTATTTAGATAACTTTTCCGGAAACTTATTTCTAGGACAAAAAATGTCAATCCTTCCATCATGGCTTAATCATGCTTAATCTATGAATCAATTGTTACTAGTTTACCTGGTTGACCTGGTTTACCCTCAGCTGGCCCTGAAGCTCTGAACCAAGAGACGTTGTTGGGATCGTATGGTGGCACGCAGGCTGCACACATCGTCACCACGGGGTACGAGTTTCCTGGGTCCTGACGGCAAAAACCCCAAGAGCTCCAAGTCAAACATCAGTTGTGTGTCAAAACATCAACTTTTGGGAATTCGATTGAACAACAAACACAACCGTATACATATGTATATATATAGATATATACAGTATGTGTATATGTATATATATATATAGATAGATATAGACATAATATGTGGGAACCCAACTCCACCCCCGAAACATCCCACGGCGCTCCGAGACATGACCAGTGAGGCGCAACTTGGAATCGAGGTTGCAGGTGGAGTCCTAAGCAGTTTCAAGACGTTGAATCCATACCTAATCAGGAGCTAATCCATATCTAAACCTACCAACACATGGCCAAACACATGGGGATTTCTGAAGAATTGGGATTGATTGAAACAACTTACATGAGGACTTTAAGCAGGAACAACTGAGGATTAGAATAAACAGGGGGATATTCATTCACAAGCACAGTTGTGAAAGGAGCAAGAAGGGTGGTTTCCCTGCAAGATTTGCCTGTGATTTTGGGATTTGGATGAAGGTCTGCAGAATTCTCACATCACCCAACTGTTTGGGGGACAACTTGTATTCCATGGCGATTACCTCACTGGGACAACTTATGCCACAATATCTCGAAGGCAAGACCAACCATTTTTCTGGCTGAAGCAACGTTAATGACAAGTCTGAAGCCACCAGTTATATCAGTAGTCTTGCTGGTTGTATCAAATTATATCGTCATATTCTCACCACATTAACACACCTGTTTGATCTCAATTTTGAAACATGATTGGATCCCTAAGATTTTACCAAATATCTTCAGTTGGTGACAAATCCTGCAGATATCCCGCAGATACTGCTGGTTACCCAACAAATTGTAATCACTGGCTATGCAATTTTCAGTCGATGCAAGCTGAATCCAAAAGTTCTGATGGCCAAATCCCCAGTTTTTGCGACATTTTCCCACCATCTGCGCCCAGGTACACATGGATAGAGCACCAAATTGGGTGGCACCGTGTCAGGCAAAATGATGCGCCCGTTCGCGGCATCCAAACCGGCACTGGGGGCCTACCCAAGTGCGGTGGGGTGGTGGATCTAACAATTTTCGGGTTCAAAACGTGGAGTTTAACTTCAACACAATTCAAAGAAGATGGTATTTCAAGTAACAAGCAAACGGTTACAATCAACAACAATCTGGTTTTGAACCATTGACATTTTGTTGAAATCAACAAAAAATGGCTTAGTTGCAATCAGCGGAAAAAATGCTTTTAATCAACGAACCTGGGGTTTGTAAATGTTTCTAAGCATCAAAAAAGGATGATCCTTTCACTATGCGGAATAGGTCGCCTACAACTATTACGGGTTCCTGGGGAAGAGCTTCTCATACAAACCACAATCTGTGGCTACGTCGCCAGACGTGGAGCCAATCAGTAAAACGACAAGACATGGGGATGCAACCGGAAAAGTTCACAAAAGATCGGCCGCCTGACTGTCGAAACTCATCTCACCGGTACAATAGCAGGGATCTTCACAAGGACAGTCGTAGCGAATGGCCACATGAACAATCACTGTGTAGGCCTGCGGCTGAAGCTTCACTTGAGGGATGGGTCAAATCATTTGTTCATCAGGGTGAAGGCAACAACTCGGGATCAAACAAAGCCATGTAAGCCAAGGCAACGAATGAAAAGTGTGACAAAAAGAATATCAACAAACATATGGGGGATGAATCACGCAGCCAACATTGCGGATGCAACCAATCAAAATGGGGAATGCAACAAAGCAAAGTAAAATGAAGCCAACTGATGAAACCAACTACAGTGGGGGTGTGACCAGTGAACATGGGGATGAAGCCAACCAAATTGAAGCGATGAAACCAATGGAAGCGCGGATGAAGAGATGAAACGGAAGCGGGGATGCCCGGAATGAAACAGACCAACAAAAGCGGGTCAACCAAAACACTGCGGATGTCAAAAAATCATCTCCTCCAAAACGGATGCGCTGTTGGTCAGGGCACCTTGTTGGGATCCATGTAGCAAGGGCCGATGACCTGCATCGCGGGTGTGGTGAAATGATGCGCAAGAAATACCGTCGGATCAATATGACACATGTGCACAACATGTGCACAACATGTGCACTTGTGGTGTGGCTTAAGATGCCAGAAACTTCTGATTCCCATGGCTTTTTCCCATGGCTTTTTCCCATGGCTTGCCACTTCCCATGGCCTTGGAACCAGATGTCAAGTCGTACTGGATGTCTCGCTCTGTGCACACAGTTCCTTGGATTGCAAACTTCCCATGTCGCTTCCCTCCTCGGTCAAAATTAAAGAACCCAAATTGGAAGTGTAAAGCATGGGATGTCCCAAAAAAGGCCCAACCCCTGTCTGGACCTACCACCACTTTTCGTTTCCTCAAAACTTGAAAGCAATTACCAAGCCATATCCCAAGATCAATCACTGGGATTGCCATTTTGGTTTTGAATCCAGGCTGAATCAGTCGTGTCACCCGGTTTCTCCATGTTTCTCCCCAGATTTTGATAACTATTTGGATGACTATTTCCTCATGTGCCTTGCCATGGCTTGGTTCGCCAAGCAGCTCGCAGAGATTGGACCGAAATCCAGCTGCCGATAATCCGTGGTGCTCCGGGCGTCCACCTCTACACCTCAATTTGGATCACTGGATTGACCCTATCATCCGACATTCATCGTATTGGGAAAACAATGGTTTGGCAATGGTTTGGCGGTTTGGGCTACCCCAATTTCGAGAACCTGGAAACACCCCTTGAAACATCCATGGTCTTTGATTTTGGATGGTGAATCCATGGTTTCCCCAAAATCACCTGGAAGATCATCCCAATGATGGATGAGCCGTCAATTTTCACCAAGCCCAAAGTTACCCATTTTTGTGTGGCTTCCTATGGGGAAAGTGCAGAAATCCCAGGAACCTGCCGGTACCACCGCCACATCGACACGAGCACCAGGACCGCTCATCTGAGTACTCACCTGGAGTCCAGGTCACGAGATGTCACGAGTTTTCAACGAAGAATTGTGATGGAATTGGACTATTGGAGGCCAATCTCTCAACATATTTGGATTCTAATTTTCCCCCCATTATTCCACTGTGCTTTGAGCGGAGGTTACCAGCCCTGATCATTCCACTTCTTTTTCTCCAGGCTTGGGAAATTTCGGAACATTTGTAGCAACTTCGCAAGGGAAGATACTCTGAGTTTGAGGTGTCTGTGGATCGATCAGGTGCTTCAAACGGGAGACTACTTGGGAGACTAAAAACAAACGAGTCAGGCTCCCGGAGATTCAAGTCTTGCTTTGAGGATCTTCTGATTTGCTGTCTGTACATGAATATCTCAAGAGCACATGTTTCATTTCACCCTACTTTGCTTTTTAGACATAGGCAGAGTAAATGGACTCGACAGGATGTTGTTCCGTTCAAAATCGAGCAATGTTCCCACCTCCAAATAGAGGTTGCCATTGTTGTAGCTTGGAGTAATGGCAGGATCCTGCGGTGTCGTGTCTGCTGAACATCACATCACACATATCCGACAGATCCCAAGGTCGTCGCCGAGTCCTGGAGCAGAATCATGGAAGAATCCAGGATGCCCAAGCGACGTTCCAAGGTGGACTGAGCGCAGAAAATTGGGCAGCTCACAGATGCAAATCTGCAACAGAAACTGATGCTGTTTATTTTGAACATCACAAAGATATACAAAGATTCTGTTTGATTGTAAACCTCTTTGAGAAATTTTGAGAACCCTGAATATCTTCAATTCTGGTCAAAAGGATTTTCTTCCCATGGAAGGTTTTGATCGTGGTTTCGCTGAGCTCTTCCCACCTCGCCGTAGGAATTCTTGCAGAAAACCAGGAAGGTGTTTGCGCCCTAAGTGTGGCTCAACACAGAACCTTTGAACAATCAGTGTTTCCCAAAGGAGGATTTTTCGACATCGTCACAAATGTCACAAATCAAAGGACTATCAACGAAAACAATGGGTGAATGGCTGAGATTTCTCTGGCCACCCTCCCAAGCAGGTCATTCAGCCGACCGAGTTTCTGGTAGGAGCTGGGCGTTCACCAGGACCGAGTAGTCGTACGCTCCCGTGGCCTCAAGTGGACATCAAAAATGTCCAACCGGTGGGATAAGATTGGAGAACACCGATAACAATCTTGATCAATCAATCTTTATATATATGGTATATGTATATATGGTATATGGTATATATATATGAGCTCATATATATATACACACATAGAACACAACATTGTGAACTGGATTTGACAATATCTTACAAGTAGTGGCAAATGGGGATGTGGATATCACATAGTCAATAGCTGCACATTCCACCAATCAAAGGTCCATGATGTACTTATCAGCCCCATCCTGTGGGACATCCGTTTGCCAACAACTTACACCCAACTTCATCCAATGTTGGATTAAGTTGACATCACAATGAAAGACTATAGATGTTGATAGTCATTGATACACATTTTGTACTGACCGCAGGACTTGCCAATATAAGTTTGGGGCTATTAAATTTCATAAAATATCATGGATTCTCTGAGAATCCCCAAGATCTTCAACAGAATTATTGGTTAAATCCCGATCTTTGTTGGTTTCTGACAGTAGCTCCCCCTGGGGACCGAGATGCTGGGATGATGGCGAAAGGCTCGCTGCCCTCTGGCCAGATGCGCCCAAAGCTTCCTGGTTGATCTTTCCGATCCAGCGACTTCATGGGACCCCATGGTGGTGACGAATTACCCCCCTTGAAGTGTTGCTTGAAGGTCCAACACATTCCAATGTTTCATGCTGAAAACATCCTACAAAAATTTTGCACCAAAATCATCCAAAATGCCCAATCGATTCTGCCGAACTGCTCCATTTCTGGTTGGGAATTTTCACCGAGCCACCGTAGTAGAGATGGTAATGCGTGAGGTTCTGCTCCGAAGCTGCTGAAGTGATGGTCAAGGTGCCATAGACCTGGGAATTCTTGGGAATTTCAGACACCAAAAATTGGGATTTTGGGCAAAAATGGGGTTAGACTGCAATTGGGGTTACCGCAGCAACCAATGGATTTGAAACAAGCAAATTGGGTTTTTAACTACCGCACATGAAGAATTGAAGCAATGAAACCTCAGTGTATCGAACAAAACGGGACATCCCAGCATGCTCTTCGGCTGTGCATTTGGACTCTGAAAGAAAAGGCTGGAATTTCATAGATTTCAACCAGCCAATTCGGCACTAATGAGGTGGCGGCCATTCACCATCAAAATCTCTATCTTTTCCATCTGTCCCACCATGGCAGCCAACTGGATGTATATTCTATCATGAATCCCAACCTGAGTTTGCTTTGCCATACAATTTCATCAACATTTGACCACTTTTGCTTGGAGTATCCCTGTGTTTCGTGGGCAAACTCTAGTTTGACTGCAAGAATCGTAAATTCTCTACATCATTTGACCTGAGATCAAAATTTGCTCAGCTCCCCAAAAACATAGACCCATGATCAGCCCATTTTTTGGGAAACCTGGGAAACCCATTCTTTCAGTTTCCAACCACGGTGGTTTTACCTGTTCCGACCAGCCTTGGCCGCCAGAGGATTGGTATCCAGGAAATACATGGCCCTGGCGCGCACCAGCGGCAGATTCGTGGGCGTGTCCGGCATCACGCCGGTGAAGGGCAGCTTCACCATCTCGCCTGGCGATCCCAAAACCAACCGAATGATCAACCCAAAATTTATTGGTTAAGATACACTTGACACAAAATCTGATTCCTTTATATATTGCCACATGTAATACCGATTCATACCGTATGGGTGAATCTGCCCATGTCTTACCGATTGATACCCATGTGTACGAAGTTGTGGGTGAAACTCCTCAACGGTCGTTGATATGGCCTTGTTAGGGGCAGAAAACTGGATGTTCATCCCCCAAATCTTCTGGCTCGAATCTACTTCCCAAAATCGAGTGGTTAAACCTCACCAAAATGAGCGATTTTGGTCCGGGTCCCTTTTTGGGTCCCTTGGTTTTATGTTTGACCCGTTTTCTTCCATCGACACAAGATGCTCCGGCCTCCTCCCCAGGGAGCTTCAAGGGCATCGACGTACACGATGAGCCTTTGCATGGTGCGATGTGATGGGTTAGTTACATCCCTGAAGACTAACATTGAATCATATAGAATCTAAAACTTGAATTTTCTAAGAACATATCTTCCAAGATGCCCTTTTTTGCGGCTCCATGTTGGTGTTTTCAAAAGGGAACTGCTAGGGTTCTTCTGGGGTTATTGGCAATCGGAAATGGGTTTCGGACATCCGTTAACTTTTTTACTTCAAGCATAACTAGGATCTGTTTGGGATAATTGTCCCATTTCCCAGACTTTCAAACCTTCGGCGTTCTGGCTGCATAGCTTTCAATGAAATGCGGAGTGATTCATGGCTGGTGGTTCCCCATAGCAACATCCCACGAGCAACGTATAGGGAATGCCAGGCTCAAACTCACAGTTCACCAGGAAAGGATCCCCGCGGAAGTCCTGCGCTTGGAAGGTCCACATCTTGATGGCTGAAAGGGAGCAACATCAATTGCAGATTCGCAGATTCGGAGATAAGTCGTGAGATAACCCACATGGGTGTGTCTGAAAATAGTGTACCCCTAAACCGAATGGTTTTGCTGATCATTATCCCTATTAAATGGCTATTTCATTGGGAATATACCCTATTTTCAGACAAACCCACATATGGCAAGTGAATCTCTGGATGAATCATGGCTGAACCCTCTGGAGGAAGTCTCAGAACTGCCGGAGTTTTTGATGCCTTGCCTCGCACACAATTTGATTGTTCCGTTGATCTTTCCCAATCCCATTGTTGATCAATTTCTGGCCAGTTCAAAACTTTGGTTGCTCAAACTTTACCTCCAAAATCTTCATAGTTTAATACCAAACACTATGAATTTTGTCTGTCAATTGGTATCACATGTAGAACCAGCCAACTTTCAGAGGAGTGTGACCGCCAATTCACAATTATGGGTGCTGTCAACAACCCTGACAAATACATCGCAAATACATATACCCAACTTAATCCCAACTTTACCTATTTTGGGGGGTACTTAAAGCCATACGTAACCATTGGGATTTACCACATTGGATGGTCACTAAACAATTGGTCTCCTGAATCGTCAACTGGCCACGAGCCCGGTGAGGTGCTTCACAAATGGCTTTGGAACTGTAAGCGCCGCTGTAGATGTCCTTCATCCTTGCCATGCCGTCGTCGCCAGGAAGCCAGGAGGGAACCACATGAACGGTTTCAGCTTGTGTTTCATCAGCAACGAGCATAGGCTAAAACATCAACGGTGGAAACATCCAAATCATCCAACATAAATTTAATGAAACCTGCCAAAATGAGAGCATCCCCAAGCATTTTAAAAGCAACCCCCGATTTGGTTTGTGAAGAAACCGTTAATTCATTCCCAACTCATGGGTGAGCACATGTTGACACCCCATCTTGGGACACCCCAAGTCCAAAAAACATCTTGTCCTAACTCCCCATTATGGTTCAGTTATCCAGTTATCCCCCTTATCTTGTGGCTTAAATCCTATTATAATCCCATTAAATCATAAATCCCTCTCAAATCTCTATCAAATCCCATTAAAATCCTCACCATAACCATCCATAAACCCTTAAATCCTAGGCTCGTAATGCCGTCGTCCACGCGATACGTGACGAAGGCCCAGAACTGCCCGGGGAAGGCGCTTTGCACCGAGACCTGCGAGACGCCATCGGAAAGGATCCCAACATGGCTTGGAAAATCACCTTCTTTGTATAATCACCTTTCTATGGAAAGATCTAAAAACTGACCCTCTGGTAATTTAACATAACTATGGAAAGATCCACCATTTTTCATGGGACAGTTTACTATTTCTATGTTGATTTTCTATAGTTATAACTTGACATATATCCAGAGGGTGACTGAGATTTTCATTTAAACACATCTTAAATGATCAAATTTGATATATGTATATTATTATACATAGATTATTCATATCTTAAATGATCACTGATCCCAATTTGTTGAGATTTCGTACCTGCAGTGCCGCCGTGGAGGCCAGGAGGATCATCGGTGGCTCGGTGAATCCGTTGGAGGAATCGACGAAGGGTGTAGACTTCATGGGACCTTCACCTGGCGATGGCAAATGGATGAGAAATGGGACAATTATATTATAATATATGGTATATATAGTATATATATATAATATAGTGTGTATACTGTATACACATATGTATATCTATATGTATTAATATGTATACATACTACTCATAGATAAATATATACTATACTATATTTTACTATATGCGTATATAAAGAAATATCTAAGAACTCCGACATCAAAGCAGTTTGTGAACTGCATTTTTGCTCATTGGCCTTTAATACCAGTGGCCTAACTATAGACAACTTCATCATTATCAGGGGTGTTTCCAGTCCACTTACCGAATTGACCTCCTGGTACCTCACTCAAATTATAGCCAAGCGAGAACCTTTTGATGAGATAAAACATGGTGAACCATTTCCCACTCACCAACATTAAACCAACATTAAACCAACATTAAACAACCATTTCTCAACCTTTCACCTTGCAGTTTCCACGGTCAACATCTGGCTGCCTTGCGCATTGATCGGTGCCGCAAGGATGTGAGTCACTTCCGGTTGGACCTGGCTGGTTTGGCCGATATACATACAGCACACTATTTGTTGCTTCCATATCCCGAGCTACCCTTTGACTATGTTATAACCAATTAGTCATATGGTATAACCATTTTAGATATGTTATAACAAATATGGTATAACCATTTTAGACTTATCTTCCAGCAACACGCAGGGAGTTCTAGTTGCCGAGTTTGATCAGAGGGTCACCAGTTGTGATCTGGCTGTTCAGTCGAGGGTCATCCAAGGATCGATCATAAGGATACTATATGTGGATCACTCCTAGAACTGACAAATTCCAATAGGGTAAACTCGCCCTTTCTGCTCTTTCAATCCCCCCAATTTTTGTTGATAAAATATTGGCTTGTCTGGAAAAAAGGGCACAGTACTCACAAATTTGATGGTCAATCATCATTTTTCCATTAAACACATAGCACTTTTCATGGGTATTGCATGATATTGCCCCAGTTTCAGACACAGCCACATATCAAACACAACAATATAGTTGGTTGCACATCATGATATCCCCATTGTTATCCCTATCAAATGTAACTTTTTGTTACCCCATGGTTGGTTGGTTGCCCCACCACAAGTGTTTCACTCCGTTTGCACCTGCACAGTCGCTTGAAGCTCCTTGTCCGCTCCGCCCAGGCAGCGGATTTCTGCCTGGGGAGTTTGGAGATGGATGCTTGAAAATTAGTAGTATATGTAACACATATGTAACAGATATGGTGGGCATGATACAGCTTGATGTCTTGAATCTTCCTGCTTCTGGACTACAGGACTACATTTACGGAGGAAGTCTGAAGAAACGTATGCTGCGTATGCGATTTTTCTGGGGCACGGGTCCGCCAGGAGGAATTCACATGACGGCAGAGGAAAGACCATGCGACCATGCTCCTTTAAGCGAAGCGCCTCGGCATAGAGCATCCAACGGTTTTGATAGCGGAAATCCAAGATGTCCACATCCTGTGTGCTGTCAGGATCTAGGAGCTGGTCATTTTATCTTGGGTCACAAAAGAATGGAATATAAACACTCATAAACATACATCAAACTTCATAAAGGTTTCATCTTGAACAGCTTCATGATCTCGTGGATTTTGGTACCTTGGCTCTGGGCAGCTCTAGTCATCTTTGGAAATGGGAATGGCTCAATGAGGACTAAAGGCCCAGTGCTCAACCGGCTCAACCATCCAGGCTTCCATGGTTGGATAGCACCGTCGTGATTACGTTGAGGGTCGAATAGATCTGACAAAAGGCTTGACTTTCATGTGCTTTTCATTTTTGTTCGATCTCAGGATCATTTTGCAGTTTAGTCTTCCAACGTGGCGATTTCGTCCTCGCACTATTTTGGCATGAAGCCACAGCAAGTCTTGGGGGCTTTTATTCCGATGGACACTCGCTTTTCGAAATCATGGGTGACCATAGGCCCCCCCTACCTGTAAATAGGGTGACAAGCCCACCTAGTTACAGATGGACCCCATGGATCCTCTGAAATCTTGGCCGTGATCACTGCCTCACCGTCCCGGAGGAAGGAACCTCAGCGCGGAATCGCCAAAAGCTGGTGATTTTTGGGAGAAAACACCTGGGAAGTCACGAAAAATGGAGGTTTTCTCCAATCTGATGGAGATGCTCCATTAAGCAAAGATGGATTTACGGGGATTGACATCCTGATAGCTCCGACATGGTCAGGCCAGGGGTACAGCATGGTACACCCGAAAGGATGGTTCACTGCGGCCGCAACACTTCTGATCCAGCCCTATTTGGGCTCAAACATCCATATGTATCATAGGTTTGTTGATCAACTTCCATTTTTGACTCTCTTTTTGTCCCCGTTTTGTTGCCGGAATCACAACAAATCTTTGAGTCTTTGGACAATTTTTCCAACCCCTGGATGATCATCCCTCTGCCAGGCAGCTTCTGAGCACCGACTGCGAGATGTCCAAGGAATCCGCGCAGAAATAACTGGGATGCAGTCCATGGCTGCTGAGGGCTAGAAATATCCCTTAAAGAGGTTGCAATGTTTGGTATCACAGGCCCTATTCATGCATGTACATGAGGTATCTAGAGTATATATCTGTATAAAAGATACACACACATGTATAGAGATAGATACAGACTATCGAACTCAGCTCACGCTTGTGAGTCCATCCTCCAACCACCCCACTCTAGCTCCAAGCCACTAGGCGTCGGGATTGCCATCAGCCTGCGGCCAGCAATTCTCCACCACGTTATGAACATCGTTATCGATCCTGCGGAGGCTGACATGTTGGCTGAAGCTGTCGCTGTTTTTTTTTTTTGGGTTCTCAATTTCTGGAGATATCTGTCGCTGTTCTCGAATTTTTCTCTTTGTTTTATTTATTGGGGTAGAGCACCTAACAAATCTGGTGCTCGGCAATGCCCCTATCAAATCTGTATAATCCCCATGATCTGTTCAGTAGTACCACCAAAATCCACCAAAGGCATACCCATCTGCCAGCTTCCATGGATTCTTATATATCAGATATCCTTCACCGTTCAAGTAAAATCCGATCGTTATTGATTGATCTTCATCTTCAATTATCAACCATATTTTTTCATCCTCCCATCTTTCACAAAACCATCCCATTTCTGATCTAAACAATATCCCATAGCAATCATACCAAGTTGTTGTTGTTGTTGTGGTGGCGGCTCACAGCAATAGCTGCAGCCCCATACCATACCATTTCCGCTCCTGATGTATTCCACCACTTCCTCTGGGCCACTGAAATCCGTGATCCGCACTTTCAGTGTGAGGAAGCACTGCGCATCGCCATTGGTCGGCAGCCCGGTCAGGGTCACGGAGGCGGAACAACCAGGGAATTCGCACTGGAGGATCCTCATCCGATGGAGGAACCAATCTTGGTAAACGTCTGGGTCGAGTGGAAAGAAATGTCACCGAATTTGAGGTGAAACAACAGAAGAGTTAAACCACTATAAAAGGAGGATGCACTGACACTGATTGGGAAGTTGGGATGCATGGCAACCTGATCACCAACTGAATTTGATGACAGAGCTGGGAGGCATTGGAGAAATACCCAACTACCAACCATTTTATAGTCATAATCTTGCAACTCCAGGCTTTCTTCGAGATTCCAGTTGCTGACACAAACGGCGATACATTTTTTTTGCCACCACAAACTCCAGAGAAAGAGGATCTCAACTCGTCTTGTCTGTCAACCACTGCCACCCGTCAGTAACTCTACCCCCTCAATTTTGTTCCTTGCCCCAAAATCATCCCCATCCGCCCCATCCCCATCCGCCACGATACCCGGAGACCACGACTTCCACCCCAGGTTTGACGATTTCGGTGCTGGTCACGGGGATCTGATAGTCGCGGTGGTAACGTGTGCGGGTGCCCAGGTGTAACGCCATCAACTCGTCCACGGGGAGCATACGTTGGAAGGCCCAGGCCTGGTTCGGATCATCCTGGTTTTAAGGGAAAACATGGGAACATGTGCAGAAAACCACCATGTTTCTTAGCAAATCTGGGTGTCAACTAGGTGTTTCCTGCATTTCTTGCTTTAAAGCATGTCTTGGGAAGTTTCTGTGAATATCTAGGAGCTAGTGAGTTACCAATTCTTCGGGCGCAAGAGAGAGCTTCGGACCATCACCAGTGGTTGAGTCACTCAAACAATGTAATGTAAACCGATTATATGTTTAACATATCCCATCTCTTTACATCTATACAGTATCTACATCTATATCTATGACTGTCTACATATATATATATATAGAGTTATCTATGTCTATAACATAATTATATCATATATCATATATGATATACATATCTATCACATATATAAATAATGTATCATATATATATATATCATATACCATATATCATATATATATATACATATCATACTTTTTATTCCGACAAGGCACGCGAGTCGCTGCCTGTGGTGGGTTGGTACAATATACGCTGCCGCCCATAGTAAGCAGATAATCATCATATATCATATATCATATATCACATATCATATATGATATATGATATGATATATATATATATCATATATATATATATCATATATATATATCTCAATCATATATAATATATCAGAAATCTCAGCCAGTTTTCCATCTCCCCGCCTGGGAGATGTAGATACTGGGTGCATCCCCAGCGGCAGTCGAACCCATGGCGCCCCCAAGTGCCTTGAGGGTGGAACCTGAACAGCTCCTGCGGCAGCACTCGGCTTCGGTTTTGGTGAAAATCTAAGATCTATTTCGATTTATAGGTGACCTTCCCATTGAACATGGGGGATTTACCAGCGCTTGATTAGAGGCTCTAAAGACTCTAAAGTCCCAGTTTCGCTGGACAGTTTTGGATCCTTACTTCGGTGAACCCGGTCACTTCGCCGTTCACCCATGGACCATCAGGTCCTTTTCACGGAGCCCAACGCATGGAGGCTTCCAGACTTGGGCAACCCCCTTGCTGGTGGCATCACCTGAACGGCCATCTCTGCGTGAACAAAATCTGAATTGCTTGGGTTTCTACAGTTTCCCAATGTTTCCAAAGTGGAAATTCTGAACAACTCCGTTTTTGGCTCTCTGAATATGTCAATTGGACTGCACCCCCCAAAAACGGATTTTGCAATCTGATGGAAAAAAAACATCCTAAAGAAACTACCAAACAGATATGAACTGGTTGAGTCGAAACGATCGGCAAAGTGGAACTGCTTTGTATATTTGCTGATGGGCTGAGTCAAAACATGTCATGGACCTCTGGTCTTCGATTTCCTCAAACATGATTTCAACGCCTCCGGTCTTCGTGTTTTTCCAGCAACAGATCTGGACTTTTCAGGAGCCTGTGCGCAGGAAATGGCCGCGAAGCCGCTCAAGTACATGCCATCTTTGGGATAGGCGTCCTTGAAGGTCCGAGAGGCGAGGCAATGCTGGCAACATCTTGGGATCAACCCATTGGATGAACTGCAGAAATTCCCCTTCCCCAAACTATCCAAATCTCCATCTGGTTATTTAACATAGCTATGGAAAATGGCCCATTTATAGATGGTTTACCTATTAAAAATGGTGATTTTCCATGGCTATGTTAAATAACCAGAGGGTACATCTGGTGTTTAGGGATTCCCCAAAATCGGAACCTCGATTTTTTTGTGTGTGCCAAGCATCCACAAAGTCACTGATCTTCAATTCGATGCGAATGGCACGATCAGCGCTGGTACTCAAGACCCACTCATCCAGGTTCCTGACCACGGAACAACCCATCATTCCCCTTACTTAACGATCATTTTGTGGTGCTCAGGTCATAAATGGCTCAGAGCTTGAAGGATTCTGGGTTTCCCAGGATCCTCAGCCTACCCAAAAGCGGTTCACCTGGTGGGTCTGCTGTGCTCTGCCATGTTTGTACCAAACACCAACTACTGGTATTGGTTGATATTGGTTTGTTTGCATATCATACTGCAGTTTCCTACATCTGCATACACTGGTTGTACCCGATGCCAATCTTCAGCAATCAACTTATTTCCGCTTTTCCTGATAAAACATCTCCACGTTTGAAAGAACCATAGCCATAATCCAAAAATTCTGAGTGGTTAGTTCGGTTAGTTATACCGTTAGAACTTTTGGTCATTTCCTCATGTCTGCTGTTGCTGACCTCGCCGTGGCAAATCACCTTACTCTGCGAACATGTTGTCCTGTTTCTCCAATATAGAAAACACCACACGATTATCCATCAGAATGCCGAAAAAAACACATTATTAAAAAAACACGTAAGATCCACCAGCACGGCCCCAAACGGCCAAGGGTCTCTTTGTGCACGCAGTTGTACAACCAATTCAGCTGGTTCGCCGCACCCGGATGACAGTAGCGTCGCACATCGCGGGAATTCACCGGGGCGCTACCACGGACGCTGATCACTTCCTGACGCCGGGATATCCAAACAGCTACTGAAATGGGGTACCGTGGGGCAAGCAAACATGGCATGCTGAATAATCCTCCAGAAATGTACACGATCCACTTATTCAAAATGATAATGCTGAATCGACATGTGTAATTCCTGGAGGGCAGCAATTGGGCTACGGTGGATAGCCACACACATGAACATGGGCATGCCGTGTTGCATGATTGACATGTGAGACATGTTCCAATTCATTCCCTTTAGTCTTTAGTCTGGCAGGGTCTCTGCAAGTTTTGGTGGCTTATGGAGCAATATCTAACACTATGACTCTGACGCTATGGCTGCTATGGATTACTGAAACTTTTGGGGACCACCTCTGTCATCGAGGACTTCCTGCAAGCACAAACAAACAGGTTCCATCCCCTCAGTTGTCCCAGAACGAATCTTATGAATATCATATGAATCGTAAGCCGAGTTTCAACGACCTCTGGCATGGCATGATGCTCATTGTTGGTGTAGTCCGTGACCCAAACGTCCACTTCCAAAGCACATGTCCGCGAAGGATCCCTGGGAATGTCCCGAAAAATCCTGAGACGCTCATCCCTCAACACACCCAGGTCTTCGTGAAATGTTGAGCAAACATGATGGTGGTGGTGTCGTCATCATCAGCACCATCATCACCATCAAGAACAGCAACCACATAGCTATGGGTCAGACTCCTAGGCTCAACATGGCCCACCGTTTCGCCAAGTCACACCGTGGTGCGACAGCCAGGGCTGTCACAGCCGAAGCTCTGGTTATAGGTCACCACCTCTGGTGCCAAAGGTTGTGAAGTGTAGAAAGTGGTCGTCTCACCTGAGGAGTTGCGAATGGTGGTCACTGTCACTTCTGGCAGCCAGACACCATTTGCATAAATGGATTAGATCATCCAATTTGACAGTTGGTGGTAGCTGTAGTAACTGTAGTATCTCCACTTTGTTGAATCACTACTTTTCTTGAACACACTAAATCACCACTTTGTTGTTGAAATCAATCACCATTTTTGCCAAGGCCAAGTGCTCGCCCAAGGACTATCCGCCGCAGCCACCAGCAGAAGCCAATTGGAGCTGCCTCCCAGTGGGACCGTGATGTCCGTGCCGCTGTCCCAGGGCACCTGGCCATGGCTGGTGATTTGGATCATGGGGGGAGAGGGGGGAACCCCCGGGGATGGGTCAAAAAAAGCCCCTGTTTGGAGTACCCCAATGGCGTTCTCTAGTGAAAATCCAGCATGAAAAATCCCATGAATTCCCCTGATATCAGCATAACATGGTGGGTTACATACCTCCATTCATGTAGGATCATCATGGATTATCGAATCATCCCCAATAAAACATTGATCTCACAATTTCATGTGAGATTAGCAAAATTTGAACATTGATATCACAATGACTAAACATGACTTAAGATCTGATGATAATCTTTGCTACATATACCTGATTGGTACCATAGTGGACTAGATGACTATCAGATGACTATCAGATGACTATCAGATGACTATGAGATGACTATCAGATGACTATATGAATATATATATATATGTATCTAATTTTGGTACCAAATCTTGAGCCCTGCCTCGCTGTCACAGGCGCGCATCTGCAGCGCCCACTTGTTCCCGGGCAGCGGGTGGCCGAATTCATTGGCCACCTCCTCCTTGGAAATGCGGTAAGTTTTCCATGGCAGAGGCAACCTGGGAAAATTGTAAACCTGGGAAACCCTGGAAAGATGTAACAGATGGGAATGTAAGCACCAAAAATGTCAGCACAAGAATTTCAATGACATGAGAAATGAAGATCGAAGCAGGCTTTGGGATCACAACCAGAAAAGAAACATGGGCGGCCCTTTGATAGGTACTGAGCGAGCCCCATGCCAGTGTTTCTACGGGGAAGCCACGCTCTCCAACCAGTAGACATCGGATCAGTTCTGAACAGCAAAAAGTACGGAAACCTCAACTTCTACAACTTGTAACTTGTCCGGACTTGTCCCCTTTCAACATCTTTCCACACGGAGTTTTAACCAACATGGTGGCGCCGCTACGACAAACACCCTGGACCCCCATTCTGACGAGAGTCGGTCATGCTGATCGCCTTGCTGAAACCGGACCAAGTTGAAATTCAAAACACACGGGAAACAACTGGAAACAACCAATGCAAACTTGAACTCCAAAACATATGGATTGGAATCAGCAAATGGACTATTCTGGAAGCTTTTAGATCTAGCAGCCACATCGGCGAACCTTAAAGAACTCAAAAAATCCCATTCAAAGCATCTTTTTTGTGCAAGCACAACATCCTTCTCAGCAAAAACAGCCTTTCTCCCACTGTTTTTGCTTTTTTCACTTTCAAACTGGAAACAAACAAAACTCTCTCGGACAAACATAAAACTTCACTTGCATGAAGCCAGCAATATAGCTCCTTTGGGCGAAACCAAAGATTCTCTTGCATTTCCTTCAACTCTTGGCTATTGGTGGAGAACTATCTTTTAAGCAGGTCAAACGGTTTCAAAAAATGGAACACCTTGAGGAAACAAAATGATAATTCGTTGAACAATATCTCACTCTTTCCGGGCATTACAGAAAGTCTTGTTGCCGGAAACCATCTCTTTGCTTCATGGATTCCATATATTCCACCTTTATATCCACAAGAACAGATTGACTTTTTGGGTCACCTTTACATGAAACCATGGTAGACTTAGTAAATTTACACCGAAAATCACCCAAATCATGTTGGGATTTCAACCATAAATACCCGATTTTCCGGGAGACCAAGGGACACAGCTGCAGCCGCATTGCTCGTCCTCCATGGTATTGTTCCCCGCAGTTGAGGTGGTGGTGGTGGTAGTGGACCTGGTGGGAGACACATCCACATTTTCATGGGAATTTGGGAGGAAACTGGGAGGAATTTGTGGGTCATTGTGGGATTATATTGTATATAATATACTATATATATACACTGATTGTGGTATTGAGCATGAGACATATTTGACACCACCGCTATGCTTTCGCAAGTTCCTAAAGAAGCCGTAACCTTCTGGTAATCAAATCTGGCCATAGATGCTCTGATGAAAATGGGGGTGAACTCATTATCCCAGCCAAGCAACAAATTCGTGATTTTATCACCACTTTTGCTGATCAATTCCCAGCATTTTACCTTTTTTTTTGAAACCATTTGTGGGCTTCCTAAATTGGGCCCTAGTTCATCCATTTCCACAGGATTTTCCATGATACACCAACAATTTTTTGGGACCATTCATGAATGGCTTCAATTTGCAACAAGCAGGTGAGATTCTCAAACTACTCTCTCAGCTTTTCCAATTGTTGGGACTCGGGGGTGGCGGTGGGAATTTGCTTCAACAGCTCAGTGCTATGATGGGCCATGGCGGGTGTGCCAAACCCAAGAAGACTAAGAACAAGAACAAAAATAAACAGGGCGGTGATGGTGGTCTGGGGGATTACGGCCAAGGGGGTGGTTATTACCCTTCTTCTCCTCCTACTCAGCCTCCGCAGAATACTTCGAAACCACATCCTAAGCAAAAGGCAGACGTCCAAAAACAGCCACGCACAGAGCAGCAGCTCCACAAAACGCCCAAGACCTTTGCTGAAGTGGTTCGAGCCAACACTGCGTTTAAGCCGGTGTGGAGCCTGCGTCAGTCAGACTGGACGGGGCCCATTTTGGGCTTTGATGACTTTTGTGTCGCACTGGATAAGCCTGGAAATATTTCAGCTACAGCGCAAGTGAACTCGGAAGAGCAACTTGAGGAGTTGCAGGTTTTGCTGAAAGGCGATTCCCCTGATATCAAAAGAGAGCTCAACATCACAGCTGTGATGCTAGCGCCGAAAGAGGCCAAGCAGACTGAGGATCGACCTTTGCGGATGGTGCCAGGAAAGATCTCGGGCAAGGTGCAGCCCAGGCAGGCGTTTGTGATCCCACTTCAAGGCCAAGGGCCATCACTCAAGAGAGCTGCCGTTGTGTCAGCGGCTCCTGCAGTGCAGCCTGAAACTGTTGTAGTGAAATTAAGTGTTGATGCAAAATATTTGCAAAACAACGAGTGGCAGAGCATCCAGGCCAAGCCAAAGGCAAACGCGCAGGCTTGGTTGCATCGGCATGTTCCAGAGCATGTTGCGGACAAAGTCTTTGATATGTGGGCGTTTCAGCAAGAAAGCATGAAAGGTGGAGGCAAGCCAGTGATCACTGGCCTTTTACGCATTGAGCGAAGTGCTGCCAAAGCTCTTCTAGGCTGCTCAGGCAAAAGTACCTGGTTTGTGGACCCTTTGCAATGGAACAACTCCGTGATTGAATCTTGCGATGTTGAGTGGGTCAAGAAAAGTTCGGAACTTGATGGGCCCAGCTACTTGCAGAAGGTTCAGTCCATGGCTGGTGACCTGGGCATTGCCCGGGGATGGAATGGACTGGGAGTACGTAAGCCCAGGAGCGCCGAGCCTCCTCCTAAGGCCAGAGCTTGGCGCGTCACTGGTGTTCCGCGAGATTGGGCGGCTAGTACCTTGACTCAGGAACTTACACGTGCTGGCCTGACTGAACTCAAGGTGTTGTCCCGTAAAACTGTGGGCAAACAAGTGGAATGGTGGGTGCAGGCCAATGCCCAAAAGGATATGGATTTCATTGAAATGCAGGCTGGCGAAAAAGTCATTGTAGCTGTTGAAGCTCCAAGACAAAGACGGCAGAGAACACATACCATGAAACTGGCTAGCAATGGAAGGGTCAGTTATAACCAGAGCCATGCATGGCAGGCGATTGCCACGCCTGCTCCTCGCAAATCTTTCTACATGGGAACGCCAGTCAAAAAGCCAGTGACTATTGCAGGGGCTGAGAAGGTTCCTGCTGAGAATTTGGACGAGGACAAGTCGGACGCAAAGATGGACAATGCTGGAGAACCCGCTGGGGCAAAAAGAACTGTCAGTACTCCTGAAAAGAGTCCTCCGGCCAAGCGCGTTGCGGGGGAACCCAAGCCCCCTCACAATATGAAGGTGAAAAGCATCCCTGCTGACGGCAACTGTCTTTTTGAAGCCCTTGCTCAAAGTTTGGGCGGAAAAACAGCCAGGAATGTGCGTGCAAGCGTTGTCCCCCACCTGACCAAGCACCAGGGTCGTTACAAGCCCTGGTGGGACGGCAAGGAGCCAACAGAGGCGGAGAATGCTTGCGAATCATGGGAGAGCTATCTCACCATGCTCTCAAAGATTGGTGCTTGGGGCAGTGCTCTTGAAGTTTCTGCTGCGGCTGTGCACTACGATCGCCCGATCATTGTCTTCCAGCCTCGTGGGGTTCCGGAGATTTACAATGGTCGTGGCAAGGGTGGTGCTCACATCGCTTTGTGGTTTCGTTCAAAGCACTATGAACGACTTGAAGGTGCTTTCCCTCCTGAAGTTTTGACTCAGGCCGCAAATGGTCCAATGCAGGGCAACAGAGGTGGAGGATCGGAATGTGGCGCTACTTCAGTTGGTGCCACCAGATTGTCAGCTTTGCCGTCACTGGTTCATAGCAACAATAAACGTGGAAGGTGTGCTAGCCCCGCGCCCGCCTCTACTTTGTCAGAGCAGCGCAAGAATTCTTCTTCCCCTGCGGCTGCTACTTCGGGTCGGGGTCCGTGCACGCCACGTGCAGCCAGTGAAGGACAAGACGCAGCCAGTGCTTCGTCCAGACGCACTAAGCGTACTGAGTGGACATGCCCTTTGTGTGACTTTTCCACTGGGGTGTGCAAAGGATGGGTTGACAAGAAGAGAGCTCATATCAATGCTTGGCATCCCGATGAGAAGGAACAGTTGAAAATCGGCTTCAAAAACACGTTGCCTGCGCTGTCTGCGGTCAAGAAGGGAGGAGTCTATAGCTAGAAGTGTCCTGTTTGCAAACTTGGCTTGTCCGCTGATCACAACCTCAAACCTGGCCAAGTGTACAGCGTCATCCGCAAGCATAGGGAAGACAAACATCCTCAGGCGGATGCCAAGCTCTTCCACAAGGACAGCAGCTTCAGACGGGAGAATGCTAGCAAAGCCACGCGCCAGGTGCGTGCAGCTGCAGTGGCTCGAAGGTTGCTTGGCTTCAAGCGTGGCGATGCTGGAGCACATGACCCCACTTTCGTTACCATTCCAGCCACAGGAAATGGCAAACAGAAAAGAGTTGGAATGTCTTACGTCATTTGCAAAACTTGTGGCAGTATGGCTTTGACAGCGAAGCGTTTGGCAAAGATTGCTTGTGAACAGTATGCTTCCAGCAAAGGGCCCAAACGAAAGCAGTTGGTGGAAAGATTGCGTGCGTGCCTCAAAAATGCAGACATCAGCGATGACCTCAAGAAGGGTGCCCGCACAGTTTTGAAAATCATCGACTCTGGAGCATTTCGCACCACTGATACTGCAGCAGACAGCACGCATCAGATTGAGGCCATTGTGTGGCCTGCCAATTTTACGGTGCGTTTTGCTTGTGTGCATTGCAAGCGTTGTGTCAACAACATCAGACGGCTTACAGGAAGTCAGTGTCCTCGTAAAATGGTTTGGACTAAGTTTCGAAAGGGCCAGAGGGATATTTTGGTGCCTCTTGCGGCTCAGGCTCCAAGTGCCAGACAGCGAGCTGCTTCGCGAGCTTTGGACATTTTGGGATTGCAGCAGGATGGCGCTGTGGATCAGAACCCATGACGGGCTCTGACAGCACTATGCGGTTTGGGGACTATGAATGTACAGTCCTTGGGAGGCCGCTTGGGTGGTGTGCTTGACTTTGCTCAGCTCCAGAATTTACATGTTCTGTGTCTTCAAGAAACTAGAGTTAACAATCACAGCTGGAATGCTGTGACTCGTGCCGTCAAGGCACGCGGGTGGCAACTTTTTCCTGGCCCTCAAGGAAGAAATTCGAAAATGTAGTGGAAGGTGGTACATTGGTTCTAACAAAATGGCCTGCTGAGGCCTTGGCCCTTCCTGTCGACATGGTGTCTGTGGAAAGATCCATGGCCGTCAAACTCTATAGACCTCAGCAAAGGCCGTTGATTCTCATCAATGTTTACTTACATGCTTCAGATCGCACAGCTGCCAGCCGTGCGCTGGGTGCGCTGTTCGAGTTTGTTGCTGCTTGTGGTGAAGATACAGTGATCATGGGTGACTTCAATTTGGAAATTCATTGTTGGCCAATTTCTAACGTTTTGGCTACTGGACAGTGGCGGTCCTGTGATGAGCTGGTTTGCGGAGATCGTGTTTTAGGTGGTACACATCGAACTGCTGCAGGTGTTTATACAGGTGTGGTCATTGACTATGGCTTGTGCACTCCTCGGTTAATTATTACTGGTAGGGAGCAACATCTTGGCGTGGCTGACCATGACGCGGTGGTTTACAACTTGCATGTGCCTGGTTCATTATCCACACCGTGGACTCTCCCAGTTGGTGCCCCTTTGCATTCTGAAAAGGTTGCTGAAGCTTCTTGGCAAAGTGCTTGGGAAGAAGTATGTGACGATTTTGGAAATGCATTGGGTACAGGCAACGTGGACTCTGCTTGGACCTTACTTAGCAACTGCGCAGAATCTCTTCTTCTCGCACGTGGCAAAACTGGTCGTGCTATGCGCCAGGGCCCGCAGCAAATTGCCAGTCCTCCGTCTTCAAAAGCGCTTCTTTGCAAACAGTGAAAGAGCGCAAGCTCAGACGCTTCGCACGAAGAGTGGTGGAGTACCAAAAGGCCCCGTTGCCCGAGTTGGAGAAGAAGTTGGTTCGTGATGGCCCTCATTTACATCATTCTTTGGCTTTATTCTCTTTGGATGACCCCAGGTTGGTTAGTGCAGTGCTTGAACTGGCAAATGCAGAAGCTACAGCAGCGTCCAAGTTACGCTTGGAGGCGTGGAAGGACAGCGTGCAGGAAAATGCCACCAAACTAGGCAGGTGGGTCAAACAGGAGCCGCCCGCCAGTCCTACTGCAAGTTTTGATGGCCCCATTCTACCTGCAGATAGGGCCAAGTGCGCAGCATTGGATTGGGAGAGGTATTGGAATCCAGGGTCGCTTCCGAATTTGAATCTGGGGGACCAGTTGTACTCTCAGATGGGCTCTGCAAGCGATCCATTGCCGGATCACTGTATTCAGGTTAGTGGTTCTGAATTGGCTCGGATTGCGCTCAAAGCGAAGGACAAGGCTCCGGGCATGGATGCCTGGACAGCTCTCCATTTGTGCAATCTTCCCATTGCTTTTTGGGATCAGGTCGGTGCTCTTTGGGATGCTTGCTTGCGACATGGCTGTGTTCCTGCGATGTGGAAAGATGTTAGAATTGCTTTGTTACCAAAAGCTACTGGTGGCATGCGCCCTTTAGCCATTGTCACTGTCCTGTGGCGTATTTGCATGAGTGCCACTCTGAAAAAATTACAGCCTTGGATTGCGGAATGGGCTTCGCCCGAACTTTTTGGTGGTCTACCAGGCAAGGGCATCATGGAAGTCCATGAACGTTTCTACGAAGCTGTCAGCGCGGCAAAGCAGTCTCGTGTCGATTTGGTCGGGTGCAAAGTTGATGTTCGCAAGTGTTTTGATTCAGTTTGCCCTCAGACAGCCATTAAAGTGTGGCGATGGTTCGGTGCTCCCTCATCAATTTGTGATTTACTCGCTGATTTTTACAGTGAACAGCGTCGTTGGTTTGCTTGGCAAGGTTCTTATCACCCTCATCCGGTTATTGCTCAACGGGGTTTGTTGCAAGGCTGTCCACCAGCCCTGCGCTACTGAACGCTTTGATGACAGTTTGGGTGAGGTTTGTCAAACGGCAGGAACCAAGGATTTCTTTGGCTATTTATTTGGACGATCGCACCATGTGGAAACAAGGTTGTCAAAGTTTTGAAGTGGTCATCAACGCCATGACTGCGGGAGCGCAAGCCGATGCTATTCTCGGCTTCGAACTTCACCCTGACAAATTGGCTAGCTTCGCCACCAAACCGCATCTGGTTGCGAAGGTGCGCAAGAAGAAAGATTTAGTAGGTGTACCTGCGGATACTTTCACACTGCTTGGCATTCAATACAATTTGTCACGCCCCAGTTCTTGTGTTGATGCGGATATTGTCAGTGACAACATTCAGCGACGATGTCTCAAAATTCGTTTGGCAGCACAGCACTTAGGCACTCGCATTGCATTGGTGCATAAGTTGGTGATATCTTTATTTGCTTGGTCCGGTGCTTTTCATCACTTCAGTGCAAGAACCATTCGAACATGGACATCTATGATCGAAACTGCACTTTGAGGTCGAAGGGCTCCTCCAGGTAGGAGCCGGCTGCTCTTTTGGAATTCTTTGGGTTCTGCAAGACTACATCCGATGTTTGCGCTCCAGTTCACCGCCGCCCGGGCGGAATGGAATCGGCAATGCCGCCGTGCCCAAGGGTTGCCTGCAGCTACCTCGCCTGCTCCTCGCTGGAAAGCAGTACTCAAAGATTGGAAATGGCGACTTGACGATGGCCTGTGGCACACGCCTGCTGGGATTTTGAAACCTGGGGAGATGTCTTTGAAAAGCTTGCAAAAGGCCGCTATCCATTCATGGCTCGTTGGTTTGTGGACTAAAGACACCAAAACGGATGGTCGATGGCCAAACGGCAAGGAGCCGGTTTTCCTTTTTCAGGCAAATGCAGCTTTAGGCATGGATTACTACAGTCGCAGGGTTTTGACTGGTGCTGCAGTGGATGGCAGGGTCACAGAGCGCTTTGGTTCTGCTTTGAGTTGTGAATGTGGATTGCGGTCTCCTGATCGAGAACATCTCACTTTTCACTGCCAAGCGCAGCCATGGGATGGTGAGTTCAGGAGCGCTACTGAACGTCGTTTGCTGGTTCCACTTGTGGATGCTCCTCCTGTGTTGCCTTTTTCCAACATGGTTGCAGATCCTGCTTTGGTTACTTTTATTCAGCAATTCGATCCTCTTCAGCGACCCACCTTGGGTTTGGACGGCAGTTGTATCATAGCTACTTCCTGTGATCGATGGCAAAGAGCTAGCTGGGCGGTTTCGACACTTTCAGGCACCACTGTTCAAGGTGCCGTGACTGGTTTTGAGCAAACACCTGCTGCAGGTGAGCGTGCTGCTCTTCTGCAAGCTTGTTTAGCCTCTTCTGCAGCTAACAGACCGGTGATGCTCTTGATTGACAATCAGGCTTTGGTGCGGCGGCTTCAGCGAGGCATTAGCACTGGCCGTTGGGAGGGGGACTTGCCGCTTTTCTGGCAGCGGATCAGCGGCTTATTGATTCAGGGCACTGTTTGCACTTGGATCCCTTCTCACAACAAGGTGCCTGACTGGACACCACCAGATGGTTGGATTGATGTTCATCTCTGCCGCGTTCTCAATGCGACAGCCGATGCTCAGGCAGGTGAGGTGTTGCGTGACTCACGCTCCATGATCGCTGCGGCTGTGCAGCGACATCAGCGAGCCGTGGCTTGGGCTGCAGCAGTTTGGCGTCTGCAGAGGCTACGGACTTTACCTTTTTGGCAAGTCGTACTTGATCAACAAACATTCCTTGCGGAATGCTAGCTGGCGCACTGTGTTTACTTCTTTTTTATTTCAGGCAGGTTTCGCTTCCTTTGAGTTTTGCTTGGAGAAGTATGGGAACTTGATTCTCGCAGATGGCATACTATGGCGTCTTAACTACTTCACTTCGGTGAGGAGCAGGTTGACGTCCGCTTACAACAACAACAACAACAACAACAACAACAACAACAACAACAACAACCCCCCATTTGACCCGTCGTGGTGATGCTAAGTTCGCCACGTGCCATATCCGAAGTAGCAGCAGTCCACTTGGGAGGCGTTGCCTCAGGTGCAAATTGTCTTTTGACTCGGTGCGGATGATAGGTGCAGAAACAATAATTAGTCAAAACGCTGATAACATTGATAAATCTGGTTTCACGTCCCTTTGAAGTGCTCAGCTTTGAACCAAACACAGAGGAAATCTAAAACCTTGAGACCTTCAGAATCTGTACATGGCGAACTTCAGATACTCTGCAAAGGAGTAAGTCTCCAATGGGAAACGTGCTTAAAATTAAGTATCTGGGCAAATGCATTTCCGCGAAATTAGAAACGGTGCGCCAACAATGAATAACTTCCAAAGAAATGCAAAGATGAATAAATCCAAAGATGAATGCGTCCAAACTGACAAATCCAAACTGAGAAATCCAAAGAAAAACACATAATGCACAACCAGAAAATTCTCCTGCTCTCCAAGTGGCAGAGAAAATCGCCACCGCAGAAGGCCGGTCGACCATCCAGTTGAGCACGTTGCGACACTTGCAGACACGGCTCCTCACGACCTGGCAATGCGATATGATCACTTGGGATTTACCTATGGCATCTATAAGACGTGTGTATCAGCATGTAATTATTTTAACCGTATATACAATATATATATATATAATGATGTATATGATGTATCTGTATACCCTCAGGCCACCTGGTTTCCCCTCTCTGTTAACGACAATGTTGGGGTGGGTTGTCTGGGGGGTTGGGGTTGGGGTTGGGGGGGTGGGGTTTCAGGGGGGCCGTAATAATTTTCCAAGATGCTGCGTCTTGAGCCATATGCTACGATGTTGTTACGTTTGACGTTGATGCTACGTCGTTGCTACGTTTGCAGGGTGGGGTTGCTACGTTGATGTTCCATGGTTGCAACGTAGATGCTACGTTTGCAAACAGTCCTGCAAGCACTGCTTGTGTACAGAAGAGCATGTTCCAAAGGAATCATGCAAACTAGCCCTGCAGATTGTCATGAAGCAAAGAAGCTGCCGTGACTGAACTGATGAAAAAATGGCATTGGAGGCGACGGCGAACCAGGCGGCCGGCCACATACAGTATGTACTATCTATCTCAGCGTGTGCATAGATGAACTAAATGGATCCGCTGTGATCTCTGGGCCTATGATAGATTTGTAGCTTCTCAACACATACGACAGTCCGCCAGTGCGCTTCTGAGGTCCAATTTTACTCCAAAACTACCATCATAAGCCAACAAAAATGGATATTTGATGATATTTGTCAATTTTCAACCTTTTTTCTGCCTATGGTTTCATCATAACTAACGATTATAGTTACCCAACAGGCCCAACAGGCCCAACAGGTCACCGGTGCTTCGTTGATCGCCTGAAAGCCCCAGGGAATCGAAGATGGAAATCACCGCAGCGTCGGAGGCGTTGAGGAAGTCGAAGCTGGGGATGTTGACCCAGGCGGCCAAGGTATAGTTGGACGCCAAAATCCTGCAGAGATCTTGGGCGAAGTTTTTTTTTTGGGAATTTTTGAAAATATCACCAATTATAATAGCTATTTTTAATGGTATTTATAGATATTTTATAGATATTTTCCATGATATTTCATGACATTTCATGGCATTTTGACAAAAATTGCCCAACCTTCAAAGGTACTGCCCCAGTCTCCAACCAAGGTTAAGCCGTTTAGCCAAGTGGCGTATCCGGGATGGGCAACGCGCCAGAGCCTGTAAGCTTCCAGGACTCAGCACCTTCGAAGATGGTCCACTCCACAGGTCCTGTGGGATTTTGATGCTGAAAAATTCCGCAAAACCCATGGCCAAATTGGATGAAAAGATGGTAATACGGTACTGACTGGGAGTGAAGGGACAACTAAAGATTGGAACCCAAATCGGTTTGTTTTTGTGACGGAATTTTGGTGACATTTCCTGTCATTAATTGGGTTGATCAAGATGTGTACTGCATTTTGGACAAACTCATACACACCAAATCTTGGCTTAAGACAAAAGCAACCAATTCAATGTTTTGAAATCAGACTTCACGTTCCAAGGCGATACTGACCTCGGCTACCCATCAAACCACTGGATTTTGATGGAAACATCACTGGAATCATTGGAATAGCCACTCCCATGATTTGGCAAATTGGGAATAGCCACTCCCATGTCGAAAGCTGATGTGGCTTTGTCTGAAAATGCTAAAATGCTGTACCGTAACATATCATGTTTGACCATGTTTGACCATCATTTTTCGCAGAAATCAATGTTGCGTCGTTGTGTGTGACACTTTACCCTTCACCTATCCGTCCCCTCCTGATGTGGTCACGCTGTCGTTCATGGTGGCATCTAAACCTACCACAAAGTCACCTGGGCTCAGGCTGAGCCAATTTTGGATGAAGAACAAACCAACAACAAGGTCAAATGGTTAGGACCTCAATGTGCAACAAATCCGGACAAAACTGGACCTGAAAACAAGCAGATGCTGATTTGGGGTCTCAAGTCACTGGGCACAGAAGGATGCAACTCCCATTCGCAGTAGCCAGTGGTCCTCACTTCCTGGAGTTGGGGATCATCCAGGGAATTTTGGATCTGTGCATTTTGTGCATTTTTTTCTCAACAAAAAAAGCCATCCATAGCCATCCAATGTTTGGATACTGACCTAGATTTACCCCATTTTTTCAGGTTTTTTCCATGGCTTTTTCCAGTGACGGGGGTGACCCAAGCCCAGGATACCCCTCCTTGTTGTTGATCCTAAAGTCCAGCACCATGGCATCGCAGAACTTCCCCACAAGGGGCTGGTGCCTGGGGGGCCGGCACTATCGGCACGAAACGAGGCTGGGCAGCTTTCCCTAGAAATAGAGGGTTTTCATAGAAAAATCATCTATGATTTAATGATATTTAATGGACAAATCATCTATAGATGGTGGAATTTTCATTGTCAGGTTTGATTGCCCTCCTTGGCTTCTTGGCAGTTCCAAATGAAACAACAGCTGAAATTTGACAAACATTTACGCACATGTTTGGGGTGCCCAATAAGACAGCAAACACTGAGGGCCCATTTGGAACTTCAAAGTAGCCAGAAATGGGGTAACCTAATATAGCCTACGACGAGTCGAGACCTGCTGATCCTGGGATATGCCCCCACTACGACACCATCCAAATTGAAAATGGAACGTGAACAAAAATAGGATCCAACAACTATTTTCAGTCGGATATGGCCCTTTTCGGGTTCCATGTTAATTTCAGGGGGGGATAGCCGGACCATTTACAAACTTCGGGGACCCAACATTTTGGAACCACTGTCCCTGTCTGCTAAAAGCATCGCAACGAAGGTCCAAGGTGCCACATGGTGTCTTGCGCTGGCACCAACAATCCATCTGGCCCCACGGTGTCACTCTCCGCAGGCACCTGTGGACGTTGCTGGGCCTCAAAAAGTTGCAAACCCCGTGACTTACTTGGATTTAGCTGCTACCCATAAGATTTTCTAGGCACCATCGCCAGTTTCACAGGTTCTGTTCCTGTATTTCCTCATATGTTTGCTACATCCCCAATCATCCCAATGCCAATTTTTCGATGATATTTGCATTTCTGTATATATTACATATATATATATATATCATATATCTAGATACATGCAGACATGCATAGCTCACACATGCCCGCAATTTCATGACATTTTCTTTGAACGTCGCTTAAAGCCTTTGCTGGCTTATTCTTCCTGGATTGATCATCCGCCGATCTCAATGCCCAGTTCAGGATTGAAACCTCTTACTTTGACCAACAATTGCTAATTGGTTCTTAACAATCACCACTAATATCACCATGATGCAAATTATGCATTATGCATCCATGGGACAAGTAAAATCCATCAAAATTCATTCAATCCATGTCTTGCTACATAAAATACATTTTTTTCCCCAAAATACATCGATTCCATCCCCAAAACCGCCTGGCAGAGGCAGTCGTGCGCTGCCGAGCTCATCAAGCGCGACTCGACCGTGCCGTTGAAGATGCGGTCCTGTCCGTTTTGTTTTAGGGTTGATCATTTTGAGGCATACCAGAGAAAATAGTCAAAAGATGTCAAAAGAGGAGGATTTGAGAAAGATGGGGAATGAAAGCAACAACGTTTTTCTTTTTCTTTTTGGTAAAGATAATTTGAGCAGGAAACTTCAACACACCTGCGGATGTAGATTTTCACCAACAACCTTGGGCACAGAACCAGCCTGACAAACTTTGGGATATCCGTTTAAGAAGCAACGTGGGGTGGAATAGGCAATTCGATTAACAGCTAACGATTTTGAGATAAAACCAGGAAAGATGAAGGTATATCAACAATACAGAACCGAGTCTCCAAGAATCGGAGTTCACACTGTACTATTCATAGGTAGAGGCTCGGTGAAGACACAGCCCAAATGGATGGGCGAAACACTTACAGAAAGGCAGCGATTGTTGCGGAAAGTTCTTCCCAAAAGATAGGTAGAAAAGGTGTGGAAAAGTGATCCCCTCCCAAATGGCTTCAGGGGAATCCACATCGATCACCATCAAACGTAGTATCGCCCTGCCCTGCGATCTCACCCACCTTCTCAAGTACAATCTGGCAATCAATGATTTTCAATGATAGTTAGCTGGTTTTCCATGATTTTCCATTGGTTAATCATTGGAAAAACTAGGGAAAACCAGCTAACTATCATTGGTACCAGTTAACTATCATTTCCCCTAGTTTTTCACTGGTTAATCATTGGTACCCCATTATCCCCATCCCCAAAGATGGTCTCCTGCAGCATCCAGAGGCAATCTTCCTGGACCTCTCTGATGTAGGCTCTCCAAGGCTGCCAAAATGGATCATCTGGGCCAGCGACGTCGATTTTCCATCGCTGTTTTTCAGCACTTTCTGACGACTTTTGTTTAAACCAATGATTTGGTCATTTGGTAAATGTCATAATCTTGGTATATCCAAATTTTGTTGATAATTTACTAATTGGTAAACCATTGGATAAGTTGATCATTGGTTTGCTATCCACACTGATGAAACTCTGGGCATCCCCACTGATGATGTCCAAGCTGGTCCGCGAGGGGTTCGCAGGTGCCAAAGCCTGGGAATCACTGTAGGCCTGGCCGGGGCCGGCAACGAAGACTCAGTGAACAATTCCATCTATTTCTAGCACTAGTCACGACATAGTCACGATATGTCACGATATGTCACTCTCCGATTTCTACCCAACTTTCCAGTGAAAAAATACTGGTGATACAGAGGATGATTGTGAAGTGGCTCTGCCTGATGCAATAACTGCTAGTAAAGCGGATAGATGCGGATAGTAGAATCAAACAACGAAGGAGCGCACTGGAGCCGATCAAGAAAAGAAACTATTGTAATTGTGAAAGACAATCCAAGGGTACGGATGCTGATTATCTCAGCAAATCCAGAATGGTTGGTTCACACCTTCCAAATGGTTTTCTCAAACACTGTGTCAATTGGTCGATCCTTAAATTCCATCACATCAATTCACACCAATTCACGGATTCACAGAGCTTTTGCAGGGTAAATGGGTAAATCTCCTATCTTTATTAATACCCTCTGGTAAACTAACATAACTATGGAAAATCACCCTTTTTCATGGGAAAATCAACTATAAATGGCCATTTTCAATAGCTATGTTAAATTACCAGAGGGTAACTCACAATTAAAAGTCCTCATGAATTTTGCATCTCAACTGCCTCCCAGGCTTGTTCAGCACCAACGGCTTGAAGAGCAGGGTGCAGATCTGGTGGCCACTGGCCTCACAAAACTGGGATGTGCCATTTCTTTTGGGAGTCAAATGGATGATTATACCATGTTACATGGTATTCAAAATGGGCATCATTTTTCTTCTTTTTTGGGGGACCTCTGTACTTTTGACACGAACATGTGGACGGAATGAAACTTCCCGCGGCGCGCCTCCCATATTGAGTTCTGTGCAACATCATCGCCCAAATTTGTGGTTACTTTGCTACCTATTCGCTACCTATTCGTTACTTTATTCGTTATTTGATGCTGTATTTTCTGCCATCCCCAAATCATCGACCTTCCAATGCAACGTCGGCGCCTGGATATTCAGACGTGCCATATCTTCGATCCAGCAAGAGAATCCCATCCTTGGGGAACACTGTACTGCTACTAGGGAGGTTTCCTGGCGACTCATCTTGACTGGAGAAAAAACAGAACAAAAAAATGCCTGAGATATTCATAGATGGCCAATTGATAGCCCATGATTAAACCCAATTGATACAGCCCCCACCAATCCAATTCATCAGCTGCGTCCCAGCATCGTAGCCGGGGTCCAAGACCAAAATCCCAACACCTGGTGTTTTGGGCGCCATCATCATTGGAAATGGCACAACCAAAAAGGCAAAGGCCAAACATACCCAGACATCACAAAATCATGCAGTCATGCGTAAATACGTATGTATATACATGGGATAAGAAAAGACTTTGTACAAAATGTAAACATGAACGCATATAAAGAAAACACACACACACACAAACTAATAAATGAATGCAAAATGAATACATAAATATAAATACCAACCAAATGTATAGATAAATAACCCTCTGTCAGGCGTAAGCCTTTAATACATAAATCCGAGTAAGCAAATAAATAAATATATAGTATTTTAGATAAATAAATTCATAGATATCAAGAGTAAATAAATTTATTAGATACATAATACAATAACAAATGAATTTGAACCATGAATAAAGAAATCAACAAATACACACATATAATATATATATATAACACATCTGTGTATATTTAGTACACAATATGATACACATGACATGTGCATTAAACACGATAAAAACACATCCACAGATCCAAGATCTTCGTTTGGCATTGTCGTCTCGGCTCGGCACAGGGCAGCATATCGTTGCAGACCTGCTCCATGATGGCCTGCAAAAATGGGGAGATTAGCCACAAAAATGGGGATAGAACAAGAGGGAAAAAAACCAGAAACACTGAAGAAGATCTGTCTGTGGATAGGTCCGCAATTTTTTCGACGGCCGAACACCTGACCCAAAAAAAAGTGATGAGTTATGTGTGGTTGAATTATGTTGAATCCCATCACAACAATCAACGCCTGGGTTGAACATCCATCCCAGTCACAGGCATAGAAAAAGAACACCAGAATCACTTCAACCAGAAGGTTTGCAGTTGCTCTGAACGTTTCCCGGTTATCCCGGTTATCCCGGTTATCCCGACACCGCCGGACCGCGGTCCGTTTTCCAACCTTCACAGAATCGAAGGTTCGAACACCACTTTCACCGATGTTGCGATACCAAACTGTCTTGTAATAGTCATTGTTCCTGCACATGGCAGATTTTGGACACGCCGCAAAATTCAAAAAGTCAGTCCCTTCACCCTCGTAGCAAAATGCAAATAGCCTTTGAAATCCAAGTGTTGGATCTATTCATTTTAAATTTTGGGATCCCTGCTTGGTTCTTATCGCGGGTAATATCCGGGGGATTTAGCTCTCTGGTAACCTAACTAGGCAACATATAAATCACGTTTTAACAGATCGTTTTCCTATTGAACATGACGTTTTTCCGTTTCCAGATTGAATCATCCACGATTTACATCCCAGTAACTTCTTTTTACCCCAAATCCCAGTTGGATGGTCCAATTTTGGGACAAACCCATCCGGTACCCGTTCCGTGGATCTCCCAGTTCCCGCTGGGTTTCCGGTCCTATCCAACAAGGCGCCGTTGCCCGTGGGCGTATATTTGTAAGTCACAGGGGCATCCAACGTCAGTAGCTCTGTGGGGCAAACTGTTTCTGTCAGCTCCTGGAAGTGATGTGACCATTGCGGTGCCCGACATGGATATTCCAACAGGAAATGGGGACTTGAAGGACTTGTTTGGAACATATGGTGAATTTAAGGCCAAAAGAAATCATTGTTGGTAAATCTTAGTAAACAGTAGTAAACAAGACAAAAGACACAGAGAACAATGAGACATGAAGCCCCAAACTGCTTGGCCCCGGGGCCGTCAGATTTTTCATGACAAATTCCAGCATCCCCAGTGGTTTGGATTATCAAGGCACCAACCCGAACAACCTCTGCCGAATCCTGAAAAGGATAGCAAAGACAGTAGCCCGTGTTCTTGTGCCTGTTCCGGTGCTGATGAATATGGATCTCAACTGAAGCAACCTTCATTGGGTTGGTGTCAGGGAAGAAAACCATGGGAAACCATCGGTTTTTGGGATTGTGTATCACTGGATATCATTGGTATCAGGGTTTCATATTGTTCTGGTGGAGTTGTGGACCATTTTGGCCTGCTCCCTGCCTGATGATGTACTGCGGAACGGGGCGACCATTCTGAGCACTTCTGGCCAGGTGCATGTTCCAGTTGCAATCGCCATAGAGACACTCCTGATGGGATCCATTAAGGGTGGACAACCGCCAGAGGCAAAGCTATCGGCTTTTTGAGGCTTATTCTGCTAGACTTGAAAGACAGTTGGTGAAGATACTCAGCACCTGGTGACATGTCTCTGGCTATATGTGGAACATCCAATGAGAAACCCTAATCTCATTGGTTTCTAAAGCCAGCCAAATGGTAAGATTCGCTATGGATGATTGTTGGGTTTGCCACATTGTTGACATTGTTGACACTTTTTCTCCCAATATGAACAACCATCATTCTGGCCACGTGCCACTGCTGTCCGGCCCATAAACATCCCCATTCACTAGTCTTCACGCCAACCACCAACCCGACAAATATGCCCATAACTCCCTTAACTTTTGGATACATCCCAATTTGTCGCCGATCATCTATCAATTCTTGCTGGTCAATAAAGTTGTTTTTTGCTGGTTCTACTGTGAATTTACAGTTTTTTGGGTGGATTCCTGGTGGATTCCTCAATTTCTGCAGGTTTTTCAGCCCAGCTTTTTGCTGGACACACGCGGCGCCCGTTGCTTCACCAAGTGTCGTTGTTAAAGCCACTGCGGAGCCCGCCGGATGCGAAGGTATTGATCCATCCAATCTTCGCTGCGCGCTTATCTGAGATGAAACCAATCCTCAAGGTGGAGATTTCCACGATAAAATGGAGGTAAACTATGGCAAACCATGAAACCACCATGGATAATATTTCAAATGGATAGTTGATATGGATATGGATAAACTTTCATGGTTTTTTGAGGCAAAACAAATGGATTTCAAAAAAACATGGAACTTCAATTTGTTGACTCAACTGACAAGAAAACATTGACAGGGAGAGATAGAACCAACTCAACTGGGGAACCAACACATGTGGAATGCGATGGGTATTCCCGTCCTCATTGTTTTAGTCTCTAGAATCACAATTCTCCTTGGGCCAAATCGAGTCGCTACTTGGGTATTGCCCCAAAATGGAACCATGCCTTTTTCTTTTCTGGTTTAGATATGTAGAGATTTATTGGGGTCAGTAGCTGTGAACCATAGCAAAAAGTGACTTTGGGATGCACACTTGCCGCTACTCAAGGTCCATCCCAAAGATTTTGGGAAATTATGTGGTGGCACATGTGATAAACCCAATGTTTTAAACGGCTATCATTTGGGGATGGTAAACCATGGTAAACCCGTTGAGCTGACTGGCATATCACCACTTCTTGTGGCCTATGGGTAATGAAAATTGGATATGGGAGAGTTGATTCAGTTGATTCTCAAAATGGAACAAAAAAAACTCCCGCCTTTAAACCGCCGAGTCGCTTGGTTCCTTCGGCTTGACCGAAATAGGTGCGGTACTGAAGGACGTTACTCTCATCTTCAAGGCCTTCGATACTCACCTAGCGCTCAAGATACAGCATGTGAGGGAACCACTCAGGTCCTGAAAGTTCACTCAGGACATGCATTTAAATGATTTATATATATGATCTATATTGATTTATTGATCTACCAGTTGAAAATGGGGATTTGTGATTGTAATCCCATATGTGCATCAGTTAATCGTATTAGTTTGTCGGAATGCATGTTGGCTACACCTGCTTAACCCCCTTCTTTTGTTTGGGGCGTCATCAAAGTACCCTCTATATTTGATCGTATTTGCCTAAATTCACGCAATTTTGGCTAGTTCGAATTCCCATTTCTGTTGGTTATAGCAAACCCCCAAACAGATAGTACAATCAAAAATCATAAGCATTTTAGTGAGATTTTCGGATCTTCCTTACTTTTCTCTATTTTTTGGGGGCTTACAGTGGGATTTTCCTTACGAAGCATCCAGGGACAGCCTGCCTCCCCCCGCATGTAGCCCCCTCGCACGTCCAAATCCTTGAAGCTCAGGGCAGTAACTTCCGAGGCCGGCAAACCTGTGGCTGATCCAGCTGAGGATGGTTGCGAAATCCTGCATGTGGATGAAACCCTAGAAATAATGTGGATGGGTGGTAGATGTTGATGATAAACATCCCATTATTCTCCCATTATTTACAAATTCAAAGAAATTTATGGGGTTTCAACATGTTTCAATCCAAGGTGCTGTGCAGGATTTCTTCCATCGACAGTATCAAACATGGCTGGAACATCACCAAACTTCTATGAATGGATGACTTTTCATTGCCATGTTTGATTTCTGGAGGGTAGCCATCTAATAGTCGCCATTGAAATCCATTTTCTCCAGATTTTGATCATTGATATGGTCACTGAACTGGGCTACAACCCCACTTAGTTGGTGCCCTGATGCCCTGCCTGGAACCTGCAGGTCCATGATGTGCAGGTAATCGCCTGCACGATGATCCAAAGATGGCCAAGGATGGCCAAGGATGGCCAAGGATTCCAGATGCTTGAGGAAAATGACGAGAAATCCTGGAAAACATACAAGGAGTTTAACTGGAACTCACATTCCTACCAAATGGATATGAAGATAGAACAGTATTATAACAATATATAACAATATATAGAACATATTCTAAACCACCAAGGGGTTGGGTGGATCTGCCACATCCTTTGCACCCTGACCTCCGGTAGTTGTCAGGTGCAGCGCAACGGCGTAGAGGGTACCAGCGGTGAAGTTACAGTCTGAGGTGCGCCAAATGAAGTACGAGCCCACCTGGATGGTTGGCGAAATCTTCTGCCAGCATCAACCTCTGTTTGGATCTGTTTGGTTGATAGCAATTCAGTGGATTTTTGTAAAAAACCCGTGGAACCAGTCGATATCAGCGTACTATACCCATCAACCAACAGGGTTGTGGATATCGCTCAACTGGCGATCATCCGTCTTTTCGAACGGCAAATAAAAGCTTCTTTGAAACATTTTGAAACATGAATAAGAAAATATCAGGCATAAGTAGGAAGTGCAAATGGATCGCCACCAGAAATCAGCAAAACACCGATACACGAACCAAGAACCATGAGCAGTGCTGCATCCATGAGCCATAGAGCGGGTTGGTCAATAGGGAAGCGTAGTACAGTACAAAACCATACCACCATTTCTGGCTTCGGAATTCGCCGATTAAAGGTACAATCCATCTGCTGAAAATCTCCATATCATTCCATACATTTCAACATGCCATTCTTGATGCTACCATCTGATACCTAGTTTTACTGGCTTACCCATCAACGGTGCCTGTGCATGGTCAAACGTGCGGCAGCCAGGGTACATCACCTGCCACAGGACGTCAAGTGAAATTCAATCCGCAGACATCCCAACAAGCGGTTTCTAAAAAAATGGGACGACTCCAAATCTCTCCAATCTATTTGTTGATGTTTATTTTCAAAAAACAAATTTCATGGAACATCCAAAAATGGATAATCTTCTAGCTAAACAATGAAGAACACATCTTGCACCAATTCAAAGGTGCAAGATGAATTCGCAGTGTTTTTTTTTTTATGTAAGTGTCAAGATCATTGTTCCCCCCAAAAAGAGGCTTTTAAAAGTCTTTTAATATTGAAACTTATGAATTTTGTGGGTCCATTGGTACCTCATTTTCGATGGCAGATCCATTCCTTCAACATTTATCATGGGCCGCAGTACATCCCCAGTTTATCCCCATGATATCCCAAGAATCTCCTAACTACCTATGAAGAATGCGTTGATTTGGGATCTGAGATCCTGTGGTAGCCCTAAATCCTGTGGTTCAGCATTTTTCCTATGAACTTACCATTCTTGGGATATACCCTCTGGTAATTTAACATGGCTATTGAAAATGGTCATTTATAGTGGATTTTCCCAGCTATAAAATGGTGATTTTCCATAGTTATGTTAGTTTACCAGAGGGTACACCATTTTCAGACACACCCATTTCTACTCCGCGCCACGAACGCCACGAACGCAACGAACGCCACCGCACCTGGGTCCAGACCTGTCGCAGTGGCGTGAGAACTTTGTCCTTGGCCTCTGAAGGGAGAACGATGGCATCCAGCATGCATCCTGATGCCGCCTGCAGAATCCGAGCCAAACACTTGGGTTTTGGTGGCTTCAACACACATGGTTGGAGATATTTGATATTTTGATAGGATATGATGGAGATGTAACGAGTTTTTTTTTGTGGGATATAATCGAGATATGATAGGATGTCATTGGGATATAGTGGGATTTAATTGGGATAGCAAAGAACATACTGTAATGGAGATATAATGGCACACACACACACAAACATAATATGTGTATATATATATAATAGGCACCCATGACTTAGGACTTAGGTCACCATAGTGACATAGGAGTTTGTGCACCAAGTCCTAAGTCACTGGTGTTCTTACCAGGTGATTTGTGTGCACAAGTCCTAAGTCACTGGGGTTATGATTGGACTTAAGCACTTTTTCAGGTTAAACAAAAATAAAAAATCTTCTCTTAATAAGTCATCAGAACCTACATACTTACATTACATTACAGTACAGTAAATTACATCACACTACGGTACATTACATTACATTACCGTAAAGTACAGTACATCACATTACACTACAGTACATTACATTACAGCACATTACAGTACATTACATTACATACATGCACAGGACTTGGTGCACAAAATCGTCTGTCACTAGAGGGGCACAAGTCCTAAGTCATCAGAACCTACATACTTACAGTACGTTGCAGTACAGTACAGTACATTACACTACATTACAATACATAATATGTTAAACAAAAATAAATAAAAAAAAGAATGCATATATAAAAAAATACAGTATTCGAAAAAATGGGTAGATACAATGGGATGTAATGCGGATAATATGATAACATGGGATACAATGCTATCTTTTGGGGTTGTCACGTCTCAAAACGGAGACGTTAACCCCAAAATTGGAAAAAATGGATGAGAAATTGACGATAGAAATGTGGTGTTTTGGGTACCCAATTTTTGGACATAACATGGCAAAGCAAGGGTATTTTGATGGATTTTGCAAGGACATCATGTGGAAATCACTGCAGTTGGTGGTCGAACCACTCGTCCTGTGGCTCTACTGGCTGGTGGACAGGGTCATGTTCTACAAAGGTATAGCCACCATGGATGGCTGTCATCCTGAGACATCTCCATAGAGTTTTTCTTACTCATTTTGAATCGGATTCTACATGATTTTACCGGGGAGGCAACCACATCCAGTTGACGGTGCACTCGGCGCACCTCACAATCGACGAATTGGATATTCAAAGCAAAGCCATCGACCGAGGGAGCGCCCAATAGGATTGCATCTTGAAAGCCACCCGCCAGCCTACGAAAGTCCCAAGGTGACCGTCGTGACCGTCGTGACCGTCATCCATTCCCCAAGAAATTACCCTGTGCCAATATCAACTTTGGGGCATCCCAGATGGAAAGTTGAACATGTTTGAACCCATCACTGAGACAAGATGTGTGTTGAAGCACCCAAAATGTACCGGAACGCAACTCATAAGTTGTGTTTTCTTTTCCAAGATTTTGAGACAAGACACTGCCATATAAACATGAGAGTATCACCACCAAAATGGGCACATCTGAGGATATGACAAATAGACAAAATCCAAAAAACCAAACCTTGAAACTTTGTTGATGTTCCCATCTATATTCCCAGATATTCCCAAACATATTGATGGCTATATAGGCTATACCTTCAAAGGAACCATTCTACCAATTCTGAAGCGATTTTCAGCGCACGCCTGCGGCTCTGTGTCCTCACATTACCGCGCGCCACCCAAGGCAATGCACCTGTGGACGAAATATTCACTTGGATCAGGTGGGGAAGAGAAAATCCTGCGGAAATCTGCTCAGATGTTGAAAAAAATGTTTTGACCATCTGAAGTTGCGTGGTAAACCATGCTGAACAACATGGATAATGAACATATAATGTTTCAACAGCTAGTGTTGCTCCCCTCGGTGGATCCGTCATTGTTACAAAGTGACATGATGACATGGGCAAAAGGCTGCAGGGTATGGTGAATTGTGTGAAAAACCCCAGTGTCTGACGATTCCCAGCTGTGTATGTATACGATTGTATATGAATATATAAACATATATCAACAGCATCATTTTTTTGACAAAGAACATCAATATATCAATCAGGTGTGGGGTATACAGCTGGTTCTACTCCTCCATCTCCACCACCATGATTTCCTGTGGCTCCATTCACTGGGCATGGCCAACCACTTCCCAACGATGAGCACAAGCGAATTTTTACGAGTCGAGGACCATCCCCGGTTTTACAAAAAAAAACGATTTTTTATTCGATACTTATCAACTTATCCTCATTTCATCGTTGGTTGCGCCATGTTATATCCCAACCCAAATCCCTAATCCTTCTTGGATTTCCCCCACTTAGGTAACCGAAGCTGATCCATTTATATTTGAACCATATCCTGGACATCGAGATGTTCCTGGAATTGCATATGATTGTTATAACCAACATTTATATATATATATATTTATATAGACATGAAGGATCTGAAAGCACAATTACTACGTGACTTTTCCATCAACGCCTCACCTGTGGTGCGCTGCTCACATGGACGGCCGAAGACACCACCACTGCAGGCGCAACAGGCGCTGGTGGCATCGATGCCTAGCGATGGACCATGAATTATTCATAGTCCCTACAAGGTGAGGCCCCCCAGTTATAAGTTGGTTTATAAACCCCATTAACTATAGTTATAAGTACCATAAACCATAGTTATTGGAGTTATTGGCACCAACTTAGCTATCGAACGGGGGCACCACCTTGTATATACCATGTGGTAATTTGACACCATATTCACCATGTTGAGAAATCTTGTGGTTCATAATATAGTATCATAGCCCATAATAATCCATAATCGATAATGATCCATGCTATGGTGAGCAATAATTCTGAACTAATTATGGTTCAACATCACAATGGATCAATCAGAATTACTAGATTAACAATATATACCATCTGGTAATTAAACAGAGCTATGGAAAATCACCATGTTTAAATTGTAAATCCTCCATCAATGGGCCACTGTCCAGGACGCCATGTTCGATTACCGGAGGGTAAAGGGATACCCACCTGGGTCACCTGGGTCGGTTCGGAGAAAGCCATCCCGCCTCCATTGGCCAAATCTTGTATTGTGAGCCCTGCAAAGCCTTGCACCAGTCGGACATCCCACACCCCAGTCGAAGACCTCGGGAGTGGATGGAGTGGATCGACGGGATCGATGAGGACTGAGATTCCACAAAAAAAGGATCGCTGAGATCAGCCAAAGTCACCAGCCAGTCGTAATGTGAACCTGGCATTGGTGGGATTCACTGATGTTCACTGAGGATCTCATAGAGATGGGAGATGGAAGTGATGGAAGTGCCATTTACCAACGATCCAATCATCCAATGATCCTCCTGGTTTTCTCTTCATTTTTAGCATCAATATCCGGATATTTTTCTGCGAATCGACCAATCGACCCCAGAATTTTTCCTGGTGAAGCGGTGAAGCTCCACAAAGCGGGCCTGGTTTAGAAGGCTCGTGTTGGAGGCATCAACCCAGCCGTAGGTCTGCACTTCGTGCATCGACAGATACGAGCCATGAAGGATGGTTTGATTCCAAAAGACCTGAAACGGCCAGAGGGCTTTGAAGAGAAGCCAAAAGTCTGAAACATTGGGTGGATGATGGTGGATGATCATCCAGAGGTTTATTATATATATATATATTATATGTTAATATTATTAATATGATATATCTTAATTCATACATCGAGATGTCAAACCCAAAAAGGTTTCCGTTGGAGTCTGACGAACACACATTCTGCACCCAAATAAGCTTAAGATTGCGAGGATCAAGACACTACTAAGTGATTACTATTTGAAGATGGAGACATCTTTTAATATTTGAGAGGTTTCTCATGGGGCTTTCACCATGTTCAGGTCGTCAGCGAAACTCATCGGGAACATCAATGCTACCATGGCGTGGGCGGCAGCCCATTGCTCTTAGGAAAAATCAGGTGTGAATCCCATTGATATGGCAGTGTGTCAAAACCTTGTACCCCTGTAGTTCACATCAAAATAGCTGGGATTTATGGATGTTCATCCCACTAAAAATGGTATTAATAGGTATTGATCCATACCCATATAGCATAAATCACAGCATTGTTTTTGGGCAGATCACCCTACTCTTGACAGTAACACCTCCAATTCTCGATAACCGAATTCCCACTGTTTGCTAAAGCCCAGTTGTTCTTCCGGAAAACATCAGGCGTTGCTTAAAATCCTATTGGCATAACTATTCTTGTTGGTTTAACGCCTTAAATCCCGATTTTTAATAGTAAAGCCAAATAACAATAATATATATATATATATATTTAATCATATATATATATGTATGTAACAACTCTTATTTTTGGAGGCTTAATGGCTCAATTCATGTTAATTCCCAGTTCTGGGCAACAGGGCGCGCCTCGCCAATGCCCACGCTGAGGTTGCCATCGGAGCTGTAGTAGACCCAGAAACTCCGGGGGCTTGAGGCATCAAGCACCTGGCTGGATCTTGAAGAACTTTTCAATGGCTAAAAGCGGCTTTTGCTTTCAATGGTCTTGAATGGATGTTTCAATGGCCATTATTAATAATGGATCAACATGCTGTAATTGATGATCATGGATTAATAATGGATGTTTCAGTGGCTCTTCATTCGCATTTCAATGAATGATCATGGTTTTGAATGGATGATCATGCATTGAACATTTGAGAAGAAATGAAGCAATGATAAGGCATGATGTTCGATGGCTATTTTATGGATAATGCATTGCTGATCCTCTGATACTATAGGAGGTTGAATCCGCACCAATGCAGTACAATCTGGTTGGTGCATGGACCATGCTCCGAAGCCACCATACCACTGGTAGTAATCCCCAGAGCACCAACCAACTGCTGCAATCATGTTAGGATGCACCCGAACCATGGGAATATTCACACCAAACTGAGTCTATCCGATCCAAAAGATAGATGGATGTATCCCGCAGTATGATGATGTTGAAGCCAACTGATCCGCTGACTGGACATGTTTATTAAACACGTTTGTAGATCCTCAGTTTCGATAGTGATATCAGTGATATCAGTATCTCAAGACTGTTGGTTTCGTTGGTTTCAATCCCGCTCCAATTGCTCCGACTCCAAGTGACTGCATCGTACTTGTTGTCCAACTGCACTTCGCTGGGGTACACTCGCAACACCTGGCATCGCATGGCATCGCTAAAATCGCGATGCAATGGCTCCCTGGATGAAAATCGATCCATCGAACTGCTGGGACCAAAAATTGATCTGGGTGCCAAGATCAACCTACGCTGTCCGCTGACTCTCCCGAAAATGTGGTAAACATTGGTACACCATACAGAGTCCAGGGGGGTAAACACCACCTATCCACCAGATGTCGCACAACAAGTAACAGCACCCAACTCTGGGAGGTTAATCCGAAACCGCAACTGGCAAAATTGGGTATGGCATATCAGTGGGTTTACCACATCAATGCACAACCATACGAACTAATTATTAGAACTACCAATACCTCATGATCATAACTATCAATACCCAATAATTATTAATAATTAATCATTCTAATTATCAATAAATTATGTAAATTCGAACCCCTAACCATGAATAATCAATTTTTATTGTTGGGTACTTCTAAATCAACTACCAATACCTCATGATCATAACTATCAATACCCAATAATTATTAATAATTAATCATTCTAATTATCAATAAATTATGTAAATTCGAACCCCTAACCATGAATATAATCAATTTTTATTGTTGGGTACTTCTAAATCATCAAATACCAACATCCTCAAAGAATTACCAAGCGGCAGAGAGGCCGTTGTTCCAGCCGCCCAGAACAATCTCAAAGCCATACCTGGATAGGTTTCATGCAGCGTGGCAGGTTTCAAATGCGGGTTGAACCAAGAAAAACATCGGCAAACATATGATCACCAACCGCAGATAATTCAGGGATTTCACTAATCGAAATCGGAGGATTTTACCATAATGGGGATGAAGTGATTGAACCAATCAGAATTGTGTACTGACAGCATTTCCAATTCAGGCTCCATGATTCCCCTCTTGGGTGCCGTAATCTTTAAAGGTTTATAGAGAGTATAAAAGCAACCCCCATAAACATCCATAAACCAATAGTAGCCAATGATATCCAATGATCATGTCACATGATTCATTCCCTGCTGACATGCAAAGTTGAGGGGAGCCTGCAGGTGTCAAGTACATGTTACCAACATTATCAAGACCAACAATCAGTGGTTCTCAGGATAAGTTTTGATCCGCGCCAAACCCGGTAAACCCGGCACTCGAGCAGTTCCTCTTTGAACGAGGCACTCTTGTGGTTTTCCTAGAAAGATATGCGCATTGCTTGCAGCTGTTACTGTAACGATCATCATCAGCGGTTGGCCTGGGGATTGACTGGGAGAACGAATCTGGGAGACATCAGTGTATGTTAGATTCTGTTAGATGAAAGCATACTGCGATTGATGCGACGTGGAGGTAGTTGATGGTAGTTGATGGTAGTTTATTTGTAGTTGATGGTAGTTGATGGTAGTTGATGGTAGTTGATGGTAGTTGATGGTAGTTGTGTGTTTGTGGGCTGACCATCAGTGACACTCTTCGACCTAGCGAAATCACTTTTTCCTTGATTCTATCCCCATTCATGAAAGCTCTAGACCCAATCTTTTGTTGCTCCTATCCCTGTATCATACATTGGCCGGGGGCAGCCAATAAAGTTTTTCTCTAGTCGGCATTTTCCTACTTTCGATATGCAAATGCCCACCATGTATTCAAGGCGATTCACCAGATATCACACAAGGTTCATCATGTGTCGTGCTTTGATCAACCATCTTTTCTGTCAGTTTGACTGTCCAGTCTTGGTCAGACATCAATTTCATTGCTGTCTATCCCTATGGTTTATTGATTTTCCTGCCGAAATCCCAGTTTTCACTGCTTCGTTCCCGCATTTTTTTTGTGGCTTCCTTACCCATAGCCCCCAAACACATCTAAGACCATCCATCTTCAAGTCTCCAATGACCTTAAAATCTTCATTTCCCACATTGCCACCACTTGGGTATAGCATAGTATATCCCATTTCCAACTACATACCCACAATATCATATAATATCCCTACCATATTCCATCTCCCCACTTTTTTCCGAGCGCCAATTTTTCCGGCCATTGCGGCATTGCCAAGCAGCTCATGGTGACGTTCAAGTCGTAGAGGAATTGGTATTGGAAGTACTCGGGCGTCAATCGCAAGCGACCTCCAGCCACCAGAGGATCCGTGCTGCTGGAGCCGGCGTCACACGCCTGGAAGAACTCGTAGTCCTGCGGAAGTTATAAGCCACATGGGAACATGAGATAAATAAGATATATAAATTAAGATATTTTCTAGTGATCTAACTGCTATTGTCATTTCTGGATTATCTTCCAGTATGCAATGGCATATGAGATTTCCCTGGGTATATTTTGATTAATCGTGGTTTATCATCCAATTACATTCAGCTGCTATGTGGGACATCCAAGTGCCTCCTTGGTGCAACTTATCAGGTGCGTGTGGGTCTTGAGTATTGAACTATCCTGTTTCAACCATTTCGATCCAATAGCTGCTAAATAATCGGCCTGTCACATGGCTATGATTCTATGATATGGGTCATATGGTATCATGCTATGTGGGTTCAAACCTCTGCGGAAATCACCTTTTGATTGGATTTATATGGATTTATCCATAGTGATACACCACCTGCAAGGGACTGTGCTCATGTAATCATTCGGAAGCCCTTCACACCATCGCCAAGCTGGACTTCACATCCAGATCACAGGTAGGATATAGATGTTTCTTTTTGCATCATATGGGCATGTCAAGAATGTGTATACCATAGAATGCCATAGAATGATTCCATTGAGAAAAAACACACTTTCTGGTTGCCTCAGTCGTAATTTTTCACTTCCCACATCTGAAGTCCGGTCCTGACAGGTGTAGCCTTGTAGGTCAGTCCAACCCACTGGAGAATCTGTACATTTCCGACACCTCGGGCAGGGTAGTTTCAGCCTGAGGATTTCATTAAAAAAATCCCAATGTGAGCGTGGATTCCTCAGATTTTTGTTGGCTTCTGCGCACCCGGCTGATTCCCCTTCCTCACAGCTAACAGGGGTCAAAATTGGGTGTGCTGTACCCTGAAACAGAAAAGACCAGAAAGACCAGAAAACTCACCAGACACGTTTCGGCTGATTTCGGCTGATATTCAAATTGACCAAATTAGTCTCCTCCTGAATCTGCAGCCCTGCCCGCCTGTCAACTTCAATAATGGTCTGGATGTTCAAAGCTGTATTCATGATGGGCACCACCTGTCACTTTGGCAGCATCGCCCTTAAGAGGTTGGTTGAAATACGGTGTCCTTCAATGTCCTTCATCTACAGCAAATGACCCAATATCTCAACCCAATATCTTCAAGCCAGGTTTACCCCATCGTAACATGTCGTAACCCACAAGCTGTTTCAACGCCCTCCCAGACACTATGAATCCTCGTTACAGAAGGGCTAGAGCATCCACGTCTAACCTGGCTGCTCTGTCCTTTGTGCATTTCAATTACGAAGTTAGATTATGTTAGATTCCTAATCATTTCTCAGCATGATTGACATGCCACAGTTCTGCAGACATGACTGTGTGGCGGGGTCGCACCAATATTTGACCATTTCAATTGCTGCTGAACTCCACCATGGGGAACCGGTAAACCCGCCTCTCTTGTGCATGTCCAACCATCTTCTACTTCACAGGTGCTGCTACAACCATCGCCATCCTGCCAGCAAGTGCAGCTAGTAACCAATCATGGTCCTGAATTATCAGATTAAAATTACCCCGAGAAAAAAACATGAAAAACACTCCAAGGTATCCAAGAAATGTCGGTGATAATTGCACACACAAAGCATGATCGCTCTCAAACCTCTGGCTGCAAAGTTCAGCGTGTAAAGTTGACTCTTGGGTGGAAAACTTGGTGTTTGAGTGTTCAATAGTTGGTGAGTCCCCTAGGCGTTATCCATGTTATCCTAGCCAATAAAAAGGAACATGTTCCCAATTGCTAGTGACGCTAGTGAGCTAGTGACTTGTCCAGTAGTTTTTATCTCCAGCATTTCTGTTGGCAACAACCCCCCGATTTTAGATATTACCAATGGGACATTCTGATCTGGCTGAATTTTCTCACCATGCAATGTGGTTTTTGCACAATGCCATAAGCCCAATGGGGCATGTTTCATTCACCATGAAAAAGCCATCATTAACATCACTAACCATCATTAACCAGCCATTAACTAGAATTAACCATCATTAAGCCACTACGAAACATTAACCATCCAATCCACCAACCATTCACCAACCATTGACCAACCATTCACCATTCACCGCACCTGTGAGTTGCCATCATCACATCGAGCTCGGCCATCTGCAGTGGTGCGTGCTGAGGGCCAACAATCCCCACAGACCTCGCGCGCGCTCTGAGCGAGGATCGGGGAACTTCGGATACATGGCAAGTGGAGTTGAAATCGAAACGCCATTGGTATCCAAAAAGAATATAATGTATATATATCCGCCGACCCCGGCAAACGCAAGGGGGAGCGCGCCAGGGAATAAGACATTCAACCTTTAGGGTAGAAATGCAACAACAACAACAAGAACAAGAACAAGAATCCGCCGACCCCGGCAGACGCAAGGGGGAGCGCGCCAGGGAATAATACTTTTGATTCTTGTTTCGGACTACTACCGCAGCAGGCGCAGCAGCAGCAGCAGGAGAAGTAAAGCAAAGACAAGCAAGTTTAGCCGCACCAGCAGCAGGAGCAGCAGCAGCAGCAGCAGTAGCATCAGCAGACGCCAGCACCAGCATCACCAGCAGCAGCAGCTGCAGTACAGTAGCAGGAACAGCAAGAATAGCTGCAACAGCAGCGCAGCGGACGCCTGCACCACCACCAACAGCAGTAGCTGCAAAAATGTTGTTCTTCGGGGCAGCACACCACCAGCAGCAGCAGCGGGAGCAGCAGCAGCAGCCAGCAGCAGCAGCAGCAGCAGCAGGTCAAGCCCCGGGGCACCCGTCCGGCAGGGTGCGTTTTCAGCCTCGGGAGGAAGAGCAGCAGCAGCAACAGGAGCAGCAGGAGGGTTCTATGTCTCATTTTACAAACAGTGGTACAAAAACTGGTTGAACACTATCACCAGCAGCAGCAGCAGCAGCAGCAGCAGCTGCAGTACAGTGTTTCGGTGTGGCGAAGGGTGTGTTTCGGAGGCTTGCAGCACCTGCTCCAGCAGCACCAGCAGCAGGAGCAGCAGTAGCACCTGTTATGTTCCCATCCGAGGACCAACAGCAGCAGCAGCAAAAGCATCTGCAGCAGCAGGCGCTTTGTTTTTACCAGAATCCAGAAGAGACGTCAAGCCTCGGGACAGCATGTTTTTGGAGGTCGTTCCGTCCTTCTTCTTTTCTATGGGTTTCAGAAGTTACGTTCGGCATTCGGAGGAAGAGTAGCAGCAACAGGAGCAGCAGGAGGGTTCTATGGTTTTGAGCCTCCGGAGGAAGAGCAGCAGCAGCAACAGGAGCAACAGGAGGGTTCTATGTCTCATTCTATGTCTCATTGTACAAACAGTGGTATAAAAATTGGTCGAAAACTATAAAACCTTGTCCAAAACTATTGTTTTTCTAGGGTTTCAGAAGGGACGTTAGGCACTTTTTGGGCTCGATTTTGGCGCTGTTCCGTCCTTCAGGGCCACTGTGTTTCCTCGTCCGGGAGGGTGCGTTTTCAGCTTCGGGAGGAAGAGCAGCAGCAGCAACAGGAGCAACAGGAGGGTTCTATGTCTCATTGTACAAACAGTGGTATAAAAATTGGTTGAAAACTA